GTTCACCCTAAACCACGACCTGGCTAAGTCAACATCTTTTTGGTACCAGTATACAACTATAAAACGATAATAATTACATGTAATTTCGATTGTCCGTCGAAATAGATCCCATTAGGCGTGAAAGCTAAAATAGTGGTTAAAATTATATGAATGGATCCCTGAAAATCAGTGATAACACACGAAACGTTTGAAAAGGCGTTGGTTTCAACATCTAGCCATTCATTTAAACATATAGCCATTCAGAGTGATAGGAACTTTAAGTACAATCTGACCACACCTTCCAGGATATTTTTCTTTTTATGAATGATGTGCAGAGGACATATATTCAGAATGGTTTGACATGGGCCATGTGATCAGATTGGGTAACTGCGCCCACGTTGATCACACACGAAACGTTTGAAAAGGCGTTGGTTTCAACATACAGCCATACAGAGTGATAGAAACTTTAAGTACAAACTGACCATATCTTCCAGAACATTTTCCTTTTTTGAAGGATGTGCAGAGGACATATATTCAGAATGGTTTGTCATGAGCCATGTGATCAGGCGTGGTGACTGCGCCCACGTTGTTCCTTACTTCGTGCTGCGCAGTACATGTTCAGCCTGCACAGATGTGTAGAATATTCAACAGAAAGGAAGGATAATTGGATTGCACAGCTCTAAGGGAAAACTTGACGACAAGCCCTGGCTGTTTGTCTGATCATCCCTGGTATTTCGCTGAGGGATTGAAGCAAGAAAAACACAGCCCCTTTAGGCTTCAGGATGCCTTACGCCCCGTGAACTTAAAGCTTAGCCAAACAGGTTGTCCTTGTGGCATTTCGTGGTTGCAACCCATCTTGTGTTTGCAAAGCAAAGTTTTGACTTCACAGGACAGAGCGATCGTTAAAGGGATAGTTTTTTGTTCAACATTCTTCTTCATATGTCACCTATAAAAAAATCAAAACAAGATTGTTGGAATCAAAACTATGTATGAAGAAAAGATAGACAAACATATGCTTTTATCAAACGCAGTCAGGGAAAGTTGTAATTAAACATATAACTCCAGATATAACAACACTGATATAACGAAAGTTGGATAGAACGAACGTACTTCTTATCCCCAGGCGAGGTTTGAAGAGAAACTGACATATGACATATTATTTACCTAATAGTGCGTGAGTTGGGTTTAACGCCGCTTTTAACAGTATTCCAGTTATATCGCGGCGTTTTACCTAATAAATACAACAAAGCTAAGTATCACACTGACAAGGAAGAGAATTTGTGTAAACCCGATGAAGGAGTAAGTATAAACTCCGAAACGTTGTGTTCCACCTAATAAAGAAGTTTACATCCATAACTTCTCTTGCTTATGTGTTTCACTTCTAAATGCCATTTAATTACAGTAACTTAATAATACTGATGAATTTATACTTCCGGTTATTATCATACACTGTATATAACTATTACAAGAAAAATTGTGAATGAATGTTGATTAATTAGTCATCAAAATGTCTATTTCAGAAATAAAGGCGGCTGTAAATATAGGTGACAAAGCCCTTTCCATATTCATAACATAAAACTGCAAAGAGAAGAGTCGATTGTACGATTCCGACTCTTTCATTAGCACGTGTTTATGTGTCACTATCACATAAAAAGATCCCGTAAAGATGAGAGTATCCTGCATTGCATGTAAGTAATTCATGGACTTGGCAAACCGGTGACTGAAAACATGAACAACAATACTTTACCAAGCGGCGTTAAAAACTCACTTACTTTCTAATAACAGGGGCAGATTATTTGTTTGTTTGTTGTTTAACGCCGCACTCAGCAATATTCCAGCTATATGACGGCGGTCTGTAAATAATCGAAACTGGACCAGACGATCCAGTGATTGACATCATCAGCATCGATACGATGACATGCGTCAACCAAGTAAGCGAGCCTGACCACCCGATCCCCTTAGTCGCCTCTTACGGCAAGCTTAGTCGCCTTTTACGGCAAACTACTTAGTTCGTATTCGACAGGGTACCGAATTCGAAGTGCATTTCCGGAAATATTTGCAGGACGTTAGTGAAGCTTGGGATGTTCTCAAACCACAAAACTTAACTTTGTTTTGCATGCAGAGTTCACGATCTCCGCTTTTCTTTGATGAATGCAAGGAGGACGAAGTTCCGCATTGTATACGTGTATAACCTATACACAGACATTAGGTAAATGTAAAGGTAGCTGTCACCTTTGCCTAAGCATTCACTACTCAAACCTTGTATGTCGACCTATGCATGTATGTACAAACGTTTTCCTAATGAATTACATACCAAATGTCAAACCTTTATTCATCTTCTTTCGAAAAGTTTCTAGTAGGTAAGCAATACCCACTGCATGATGCGTTCATTTGAAAACATTATATGCTTTGGCATAATTATTTCTTTTACTATAAACTGAATTCGAACACATTAGTTTTTTCTATGTTTAACAAACTGCCATTTTAAATGTTTGTTTTCTACGAAAAACATCATTTAAACAATTAAAAACAATTAAATGAACGGATATATCCCGATAAAGAACTTTTCACCCTTGATGTAGCTATTTCCTATCTGTAGGAAAAGGATTCCAAGTTGGGGACACTATTCGAAGCTTAGTCCTGTTTAACTCTTCGAATGTTAAACATATTTTTATTTTTGTCTGGACTGATATTCTCTGGCGTTGATGTTTTATATTTACTATACTTTACTAACGCGCTTCCCCTTGTGGGCGTTTCAATAGTGTCCCGTTTGCTTTTAAATTTAACCATATAGTGAAAGGAAACTACTTGGAGAACAAGTAGAAAGGAAGAAAAAGGCGAGACAACAAAACATCTCGCACAGCAAATACTGACACTACTTGGCTTCACGATACGCAAACATTAAAGCATGTCAGATGCAGAGTAGCTTGACATCAATCTTGTTAACAGTTTCTGGAGGATGTCACATGTCTGTGTGGCTGAATGCTCATGGCCATCCCTGGAACACGTGAGCCTCAAGATTTGGTGTTAGATATAAGGTTATTTTAATACTGGTATCTAGAGTGGGTGTATAATGGCCGAGTCTTGATACTGTTCTCTAAATTTTGCGCCCAAACCCTTTCCATATCCAATAGAAATCTCTGCATAAAGAAGAGTCGATTGTACGATTCCGACGATATCATGTGTTTATGAACCACCATTAAGTAGTAATGATACCATTTTCGCGACCTTTTCGGACATTTACCCCGCCTCACCGGTGGCACCCGTCACAAACACATTCAAAGGCAAGTCAATTGTTCATCTAAAAAAACAGGGAATATATGGTACAAGTCAAAATAGGGAATTGCATCGAACATCATTTTTGTCACTGATGCGTCAAATCTAGAAATGTCCTCCACATGTCTACCATGAAACTTTTTGAAAGCTTTACTGAGGCCTTGAATGTTGTAACCTTGATCAAACAACTTCCGAGGAAGAGTCGTAAAACAAACACCGTGGCGAGGCAATCTCATTATTTTAGAAAAAAAAGGGTATAACATGTAGGGAAGTCATGAAAATAGAATCACCACACCAAAAGAGGTGATTTTCGTAACCGGATACCCCGAATCATTTCGGTGAGTATCGGGTGGGATACGCTCCGGTCGACGGAACCACCAGTTTTCGTGCTGTGACTAAGCACATTCTCTGGTTCTTTAGACGAAAGTGAATCATCATCATCATCATCATCATCAACATCATCATCATCATCGCCATCTCCCTTCGTCACATGAAATCTAATTATTAGTATCGCTAAAATATTTCATCTTATTAAGACCCCAGTACCTGGACGTAATCAGATCCCGGCTCAGGAGAGGTACCAAAGTACATATTGATAACCCATCCTGTCATAACGATAATCCTGTCAGACAACAGGTTTTGCAAGCGGAAATATTGATATGCAAATGTCAGCAGTATCATAACAGAAATATTCGGACAGATATATGTCTTGGAATAATTTTATACATTTAAACATGAGAGAAAGATGTTTCTCTTAAATATTCAACGTCAATACTGGAGAATAATTTGTTCGATTATCCACATAAACTGATTCCAATGGGTGTAAACAGGCAAAAAAGTGGTGAAAATTAAATGAATAGATCACTGAAAAATCAGTGATGACACCAGGTGTTCTCGCAAAGGATGTTATTAAACATGTCAAACATCTTTCGTGATGAACCTTCACACGAGTGATGCATGCAGTCCATGTTCTCTTACAAACAAATAGACAAGAAGCCATCAGTAACACAACTGTTTCCTATTTTAGGTAGTTGATTGGCGTGATAATTAGTGTTTATGATCAAAGTCAATCATGGTTTTCCGTTCTTTTATGTTCTAAATCTTTCAGTCTTGGCAACATGAATGGGTTAGTGTGACCCAGACTGAATTGCTGACCATACTCACAAGCCGGGAATATTGGCTCAAAGTTAAATAAATAATTGATCGTCAGAGACCAGGCATACAAATTGCAGCATGTGCAGGTATGTTCGGCACAAATAGGACAAAAAATGAAAAAAATACAACTACTTTCTTTCTATACGATTAGCTGTGTAAGGAATTTGTTCAAAAATATTTTGCAAACGGTTATACTTAAGAAACATTTGCATTGGTGAAATGTTTACCAATTAACGTCTTTATTTGACTAGAGCGTATTTATACATTATTGTACAAATATCTCCCCCTCGGTATGACATATATCATTCATAAGAAAGGCTTAATACGGTATTTTGTTCACGTGTAAAAATCACAGCAGTACTAAGACGGCGATTAAAATAGTGACATTCGTCAATCTTAAAAGCAACAAAAAAGGTGCAAATCTTTTCCACGTATCTCTCGCACATGCGCAAAGCTTATGGATCCAGCGCGCGGAAAGATATGACCTTGCCCTTGCACTTTTATTCAGCCGTTAATCCCTAGTTCCTTTGTTTTAATCCCGGGCTGAAACCATATTTGCTTTATGCCGCCTTTGTATAAAATGAAGATCTTGTGAGAAAAATATAAAGGAAGAAACAAGCGTTTGGAGCAGTAATGTCCCTCTAAAGGTTGTGACAATTATAGGTAGAATAACATTAGTCGACGTGTGATAATTTGGTTGTTACCAATTTGGAATATATGATGTTTACTGTTATCCTGTTGTTTCTTCACGTTGGACTCGGCCAATCACAACATGCATCCAATACGTTTGCCATCGACCTTCAAGGTAGGTACCATTTGACTGCACTCCCTTTCACTCCCATTCAAGTGGTAAATTATACACAATGTGTATCTTCTCGTTATCTACTTTTTAAAAGAGGTATGCCATGACCGATTAACTATAGTAATTATGAAAGAATCGTTTGGTGCTTAACTTCTTCTATAACTGGATACACGTAGACACGGGTCTTCCTATTGATGTCACTTTCGTTATGTTCACACAATTGAGAATCTTTTTCAAATGCCGACAGACCCGTGAAGATCCGGGGTAGAATAGGTCTTCAGCAACCCAGGCTTGCCGTAAAAGGCGATTATGCTTGTCGTAAAAGCGACTAACGGGATCGGGTGGTCAGACTCGCTGACTTGGTTGATACATGTCATTGATCCCAATTGCTCGGATCGATGCTCATGAGATCAATCACTGGATTGTCTGGTCCAGACTTGATTATTTACAGACCTCTGTCATATAGCTGGAATATTGCTGAGTGCGGCGTTAAACAACAAACAAACAATCAAATGCCGATGTTACACAACCACCTTTGAAATCACTCTCCGGGGAGATGAAAACAGAGTATTATATTGCCACATGCTTTTATATGGCGCAAGGTATTGTCTGTTTGTCGTTGTTAAACGACGCAATTTTCCAGCCATAAGACGGCGGCATGTAAATAATCGAGTCGTGAACAGACAATCCAGTGATTGATATTATCAGCAACGATTCCAGTTGTCGGAGTCAATGGATGATAGCTATCAACCAAGTCATCGAGACTGACCACCAGAACCATTTCGTCGTCTGTTACGACCATCATAGGTTCCTGGAGACCAATTCTAACCCGGAATCCCCACGGGGATCTGATTATCAGTATTGTTATTTTACACAAAAATATATGTGACATTATCTCGAACACATTTACGGAATGAATATCACAAGTATTGGATGAACTAAATTTATGAGTGAGTGAATATAGTTTAACGCCGCTTTTAGCAATATTCCAGCAATATCACGGCGGGGGACACAAGAACTTAATTTATAACTTTAAAGATTATTAACTGCCGGTAAAAGAATGTATAGGCACACGTTTGATGGTCGATAAAACTAAAACAAACAAAAAATGGTTATTCGACGGAATCCCTTTTTGAAATACAGGCACACATTCTTCACCCAGAAAAAGGTACAAGGTGCGATTTGCCAACGCGTGTTGTACTGGTGTAATTTAAGAAGATACTCTGCACAAATGTTTCACTTCGAACTGTGAATACAAATAAACGTCAGGATCCAGATGCTTGCATTCAATTACTAAACTGTCGGCAAAGGAAGGTATACCAAGAAATGGTTATGGGGTGTTAATGTATTTTATACTGGTTTCATTGTTGTGTTTGGTCTTTAAGATTGCATTTTTTGCGACTGTATTCAGCCTTGTGTATATTTTTGTCTTCTTCTGTAATAGGCATTTAGAAGTTGGTGTACTAATTAAGTAAGGATAAGAATTTATGGATGAACAACTTCTTTATTACAATAAAGAGCGACGTTTCGGTGTAGGTTATAACGGTGTTAGAACCTACACCGAAACGTCGCTCTTAATTGTAACAAAGAAGTTGTTCATCCATAAATTCTTATCCTTACTTGTGTATATTCATGCCAGGCGGTTTAGACTGAACCATGTTTAATATCCGTGGTTTACATGAACATGTCAAGTAAACATGGTCTTGCTGAATATCCTTTAATCAATCTGCTATGCTGACGTAAACGATACATTACATCCATGTTGCTATATATATGTATATAATCAGTATCGATTATCTGTCGGAACAGGTTCTATTGTTCATAAATAGCGGTGGAAATTATATGAAATGGACCCCTGAAAATCAGTGATGGCGCCAGGTGTTCGCGAAAAGGGTGAAACAAGATTAACACAAATAGAAAATTAACAGTTATCTTTATGAATGATAGTCAGAATATATTTTCCATGACCAAACAAAAAACACCCAATGATATTACTGACGAAATACTGAGAAGGTTAATATAGCAAAAGAGTAACAGTATTATTTAAAAAAAAGCTCGAAAAAGTTCGTCTCGTGAAGAATCCGGGTTATAATTGATCTTCAGCAACCCATGCTTGTCGTAAGAGGCGACTGACTGGATCGGGTGGTCAGGCTCGCTGAATTGGTTGATGCATGTCATCGTATCCCAATTGCGTGAATCGATGCTCATGATGTCAACCGCTGGATTGTGTGATCCAGATTCGATTATTTACAGACCGCCGTCATATTGCCTAGTGCGGCGGTAAACAACAAATGATAATAATAATAATAATAATAATAATAATAATAATAGAAAACGTTTTTCCGAAAAGAGACCAATTTAACAGTTTGAATATTTGAATTGGTAACAATGGTGTATAAGGGCGGGTTGTTACAGTAGCCTGTAATTCAAGCCAAATGTTAAAACTGAACTAGTCTGACAGCGATTCGCTTACGAACACACACGCGCTGTATGCCCATGTCTGTAATTGCCGAAGATAAGGAAAAATAGTGGAGAAGCAATGTTCACACATAGTTAGGGCGTCAAAATAGCGTTCACCTTTTCCAAGTAGAGGCTGACATCGTTTAGAACGCTTTGTATACATTAAATGTGTAGATGCCCTTTACGCCCATTGGAATTTGTTTTGTCGAATAGTGGTGACTTGTTATCCTCCTTTTTCGACGTTCCATATTTACATTTATAAGACCGTGAATGAGAGAATGGTAATTTGTTCACGCAAAATCAACGTATTTTTTCTTTTGTCTCTTTAATTAACCTATATCACGCGCCCATTCAGATTTCGTCAAAACTAGACCATAGAAACCATTAGTGTAAGTTTCAATCAATGGTTGTGGTTACAAACACTCTTCGTGGGGGGGGGGGGGGGGGGGGGGGGGGGGCACGGGTTGCCCAGTCGTCTAAGGCGCCGCGATTCGCTGTGCAGAGTTGCGTCCCTTTGGCACGCCAGAAACCTATGATTGTAGCTTCGAATCCCGGTTCGCCCCGATTATGTTTCTAGGTTTGTCAGCACCATACCCGTGCTCGTGGGTTTCAGAGAAGTGGTAAACGTCTGAGACCTGCATCACTTGGGGCTTTCCTCCCACATTAAGCTGACACGCCGTGATATAACTAGAATACTGTTAAAAGCGGCGTAAAACCCAACTCACTCACTCACTCACTCACTTTGTCAGGGGACAGTTGCAAAAAGAGTGAGTGAGTATGGTTTAACGCCGCTTTTAGTAATATTCCAGCAATATCACAGCGGGGACACCAGAAATGGGCTTCACACAATGTACCCATGTCGGGAATCGAACCCGGGTCATCAGCGTGACGGACCCGTGAAGATTCCGGGGTAGAATAGGTCTTCAGCAACCCATGCTTACCGTAAAAGGTGACTATGCTTGTCGTAAAAGGCGACTAACGGGATCGGGTGGTCAGGCTCGCTGACTTGGTTGATGCATGTCATCGATCCCAATTGCGTGGATCGATGCTCATGATATTAATCACTTGATGGTCTGGTCCAGTCTTGATTATTTACGGACCGCCGTCATAAAGGTGGAATATTGCTGAGTGCGGCGTTAAACAACAAACCAACTAACCAACCAATCTTCAGCGTGATGAGCGAACGCTTTAACCACTAGGCTACCCGACCACCCCAGTTGCAAAAAGAGATCTCTCCTCTACGACTCCCATACTTTAACATTGTCTTACGACAGTGTGAGCGCTAAGAACGCTTTTGGGAACGGGGTCCTGGAGTGAGAACATCCCCTGCCTGCACAATGCGATCGTATCGCAACTGCCACTTTTCTAACGCCTACATTTTAACACTGGCTGAGAATAGCTGCAGCTCAGATTGATCCCGGTTCGCCCCGATTATGTTTCTAGGTTTGTCAGCACCATACCCGTGCTCGTGGGTTTCAGCGAAGTGGTAAACGTCTCAGACCTGCATCACTTCGGGCTTTCCTCCCACATTAAACTGACACGCCGTGATATAACTGGAATACTGTTAAAACGGCGTTAAACCCAACTCACTTTCATTTGGATAGTTAGAATAAATAATACAGTTACACTAAACACCGATCAGCAACCAAGTTAAGAGGAATGCTACGTTACGTAGTTCTGAAAGAGGAAATACAGATCCCTGCACCTTATTCCGCCAAACGCCTCACGTCGCTGAAGTACGATGCAGTTTCAGCCAGGTCTAAAAAAGAAGTGTGACCACCAGGTCTCGATAAAGGTAAAACGAACGAGGAAGCATTGCCACATTCCTGCATTTTCAGAATCCTTAGTCGTGATCTGTTCATGCTAACACAAGTTAACATTTAAAAAACATATTTCACTGACAGTGTTATGAAGGAAGATCTTAAAATCTTAAGGTGAGGGATAACCCAAAGTTACCAGCGATTCCAACACATTTAAATGCAATTTCCTATGCATTGGTAATAAATCCCTTGGACAAGCTTAATCCTGACAAAAACGGATAGCGAAACTTAACCAGGGTATTTCGGATCGTAAACATTTTCAATAGGATCTACCACCTCCGTGGCGAAGTGGATATAGTCCGGAGTTGAAGGGCGGTGGATGGATCTTATGGCCGCGTCATTCCAAAAGACGTTAAAAGATGGTACTTGTTGTTACCCTGCCTGGCGCCAGCTTGGTATTAAGGGGATAAAATGAAGCCTGGTCTTCTTGGAGTCAGTAAAATGTGTTTTAGAAGGCAATACATAGAGCAGGGTAGCACAAAAGAACTGACGTAAGTTTTGACTAGTAAAAGCAGCAGGAATGTTCGTCGCAATGTCAGTGGAATAATCATGAACGCTAAGTTAAACCGCATTTTACCTCCAATCAAATCTTGGGCCGTCTACCTCAAAACCTCCCCCCCCCCAAAAAAAACAACCAACAACCCCCAAACAAACCAACAAACCAACAAAACAAACAAACCAATTTGCAAATTATTTACTGAAGAAACAACAAACGAGATCATGAATACTTTTAGGGGCATTTTTGATATCTTCTCCGACAGACCGCTCCCTCTGAAGCTATGCTTAGAGATGAGAAACCCACAAAAAAGTAACACTATGGATCTCCATATATTATCAGGCCAAAAATTGTCTGATGTATTGCCCTATTTGGACTTCCAGCATATGATCCTGTGTTTTTCAGGTGTACAATTGATTTGCCTTTGCATGTGTTTGTGACGGGTGCCACCGCTGAGCAGGATAAGCTCACCTTTTGGCGAACACTTGGTATCATCACTATTTGATAGTGATTCATAAACACGTGCTTATGATATAGTCGGAATCGTACTATCAACTGCTTTATGCAGAGTTTTCTATTGGATATGGAAACGGTTTGTCGCTTTATTTACACTGACCAACAAAAATGCTTTTTTCTAAATTACAGAAATGTGTGAGGAGTGTGACACGTCCACAGGTTCTGGGTACGTGAATCACCCCAAGTACTGCCATCTGTTCATCCATTGCTCAAGGGGTGCTAACGACAACCTTAGAGGGGAAGTGAAGGAATGCACAAGAGGGCTTCTGTGGTCTCAGACAGTCAAACAATGTGTTTGGCCGAACGAGTCAGACTGTCCTACAAGTAAGTGGTTGATAACATATAAGACCTTCGTGTGTTAACAATCTTTTGTTTGTTTATTTGTTGTTTAACGCCGCGCTCAGCATTATGCCAGCTATTTGACGGCGGTCTGTAAATAATCGAGTCTGAACCAGACAATCCAGTGATTAACATCATCAGCATCGATACGATGACATGCATCAACCATGTTAGCGAGCCTGACCACCCGATCCCTTTAGTCGCCTCTTACGACAAGCATAGTCGCCTTTTACGGCAAACTACTTAGTTCGTATTCGACAGGGCACCGAATTCGAAGTGCATTTCCGGAAATATTTGCAGGACGTGAGTGAAGCTTGGGATGTTCTCAAACCACAAAACTTAACTATGTTTTGCATGCAGAGTTCACGATCTCCGCTTTTCTTTGATGAATGCAAGGAGGACGATGTTCCGCATTGTATACGTGTATAACCTATACACAGACATTAGGTAAATGTAAAGGTAGCTGTCACCTTTGCTTAAGCATTCACTACTCAAACCTTGTATGTCGACCTATACATGAGCATCGATCCACGCAATTGGGATCGACGACATGCATCAACCAAGTCAGCGTTACATGCCTCCTGTGAAAGGTTTGAAATTCCCACAAGTGTTTGTCCTTCAAACAAGCCATGTATTACTTTTAAAATCTTGTTCCTGTGAAATAAGGCCAGATTTTACAAAGTCATATAGTTTTATTCATTAATTGCTTTTCAATTTTCTTTTGGATTATTGTTACCATGTTAACAATAAGTTAAGTTTTAGGTCTTCAAATCCTGGTTGTGTTAAATAGGGTCAGAACTTAATCAGGTGATTTATTGCTTTGTTAAAATCCTATGTATTAGTCCTTAAATCCTGTTTCGGTTTAACAAGGTAACTGTTTTAAAGAAGTCATAATCTTTTAGCAAAATCATGTTTTCGTTCAATAAGGCCACTATTGTAAGAAAGCCATAGACATGTTCACAAGTTGCTTGTCAATTTGTATTTGCTTAATTGCATATGTTAAACGTGTAGCGCTATCGTCGTTGTGTACTCATTCATGACTTACGTTTCATGTTTACCTGTATTTATGTTTGTTACTATGAGCCTTTCGTAAATGTAAACCCAATTCCAAATCGGGTAATAAAGTATTATCTTAACTTAACTCTTGCCTTATCTTAAATGTTCCATTCTCAAGAACAGTTTATCATCCATGTCATTACGAATAGATGTTATGTTTCTGTGAACTGTTTCTGACTGTTTTAAAATAATGGTGTTTTTAATGTAATTTGAACCTTCGTAATCAGCACCCCGTTTTTACAGAAACAATGGCTGTTTGAAATTTCAGTTACGGCTCTTTATTTTAACGTGTACAGCAATGTCCAGATTTACGGGGTTCTATTCTACGCAATGTGAACTAAGCTTAGTGTTGAGCAATAGTATTGTCACACCCTCGACAGCCGTAATCCTAGAATTTGTGAGTTATCTGTCCAAACCGATAACATCTTAACATATGTAAAGAAGAACACCTTTAGTTCGGTCCCCGTTAATACGGAAACCCTCTTTTCCGGACTATTCTTGTCGGAACGTCTATATACACACAGAAAAAAAAATATTACTCTATCAAATTGATTTGTTAACCCATACACTTGTTTCTCCTTACGATTATACTGGGACAATACAGTCTGGATAAACGACGTTTCCTGTACTACATTTACATTTCGTCCTTCAGATCCCTGTTACAACAAATCCCTGTCTTTCCGCGACTTACGGAACTGCAATGGATTTTTCACCTGCCCCAAAGCCGTCCGTTTGCTGTACAACTGTTGCCCAACAGATGAACGATTTGACGAATCTCAAGGAATGTGTGTACCAAGCCCTGGTTGTAACGACCCGTGCCTGCCAGGATCCTCAAATTCTTCCTCCGAACCACCAGGTAGGTCCACAACGCCAATCACTGTAATTACATTCCACTGGAGGTTGTCTCTTTTGTTCCTCGTCTTGTCGTCAACACAGAAATACCTCAATGACGAATTTCCTGGAAGCACGTGTCTCTGCTATGGCGCCGTCCCCTCATCAAACTCTCGTGTGCCTAGGGAGCGTGTTGCACTCACATATTATTTGCAGTAGAAGAAGCTGTTAAATCATCGTGAGCTGACGTCAATAGGACACCCTCATGTTTGGTATTTAAAGACTAGAACATGTCCTGATAAATTTACACTGTTGTAAACGATGCCCAGGACGACAACGCTCTCATCACTCATCAAAAATGCATTTTATCAAGTTATTGAAATAAAGCGACAAAACCCTTACCATATCTAATAGAAATCTCTGTATAAAGCAGTGTCGATTGTACGAATATTTTAACCCGTTGTTGTGTGTTTTCAAAATATACAACGATGTTGAATATATAACTGGACAAGTACTAGGATCTTGGGTAAAAAGTTTATGCGATAGAGCATATTCTCAAAATAGTAGCTCGTTATGTTGTTCCCATTTTGCCTCTACATCTATGTAAACAAGGGGATGATAATACATATTGATGTGTACACATCAAGTGTCCAGATTGCTGGATCAATCTAAATATTTGATATACACGTACGTCCTTCGCCATAATTCATGCTACATATACATGTATATACATCAACGTTCTGCTATAATAAAATCATTACATAAATGTAGTTTCCACTTATCGTTGAAATGCAGGCTTGTATGTTGCAATACAATGATTCTTCGCTCTGCAGATCAGATTCAGACATGTATTTTTTAATCCAACGTTTATGTACTGCAGAATGTAAACGGTTCCCTTATTCTGTAGATGAAATTCAGCCATGTATTTTGTAATCCAACGTTTATGTACTGCAGAATGTAAACGGTTCCCTTATTCTGTAGATGAAATTCAGACATGTATTTTGTAATCCAACGTTTATGTACTGCAGAATGTAAACGGTTCCCTTATTCTGTAGATGAAATTCAGACATGTATTTTGTAATCCAACTTTTATGTACTGCAGAATGTAAACGGTTCCCAAACCTCGTAGATGAGATTCAGACATGTATTTTTTAATCTAAATTTTATGTACTGCAGAATGTAAACGGTTCCCTTATTCTGTAGATGAGGTTCAGACATGTATTTTGTAATCCAACTTTAATGTACTGCAAATGTAAAAGGTTCCCTTATTCCGTAGATAAGACACATACATATATGTTGTCATCCAACGTTAATGTACTGCCGAATGTAACGGTTCCCTTATTCCGTAGACAAGACACATACATATATGTTGTAATCCAATGTGTATGTACTGCAAATGTAAACGGTTCCCCCACTCAGTAGATGAGATTCAGACAGGTATTTTTTAATCTAACTTTTATGTACTGCAAAATGTAAACGGTTCCCTTATTCTGTAGATGAAATTCAGACAAGTATTTTGTAATGCAGTTTTTATGTACTGCAGAATGTAACGGTTCCCTTATTCCGTAGATAAGACACATACATATATGTTGTAATCCAACGTTTATGTACTGCAGAATGTAACGGTTGCCTTACTCCATAGATAAGACACATACATATATGTTGTAATCCAACGTTTATGTACTGCAGAATGTAACGGTTGCCTTACTCCGTAGATAAGACACATACATATATGTTGTAATCCAATGTGTATGTACTGCAAATGTAAACGGTTGCCTTACTCCATAGATAAGACACATACATATATGTTGTAATCCAACGTTAATGTACTGCCGAATGTAACGGTTCCCTTATTCCGTAGACAAGACACATACATATATGTTGTAATCCATCGTTTATGTACTGCAAATGTAAACGGTTCCCTTATTCCGTAGATAAAACACATACATATATGTTGTAATTCTACGTTTGTCTTGCAGAATGTAAACGGTTCGTTCACCCTGAAGGTAAAAACAAGTACATCTGGGAGACTGGCGGTACTAACTCCACCTTCAACTGTGCCCAGGGCACCGCCTTCTCCGTCGACTCCTGCAGCTGCACGGACTCTGTAGACCTGACGAGAATGGGTAATGTACACACGTCATTTATGGGACCCGTGAAGATCCAGGGTAGAATAAGTCTTCAGCAACCCATGCTTGTCGCAAAAGGCGACTGTACTCGTCGTAAGAGGCGATCAACGGGATCGGGTGGTCGCGTTCGCTGACTTGGTTGATGCATGTCCTCGTATCCCAGTTGCGTGAATCGATGCTCATGATGTCAAACACTGGATTGTCTGGTCCAGATTATTTACAGACCGCCATCATATAGATGGAATGTTGCTAAATGCGGCGTTAAAGAACAAACAAACAAACATATTTTTTATCATTCAACCTGTCCATTTCGTCTTTTGTAGTGGATTCCAAAGCTCCATAAGTATACGTACAAAGAGCAGGAGTTAAACAAAAAAAAATAAACAAACATCTTCTAGAATTCTGACAGGTTACATATTCTGCCCATTACACGTATCTATTATCGGTTTTCGTTTTGTACTTCATTTCAAACAATCGTCATTAACTACAAAATGGGACCAACTTCCTAATATTTGAAATAATTCGACTGCTGGTTCGTTCACTTCTGTCAGGGCAAGTTGACCATCACGTAAATGATCAGGACCCGTGAAGATCGGGTTAGAATTGACCAGCAACCCAATGGCATGCTGGTTGCAAGAGGTGACTAACGGCATTGGGTGGTAACTCGATTGATCCACGTCACCGTATATCCCATTTGCGTAGATCGATGTTCATGATGTTAATCTCTGGATTGTCTGGTCCAGACTCGAATGTTTGCGGCTGTTTTATAGCTGAAATATTGCTGAGTGCAGCGTTTAACAACTATTAAGAAAACCTAAAAGAACCTTTTTATTCTTGTTCATTGAGAAGTTTTAGTCACCTCCATTATCAAAATAACCACGGATATGTACCAAGACAGTAGAAACCTATATTTATAACAAACTGAAATCTTTATTTTAACAATTGTAGAATTTTTTTTGTATACTTCGTATAATGCAGTCAAGATTTTCTCCTGTGATGACCACCATCTTTGCACGAGCACATGGCAACATTCAATTTCTACAACGATTCCTAGGTGTAGGTTTAGAATGTCTCGCTTCTATGTGTAACCTGTTTACACAAGACAGGTTTACGAGTTCGTATCTCCTGGAGGTCTTGTTTGTTTTATTTAACACACATGAACATGAACATGAACATACAAATTCAATCTTGATATTCGTTAAATTGTCCTATAAAGGTCACTGGATTACATACACATGTGACGTTCTTGAACATAATAGGTACAAGTACGTTAGTAATTTTCTTGAAAGCTGTTGTTTTGTTGTTTCTCAACGTCCACCACAACTAAATGAAAATGTCCTGATTCCATTTAATCTAATTGATGTATCATTTACACAATGCTGTCAAAAACCCATTCGTTTATTTGTGTTTGAGTTAAAGAACTGCCTAATTATGAATTGTTTTAGCAAATTATTGGTTTGTTGTTTAATGTCACACTCAGCTCTGTGACAACCGCCTGTAAATTCACAATCTGACACATATTAACGGTCACGTGAGACGCTGAACTATATGCAATCAGAGGATTTACTTTCTAACCTGCAGAAGATGACGCTAGTTATGAGATGGTAGCCGATGACGTTTTTATTTCTCGTAATCAAGATTGTTCCTGCAAATAATCCAGTTGGATTAACTGCCTTCATTTACACTTGAAGCCATTTGAGTAGATGTAAACGCCCTTACCTTATTGATATTCATTCTCGTAGAATACACCTCAATATTTTCTAAGAACCAACCTTTGACTGAAGATGATTATTTTGGTCCTCAGAAAATGATGAGTATATAAAACAATAGGTGAGCTACAGAGCCTTGATGCTATTGGTGGAGTGTACATTTGGTTTATATTACAAACTTTTCAACTAACGGCTAACACCTTGCAATTTTGAATGTGGGATTAAAACAAATATTTCCGTAAAAAAAGAGAGTTAAATATCAGTCATGTTTTTTTTTTTCTAATACAGCCAAATGCGAGCCGTACATTTACCTCCCCTTTGATGAGAATGTCAAGGACAAACTTGGACGTACTGCTACCGGTGGCATCGATTCTTGGATTCAAAGGTCTGAACCAGCTTCAATAGGTGGTGGATCTGTATATTTCAATGGCCATAGACAGGTGATCGCCTGGGCCCTCAACAACATGGAGTTCAAATCCAACTTCACGTTATACTTCCGCTTTAAGGCGGACTTCAAACAAAGTCAGAAAGGAGAAAAATTTGCTCTGGTTGATAATAGTGACTGCGAGAAGGAGGCAACTTTTGGGATCGCCTTGTTGCGTTCCGGGGTCAAGACAGGGTCAGTTCATGGAGGATTCAGATTAAAGAATGGACAAGCAGTCACCACCAGTTCGAGAGATATCGTAAGTTGATAATTCGATCGATACAATACAACTGAGTGAGTATGGTTTTACACCGATTTTAGCAATAGTGCAGCAATATGACGGCGAGGGTCGCCAGAAATGGGTTTCACAACACAACGACCCATGTGGGGAATCGAACACTTTATCCCATTAGCTACCCCACCGCCCCTCGAGAGATACAGGAGTGTCAACATGCGTTAGTTTAACGGAGCTTTGAACTGTATATATCAGGGTTATATAACGGCGTTCCCAGCTTGTGGAGAGTTTACAATCATGCAGGATTTAGAACTTTACCACTCGAGTGTTCACACAAAGAGATATTTAACCAAGGCGAACCGGGTTTCAAATCTGAAATTCGAAAAAGGATTTCTGGTACACTTAAGTGGCGGACTTGCAGCGCCTTAGACGACTGGAAATCAATATGCATTAAGCATGTGTCATTCTGTTAAGCAACTGTTGAAGCAGATTTTCCGCTTTGGCTGTCAGTGTCCTGAGCCATGTCATGTTTAAATATAGTTTGTGTTATCTCTCGTCAAATGTGCCTATAAGGATATGAGTAAAAGTGAATTGCCTGTCGCTCCAAACAATTAAAGGTGTTAAAGAAATGTTGTCATGTTATCGCTTTAAAATCCACTCAAAATGCAAAGTTCAAAAGAATTACTGAAATTTGTTCATCGACAAACACGCCCCTTTTTTCAACCCTTGTTTGTGCAGCCCCTGAACGTGTGGCACGAGGTAATCCTGCTGAAGAACGGACCCGTCACAGAACTGAGGGTGGACGACGAGGTGTACCCCATTGAGGGAATAGGTAGGGTCAAGCTACTGTTTTACAGAAGTTCTTCTTCCAGGTGACGTCAAAAGAATTATTAATGAATTCAGAATCCTCGTTGGCCGACTAATGCTGGCGCAAAGCAAACGTGAATTACCCAGCCCATTCACATTAGGACATTAAAAGTAGATTGGGTGATTCGACAGTTTTCTAAATATGTTGTCCATGTGTACTATATTTCTATTATTCATTTCTCGTTGCTTGCTCATTGCTGAAACTAGTAATGTACGTATGCATGTATAAGCCATAACTTCATCAATTTTGTTTCGCCAGAACAAATAACATCCAAATGTGAAAACCATAATGTTCTGACATTCCCTAGGTCTGGAGGCTGACATTTCCCGTGTGGACTGTTCCATGACCGTTGGGAAAGGGACAGGTCTGGTCAATTTCATTGGCTACATTGACGAGGTAAGGACATGTACATAGCACAGGAGAGGGATGGGGGATTGGATACTTGGTTGACAGACTTTATTTCTGTAAAGACTTTTTCGGATGATTGACACATAAACATGACATCATATTCACATGATTACATTTAAAAAAAACACCTCAAAAGAGAATGTCAAATGGTCGACCCCTATTCATTGTTGGCCTTGCGCTGCCAGATTCACCATAGTGAAAATACAGATCGTTAATAATCTACTATGACCAACCCAAACCGCCCAAACTGTGCCATTGAATGACACATATAATTTAATTAAATTAAATTAAATATAATGGCGTGTGTACATTTTAGAAACGTTTCAAAATACTTTTATCTGACGATGTATATCAATAGTATCTTTTTATTGTCTATTGCACGTTAAAGTGAACCGTAATAGCATTATTTGCGTCAGTTTACATGTTTTTTTTAAATATTAATATTTGCACGTTTACCCTTCTTGCCTACATTTTTCTGTCTGTGTATGCTTCACGTTCAGATCATATTACAGACAGCCTCCGTGGTCTACTGGTAGGGCGTCCGCCCGGAGAGCAAAAGCCCGGGATTCGATCCCCGGCCGCGTAATACCAAAAAACGTTAAAAGATGGTACTTGTTACTCTGTCTGGCGCTCCTCATTAAGGGGCTAAAACAAGGACTGGTCGGCTGGTATACTGCGTCTAAGTGGGGTATTCATGTTAAACTGCGGCATGGTATCTCAATGGGCTAGCACTATAAAATCGGCATCAGTCCGGACTATTTCAGGCAGACACACACACGCATCCACGTCGCTATATGTGTGCAATAATCTTGGACGCGACGGAAAACACAATTTCTCCTCACCTCAGCTTTGGCCCGTGAAGATTCTGTTTAGAATAGTCTTCAGCAACCCATGCTTGCCGTAAAAGGCGACTATGCTTGTCGTAAGAGGCGACTAAGGGGATCGGGTGGTCAGGCTCGCTAACTTGGTTGATGCATGTCATCGTATCCCAATTGCGTGGATCGATGCTTATGATGTAAATCACTGGATTGTCTGGCCCAGACTCGATTATTTACAGACCGCCGTCATATAGCTGGAATATTGCTGAGTGCGGCGTTAAACGACAAATAAACAATCACCTCAGCTGGTATTACAGCTTCACGTTTACTCTCTGCAGGTGAAGTTCTACAAATGTGTTCCCCCCGAGTACGTCAGCAAGTAACATCGGTTGGTACAGCAGCGAGAGCACCAGATGAGCAGCTCATTAAAGTTCATATTGTTGTTGTTTCATCGAGAGGCTGCTGGTTTGAATGTATAGTATGTCGATGTAGATGAATATATATTCAAGAATGTTCTTTACGTATGTGTTCGAAACATTGTATTATGACTTTTTACATGTATGTATTATTGTTGTAAGGATAATATTACCATTGATGTTGCATGAGATAAGATACACGTTTGAATAAATGCTTAAACTATCCTGTGACTTATCGCCAATTTCAGTTAAAAATTTCATAAAATAAATCCTGAGATGTATCTGCTGAAAGCAGAGTCCATTGTGTGAGTACAAGTAAATCATAAGCATATGCTTATGAATTGTTATACAACATTTTGACGATCCCAATTCACGTGTTCGCGATAAGGTAAGCATATCCTGCCCCACCAGTAGCACACCCGTCACAAACGCATGCAAGGGCAAGTCAACTGTTCACCTGAACAAACATAGGAACATGGGGTTCAAGTCAAAATTGGGAATCGCATCGGACATCAATTTTGTCACTGATGCGTCAGATTTGGAAATGTCCTCCACATGTCTCGATTAAACCTCCTCAACTTCACCGAGGCTTCGAATGTTATAAATCTGTTACCCTTCAAGTCAATTAGAGAATCGCATCGGCCATCAATTTTGTCACTGATGCGTCTGATTTGGAAATGTCTTCCACATGTCTCGATTAAACCTCTTCAACTTCACCGAGGCTTCGAATGTTGTAAATCTGTTATCCTTCAAGTCAATTAGAGACTCGCATCGGACATCAATTTTGTCACTGATGCGTCAGATTTGGAAATGTCTTCCACGTGTCTCGATTAAACCTCTTCAACTTCACCGAGGCTTCGAATGTTGAAACCCTGTTACCCTGTAACACAAGCATTGAAATAAACTGTGACTTTGAATATTTTAACATTTTCACCCTCAAGGTACTCTCACAGGTGGTGCCTCGGGGGATGACCTTGTATATAGGGTGGGTCACATTGTAAGCAATCGCTACCCCCATGACCGTGCCTTGTCCCCTCTCCGCGTGGGCTGCTGAAACTGGCCACCTCACGTGTCAACACTCGGCTCTTTTGAAGCGCAGACTCCTGGCTTATCAAAGCCTCATTGCTTCTTGTCCACATCGCCATTATGTTTGGCGTCAGATTGTACAAATCAGATGTTGTTTGGAGAGGAATTGTAAGATACTTGTTTAAACAATTAAGGTGTTTGGAAAGGAAATTTTTCAAAGGAAACTCTCAGCTTAAGAAACAATTAACCGACATGACACTCTCCGGGTAGTAGAAGTGTAAATGTTTACTTTGGGAGACTCATCACTGTTCACACCCATTTCAGGCATCCTTAAACACGTTGAACTTGATCAAGTTGAGGCGTCTACACATGGCTCTGGATTCGAACAGGGAAATTCCGTTACACAACATTAATGTAATAACCGTCGAAATACACTCTCGTTTTCAATTTATTTTTCCAATTGTGTTTGGTTTAAATAGGATTTTGAGGACAATTCTTTTAACTAGTTAATATTCTACCTCCCATTGTATAATATCCCATTCACCTATTGGGGGAGTAATAATTATGATAAATAATAATAAAACAAATAAATAATAGGCCATTTATATTGCGCACGAGTAGGAATATTTTTTTTCACTTGCATTGTAAACTGAATGGTATATTTTACGTAAACCTACTTACGCCACAAATGATTCTCTTAAAATAGATTTGCATCTCCATCAGACCCAATGATTGCTTGTCCTCGTACCCAAACGGAGTGGGTCGTTGCTCGCAATATCACACACACGCACGCAGGCACGCACGCACGCACGCACGCACGCACGCACGCACGCACACACACACACACATACACACACAAAGAAACCAAAAAAACCAAAAAAAACCAAACAAACAAAAACCAAACAATCACACACACAAAAACACACGCCATTAAACCCTTTCATCAAAACATATTTTTGGAATAAATTTTCATGTTTCGCAAACAGAAAGCGTTCGATTCGGGATATAGTGTGGTTTCCGAAAGTGCATATTGCGGATAAGACTGTTTTGACGCGATCATCCTTGTAATTATTTTTTTATGATTTGAGTTCCATTCAGAACAATCCTCTTTCTCTCCCACGTTGTCATCATAGCTGGGCTCGCTAGCGACACACGGCAAACATGCATTCCTAAGAACGCTACCGACGCTGCTTTTGCAACTCACCAGGTAGGGTGAGGGTACAATATACTGCTCCTCAGGCATAAATATTCCGTATAGTTTCTTCTGCCCATTTTAAACAAACCGATGAGTCACTATACGCGAGCATGCATTGTCTGAAACAGCATGTCACACCACATTCAGTAGCCTCAACTGTTTACACAGGGCTAGATAAAGGTGTCTAGTCACTGCACATGCACTGAACTGAACATTATTTTTTACCACAAATATATACTGTTTGGGTGTTTTTTTTTGTTTAACGCCGCACTTCGCAATATTCAAGCTATATGACGCCGGTCTGTAAATAATCGAGTCTGGACCAGACAATCCAGTGATCATGAGCATCGTTCTAATAAATTAGGATACGATGACATGCATCAACCAAGCCAGCGAGCCTGACCCGATCCCGTTAGTCGCCTCTTACGAATATCATAGTCGCCTTTTACGGCAAGCGTGGGTTGTGATTTGATTGAAAGAGGTAAGTATCGTGATACTTTTAGGGGTAGTTTTATAAAATAGTGTCTTCACGACAAAAATATCCACAAACATATTCATGACCCCTAACATTTTTGCTCAGCATATACAGGATGGTTTTAATAACACAAAACACCTGGTGTTATCAACGATGTTCAGTGATGGACTAATTGGCCCTTTACACCCAATGGAACCTGTTTCGGCGGATAATGGTTTATTCTCCGGAGGGACACGGGTGGCCCAGTCGTCTAAGGCGCCGCGATTCGCTGTGCAGAGTTGCGTCCCTTGGGCACGCCAGAAACCTATGATTTTGGGTTCGAATCCCGGTTCGCCCCAATTATGTTTCTAGGTCTGTCAGCACCATACCCGTGCTCGTGGGTTTCACCGAAGTGGTCAACGTCTGAGACCTGCATCACTTCGGGCTTTCCTCCCACATTAAGCTGACACGCCGTGATATAACTGGAATAATGTTAAAAGCGGCGTTAAACCCAACTCAATCACTCAATTATTCTCTGGCGATGACGTTCCATATTAAGATTTATGAATGAATATATCTTACCGCGCGGTCGTATTGGACAATATTTTACGTTATCATTTCAATTTTTGTAAAAGACAAATACAAGGCTTATGTATATTCCTATAAACTACTTTTCTTTCAGTATTGAAATAAGTTAAGAGCCACGATAGGATAAAAAAAGCTGAGTGTTAAAAATTGTCATTTCTTTCGACATTGGGTATTTAATGTTGGGTCGGTATAATCTTAAAACTCCGTGGGGATTCCGGGTTAGGGGGAATCTAAAGTAAGGGGCGACTAAATGGATCGGGTGGTCAGGCTCGCTGACTTTGATTTGATTTCATCGTGCCCGAATTGCGTTGATTTATGCACGGTATCTCCCTTCCTGGCAGCTTGGGTCCTGGTGACAAATGATATCAATTGCTGTTTTATTTTTGTCCAGACTCTAAAAATTCCATGCCGCTATATTGTAATATTGTAACGTGCGTTGTTTAACAAACCTATATACAGAAAAAACAACACGCAAACTAAACACGTGAAGAAATCATACTCAGTTTCAAAGTATATAGCTGGTTTTTTTGTATATATTGTGTTTTCGGGCAGATATACATGTACGCCTCTTGAATAGATCACGGATCATAATCAGTGTGAATCTTGGATCCTGGTACAAATAAGGGACGCAACTGTGCTATGCGAATTTCCGTTTCATAGACCACAGCGCCGACTCAGTAGCAACACTGTCAATGATATTTTTTCTAAACAATACGCCAAATCATCAAATACTTATCAGTTCAACTGGCGCACATAAACTTATAAACCTCAAGTGACATCTTCCTTAGTATTGTTTTTCTACACAAAGTCCCCGACCCAGTATATATTCTACAGAAAGTCTCCCGACCCATGGATATTCTACACAAAGTCCCCCAACCCTGGGATATTCTACACAAAGTCCCCCGACCCAGGGATATTCTACACAAAGTCCCCCGACCCAGGTATATTCTACACAAAGCCCCCCGACCCTGGGATATTCTACACAAAGCCCCCCGACCCAGGGATATTCTACACAAAGTCCGCCGACCCAGGTATATACTACACAAAGTCCCCCGACCCTGGGATATTCTACACAAAGTCCCCCGACCCAGGTATATAATACAGAAAGTCCCCCGACCCAGGTATATAATACAGAAAGCCCCCCGACCCAGGTATATACTACAGAAAGTCCCCCGACCCAGGTATATTCTACACAAAGTCCCCCGACCCAGGTATATACTACAGAAAGTCCCCCGACCCAGGTATATTCTACACAAAGTCCCCCGACCCTGGGATATTCTACAGAAAGTCCCCCTACCCTGGGATATTCTACAGAACGTCACCCGACCCAGGAATATTCTACACAAAGTCCCCCGACCCATGGATATTCTACAGAAAGTCCCCCGACCCTGGGATATTCTACACAAAGTCCCCCGACCCAGGTATATTCTACACAAAGTCCCCCAACCCAGGTATATACTACAGAAAGTCCCCCGACCCAGAGATATTCTACACAAAGTCCCCGACCCTGGGATATTTTACACAAAGTCCCCCGACCCTGGGATATTTTACACAAAGTCCGCCGACCCAGAGATATTCTACACAAAGTCCCCCGACCCTGGGATATTTTACACAAAGTCCCCCGACCCAGGGATATTCTACACAAAGTCCTCCGGCCCAGGTATATTCTACAGAAAGTCCCCCGACCCAGGTATATTCTACACAAAGTCCCCCGACCCTGGGATATTTTACACAAAGTCCCCCGACCCTGGGATATTCTACACAAAGTCCCCCGACCCAGGTATATTCTACACAAAGTCTCCCAACCCAGGTATATTTTACACAAATTCCCCCGACCCAGGTATATTTTACACAAAGTCCCCCAACCCAGGGATATTCTACACAAAGTCCCCCGACCCAGGTATATACTACACAAAGTCCCCCGACCCAGGTATATACTACAGAAAGTCCCTCAACCCAGGTATATACTACACAAAGTCTCCTGACCCAGGTATATACTACAGAAAGTCCCTCAACCCAGGTATATACTACAGAAAGTCCCCCGACCCATGGATATTCTACACAAAGTCCCCCGACCCAGGGATATTCTACACAAAGTCCCCCGACCCAGGGATATTCTACACAAAGTCTCCTGACCCAGGTATATACTACAGAAAGTCCCCCGACCCAGGTATATACTACAGAAAGTCCCCCGACCCAGGTATATTCTACAGAAAGTCCCCCGACCCAGGTATATTCTACACAAAGTCCTCCGGCCCAGGGATATTCTACACAAAGTCCCCCGACCCAGGTATATTCTACACAAAGTCCCCCGACCCAGGGATATTCTACACAAAGTCCCCCAACCCAGGTATATTCTACAGAAAGTCCCCCGACCCGGGTATATTCTACACAAAGTCCCCCGACCCAGGTATATTCTACACAAAGTCCCTCGACCCGGGGATATTTTACAGAAAGTCCCCCGACCCGGGTATATTCTACAGAAAGTCCCCCGACCCAGGTATATTCTACACAAAGTCCCCCGACCCAGGTATATTCTACACAAAGTCCTCCGGCCCAGGGATATTCTACACAAAGTCCCCCGGCCCGACCCAGGGATATTCTACACAAAGTCCCCCGACCCAGGTATATTCTACACAAAGTCCCCCGACCCGGGGATATTTTACAGAAAGTCCCCCGACCCAGGGATATTCTACACAAAGTCCCCCGACCCAGGTATATTCTACACAAAGTCCCTCAACCCAGGTATATACTACAGAAAGTCCCCCGACCCAGGGACATTCTACACAAAGTCCCCGACCCTGGGATATTCTACACAAAGCCCCCCGACCCATGGATATTCTACAGAAAGTCCCCCGACCCAGGGATATTCTACACAAAGCCCCCCGACCCAGGGATATTCTACACAAAGCCCCCCGACCCAGGGATATTCTATAGAACGTCACCCGACCCAGGAAATGTCTTAACAAAGTTCCCCGACCAAGGGATATTCTACATGAAATCCCCCGACCCAGGGATATTCTGCGCAAAGTCCCCCGACCCAGGTATATTCTATAGAAAGTCTCCCGACCCAGGAATATTCTACAGACAGTCTCCTACAAATACAATCCATATTGCATCTATGACAAGGCTAAATTAAGGAAATGGGCGATATAATGTAAAGTCAAACGACAAATGCTACTTTGGGATCTAATCAGCAACCTTAATCGTCTGTAAAGAAAGCGACGCTTACAACGAGTACGCCAGCAAGAGACATTTTACGTCCGTTTCCGAAAGTTTGTGGTTGGTAACATAAAGTTGTAGAATGAAGAACAATGTTGAGTCAGATTTTTCTTACAGCTTCTACGACAGATGAAACACTGTCCCTCCGGTTTGGTTAAAAATGTAAAGTTTAACACTCCGGGTCTGTGATGCAAGGGTGTTCATGTGTAGGATAATAACACGTCAGAGGTTGTTTTTTATGAAATGTAAATCTGAATCCAAGGGATAAAACCGAGGGGCCAAAAGTTTTATCAGGAGGATGAGGGTTGTTAATCTTATAAAAATCCGAGGGTAAGTTACGAAGGCTGCACGTTCGATCCGCGGGAATATAAAGAAAACAATTGTCATTTGATTTTACATTTCATTACATTGTGTTCACATACAAAATACATTTCTGTCGATAAACATTCATATGTTACAATATAAACGGATTTTGTATTAATAAAATCCCCGTGATATTATATAAAATCCCAGAGATATTATAACATATTATATAGAAGAGTCCCGCGGATATTATTACATCCCTGTTTATTAGATTTATTGTGACTGGAGAACAATAGTATGACGTCACTGTAGGTTTATAAGCTGTCTGTATACTCCACGTGATCTTTCTCTCGTACGCTGACGAGTTCGTTTGAGACCGCTCTGCATTTGTTTCATAACAAGGCATCCCCATGTTTTTTTCTTCTTCTGGTATCTCTTCCACTTAGACGGTTTCTAAGTACAGTAAACTACGTTTATAACGAACACGCTTGTAACGAACTGTTTTTAGGTCACGTCCATTTGCTGTATATATATTGTAAATATGCTTATAACGAACTACGGGTATAACGAACTAAATTTAGTGGTCCCTTTGAGTTCGTTATAACCGTAGTTTACTGTAGGATGAACACTCATCCTCCCGCTTGGTTGAGAATGTACCAATCCCTTACGCAATCGGCCTGCTTCATCACCCCCACACCTCACCCCCAGCCCCCTCGGGTTTACATTCTCAATCAAGCCTGAGGAATTGTGTTTTATCCTTTACATAAAATGAAAACATAACAATGTATAGTCAAATAAAAGGGGAAGGGGAAGAAAACTGCTGATTTCGAGTAGTAGAATCAATCAACTGGTTAATATGCAGGAGTTATACCTTTCATTCGACTCTTGCTTAAAAGTTGTTTGATCACCGTTACAACATTTAAGGCCTCTGTAAGGCTTTCAAGAAGTTGCATAGCACACATGTTGAGGCCATTTTCAAATTTGTAACACAAATGAAGTCCGATGCAATTTTCTGTTTTGACTTTGACCATTTTTTCCAGTGTTTTTTTTTCAAATGAATAATTGACTTGCCTGTGCATGTGTGTGTGACAGGTGACACCGGTCGGGCAGGATACGCTTTCCTTTTGGCGAACACCTGATATCATCACTATTTGATATTCATTCACAAACACATGCTCATTGATGCAGGTTGATGCACATGATGTTAATCTTTAGATTGACCCGATTATTATTACAGCTTGAATATTGTTCAGTGCGGCGTAAAAGAGCAAACGAAACGAAAACAAAATGCATCGGGATTATGGGGCATAGTAACAATAGCTGTTGTATACTACGGGTTGTATAAAAATGTGTTCTAGTACGAATACGTGGAGTCATGTGTCATGTCATGTGTCACACACACACGCAAACACGCATGCACTCACTCACGCACACGCACACCTCCACGCACACACACTCACGCACACGTACACACAAACCCACGCAAACACATGCACGCACGCACCTCATGCACATCGTTCCCACGACAGTGTGCCTCTGTCTGTTCATCGTGGAATTGATTCGTTTGTTTGTTTATTGTTTAAAGCCGCACTCAGCAATATTCCAGCTAAATGACGGCGGTATGTACATAATCGAGTCTTGACCAGACAAACCAGTGATTGACATCATGAGCATCGATCCATGCAATTTGTAAACGATGACATGCATCAACCAAGTCAGATAGCCTAGCGGGATTCGAACCATCAGGGCCTAAAATGTTCATGTTGTTGCCTAAAGGGTCTCTCACACCTAGCCGATTTGTGTCGCCGGAGCTATACCGGAGTACAAATTTGGCGATTTTAGGGGATCGGTACAAGAACGACAGCCCAACGGTATCACAACGCTAAGAACGGTAGTACATCGTCAGGACATCGGCGAAATATTTAGCAACAGCAGGCGACGGTAGAAATTTTTAAACATGCTCAAACATTTCCGCCGTTGCGCTGCCGGAGCGAGCAGTACAACTACAACGGCAGTACAACGGCAATACTCCGGTATGGCTTCGTTAATGTCGGTAGAGCACCGGTACGCCTCGTTATGGATCGGTGGCTCTCCAGTAGCCTCAATTCAATGTGTACCGTCCTTGCACCGATGGGATACCGCAGTACTAACGAATACCACCGAAGTAGTACCGATGTGCCGCCAATGTGATACCGGAGCTCCACCGTCACATCGGCTGCGCAACGGTATCACTCGGCTATAGCTCCGGTTAAAGATGTACATCGGTTTCATAAACAGAATATCTAATCACTGATACAGATGCTATGCCTGATATGATTCCGTGTTGTGTATTGGGTTCCAATGAAGATTGTATGCATGGAAAGTGCTGTACTTAATAATACAATGTTTGCGTGTAAATGTTTCGAATTGAGGCTTCAGACATTTCAGCCTCGTTGAATCGAATCTCAAGGCTCAGTTATTTAAGGCACTGAAACTTAGGTAACTAAGGCACTGCAACAAGAGTTAACAAGAGTTAGCCGAGCGATGACCAACTGCTTCTGAATCCTAGATTGTGATACTTGGTCATTCAGAACCATAACCGTTCTCGTGGACTTAACAAAGTGGCAAATGTCGACACATATTACTCCAGGCATTCCTCCTACATTAACATGACATGGTACACCTCATGATAGAAGTAAATACTTTTGAAAGCGGCATCCACGCCCAACTCGGGGCAGTAGGGTGGGTAAGTAGTTAAAGCCTTGGCTTGTTACGCCAAAGATCTAGGTTCGATTTCCCACACAGGCACAATGTCCATCATTTATAACAACCCCACCCCCGTGATAATGATGGGACATCTCTGATAGCGGCGTAACAAAACACTCATTCACTTTTAAGTTATGTTCCTTCCTTTTGTAAATAGGTTGGAGGCTCTTGAAGACCTAGGTTAAACCTGATCTTCAGCAGCCCGTGTTTGTCGTAAGAGTCGACGAACGGGATCGGGAGGTCAGGCTCGCTGACTTGGTTGAGGCATGTCATCATAGATCGGTGCTCAGAATGCCAACCACTGGGCTGTCTGGTTCAAACTCGATTATTTACAAACCGTCGTCATATAGCTGGAATATTGCTTTGATCGACCTTAAACAACAAACAAACAAACGAATGGGGAGTTCAGAATATGATTCTGTTAACACTTTCTCCTCTGCGTTGGTATATTGATATGGACAAGCTATGTCTTGTAAGGCCAAAGTACAGTAAGCCTTGGTGCCGAGAGTCTATACAAATCATGTTCTTAATCAATACACAATCGACAGCCGATATATAACACACTACCCTGCCAGGTGTTCTGCGATCGATACTATCTTGAAGACAAGTCTTACAACAAACTGTTATCTGCCTCCAACACTGACCTGAACAAGTATTATTTACCGTATTGTACAATGTAAACGTATATATCCGTGTCTGTGTTGCCGTTTCGACCAGCTCGCCAAGGCATGCAGACAGTACAATTGGACATTGCTAGGCTGATATTTATTTTCAATTTCATCGTGGTTATGTCATCACTTACAAAGACTGTTGCGTTCTTAGGTAAAACTGGAATCATTTCCTTGAACATACACGCACATAATTTTATTACCATTCGTACCGGCAGCTCTAGGTAAATATCGATGTAAACAAATATCGAATGATTTCCACATTCATTGAATCAAAGTGGATATAACTTATGGATATCAACTTCTTTATTTACTGTGAAGGCGACGTTTCGGTATAGATCCTTATACCGTTGTCAGGCAAGGCTTTCTTGACAACGTAGAAGGATCTATACTGAAACGTCGCTTTTACAGTGAATAAAGAAGTTGTTATCCATAAATTATCTCTACTTTGTCATCTGTCAACTTCTAAGGAAAGCTTATCAAACAATTCATTCATGGAATGGAGAAGGCGGAATAAGCTTGTGAGTACATTTGATACCTAATTAACCATGGTTGTATACCGTCAACGCCAGAGATTGATCAGTTTCGATTATCTGTTTAGGGCAAAAAAGAGTGAACATTATGTGAATGGATCACTGAAAATCAATGACACCAGGTGTTCGATGTTTGAAGAGGTGATGCTCGCAGGTGGCAAATGGCCTGGGGCCTCTCACGTGAAGCTGACAGTATATGATATACCTGTGATATACTCCCCACTGATGTCTCCAAGCGCGACCCACCTGTTTATTTACGGTAACGGCAGTCTCTGGTGACGGCGTGGCTGCATCACCTGCCAACAGTCTGTAGCCGACGCAGACAGCGACACTTCGTCACAGCTTCACGACCATTCCTGACTGACGAGCCACAGCCATTTTGTACATCCTATAGTGAGGTTCAGTGGTGGATGTGACATGTGGTGACGGGAGGTTAGATGGATGCCCATGGATTTCGGGGAGAGTGATATCAGTCGTCCGTCAGGTGGGTTTATGACCAGATCGATATCCTCATCACACGAGGCGAGTTAAGCAGTGAATGTTACGAGCAGGCGTAATGTAGCGATAATGATAGCTCTTTCTGATGATTAGCTATTTATTACATAGTTATGGTTGAATGACATCAAACTGGAAATAACAATCATTATTGCAATTCTTTAATGTCATCCGACAATTTCTTTACAAGTGAAGGCACTTGACCAGTAAGTCAAGTACGCAATGTAAGATACTTCCAGATCTAGATGACGCGTGAGCTACATTGACCAATGTTCCATCTTTAATTCTTCCATATATGGCTTTGGTTTCTAATTGTGTCATCTTGTCCTGTCGTTTACAAGCCCACGGGTTTGGGGTCGCATGTCAGCTGCCAGTGCACTTTGTCTCAATTTATAATTTCCCGAGTTGCTTACGGCGTTATCTCATTGTTGTGTCAATATTTGACATGTTCCTGGGATATAACGGGAACTAGTGCATTGTAAGGTTTGTCATTCGGTTTTAGCGTTCGTGCGTGACATACAGTGTGTTTAAGGTTTATAATTCATTTAATGACATACAGTGTATGTAAGGTCTATCATTCACTAAGTGACCGCCTCCGTGGTCTCGTGGTAGAGCGTCCGCCCGGAGAGCGGAAGGTCCGGGGTTCGATCCCCGAGCGCGTCACACCAAAAGACGTTAAAAGATTGTAGTTGTTGTTACCCTGTCTGGCGCTCGGCATCAAGGGGCTAAAACAAGGACTGGTCGGCTCGGAGTCAGTATACTGTGTCTGAGTGGGGTATTCATGTTTAACTGCGGCATGGTATCTCAGTGTGCTAGCACTATAAATCGGCATCAGTCTGGACTAGTACAAGCAGCCACACAAACACACACACGTACTTGCACGTCGCTATATAAGTGCAATAATTTTGGACGCGACGTTAAATCCCATTTCACCTCACCTCACATTCACTAAGTGACATATAGTGTATGTAAGGTCTCTCATTTACTAAGTGACATATAGTGTATGTAAGGTCTATCATTTACTTAGTGACATATAGTGTATATAAGGTCTATCATCTACTAAGTGACATATTGTGTATGTAAGATCTATCATTTACTAAGTGACATATAGTGTATGTAAGGTCTATCATTTACTTAGTGACATAAAGTGTATGTAAGATCTATCATTTACTAAGTGACATATAGTGTATGTAAGGTCTATCATTTACTTAGTGACATATAGTGTATGTAAGGTCTATCATTTACTAAGTGACATATAGTGTATGTAAGGTCTATCATTTACTACGTGACATTCAGTGTATGTAAGGTCTATCATTTACTAAGTGACATATAGTGTATGTAAGGTCTATCATTCACTAAGTGACATATAGTGTATGTAAGGTCTATCATTTACTAAGTGACATATAGTGTATGTAAGATCTATCATTTACTAAGTGACATTCAGTGTATGTAAGGTCTATCATTTACTAAGTGACATATAGTGTATGTAAGGTCCATCATTCAGTGAGTGACATTCAGTGTATGTAAGGTCTATCATTCACTAAGTGACATATAGTGTATGTAAGGTCTATCATTTACTAAGTGACATATAGTGTATGTAAGGTCTATCATTTACTTAGTGACATTCAGTGTATGTAAGGTCTATCATTCACTAAGTGACATATAGTGTATGTAAGGTCTATCATTTACTAAGTGACATATAGTGTATGTAAGGTCTATCATTTACTAAGTGACATATAGTGTATGTAAGGTCTATCATTTACTAAGTGACATATAGTGTATGTAAGGTCTATCATTTACTTAGTGACATATAGTGTATGTAAGGTCTATCATTTACTAAGTGACATTCAGTGTATGTAAGGTCTATCATTTACTAAGTGACATATAGTGTATGTAAGGTCTATCATTTACTACGTGACATTCAGTGTATGTAAGGTCTATCATTCACTAAGTGACATATAGTGTATGTAAGGTCTATCATTTACTAAGTGACATATAGTGTATGTAAGATCTATCATTTACTAAGTGACATATTGTGTATGTAAGGTCTATCATTTACTAAGTGACATATAGTGTATGTAAGGTCTAACATTCACTAAGTGACATTCAGTGTATGTAAGGTCTATCTTAGACCCGGGTTCAATTCCCTTTCATGGGTACAATGTTGGAAGCCCCTTTTTGGTGTACCCCGCCGTGCTATAGCTGGAATATCGCTAAAAGCGGCGTTAAACCATACTCACTCACTCCATTAAGTGGCATACAGAGTAGGTAAAGATCTATCATTCATAAAGTGGCATACAGTGCATGTATTGACACATAAACGTTTATCTTGTTTCTCATAGCAAAAACCTAAATTTCTCTTAGTTTTTTTGCACGCTATATTAGTTTCTATTCTGGATTATTAGATATATTTTCTATTCAAAACTTTCACTTTTTGATGTAATCCATTCTGAAAAGTGTTCAGTTTTTGAAAATCAAAACTGAAAAAAATAATTTGAATTTAGAAATTAGAAACAAGAAATGCAACAGTTATTGATGCGGCCTAGCTTAGGTTGGTACTTAATTACTGTTGATGCATGATCGTTTGAATAATATATAACTATCAATGATTACTTTATAGATCGCTTTTTGAAATTCGAAACAAACTTTGTTGGGGGTAAAAGTGTATGACCTTTTCAACTAAATACACAAATGATGCATGGAACAAAGTATAGAATTCGAACATACAGGACCTTCTGTCACGTTCTCGCTTTGCAAGTCGCTGTGCAGAGTTTTACTCCTGATACTCAACATGGACAATGGTTTCTTTCTGCAGAGGAAATATGTGTTAAATATTGTGGAGAAAATTTGAGTTTCATTTTATGTATATGCATCTATAACAGAAGCGATGATGCTTATTCCTTTCATCAATAATAGAAACCCATCAATGTACGTATTTCCTTTGAGACAAGTTTTGCGGAAATGCTCATGTCGTTTCGGTATTTCAAGAATGTACTCTCCATAACGACACTAATAGTAAGACTAGTTCATCTCGTTCGGAACACATAATACAGTTAGGTGTTCATTGTTACCGCATCGCCATTTGAATAATGATCAACTTGTGTCACTATATGGTCATTTATGAACGTGGCCTAGTGGAGAGAACGTGTGCTCAAAGTGCAGAAGGTCGGCGGTCGATTCCACGCTGCGCCTCACCGAAAGATGGTACTTGTTGTTACACCGCCTGAGGTTCGGCATTAAGGGGACGAAACAAGACTAGTTGGCTAGGAACCAGGATACTGTGTCTGAATGGGGTATTCATGCCAAACTGCGGTATGGTATCTCAGTGGCCTAGCACAAAGGAACATGCATTAATCCAGACTAGTACACACAGATGCAGGGTGACCCAAAATTGAAGCAGGTGGGAAATAAACATTTTGTAAAATCTACGAGCACGAGTAGGTAGTCAGTTGCGTTGACAGAGGTCAGAGGTTTCTCTGGCGACTAAGTGACGTAATCCTCCACAGCAAATTCCAGCGGCTCAGACATGTTCGACGACTAGGCTACAGTAGCAGCAGCAGCAGCAGTAACAGTAGTCTCAGCTTAGGAGTATCAATAGCTTTAGTTTTAAAAGTAGTACACATATCTTTTTTACCTTTTTTTGTTAATTTTATTTTAATTTTTTCTGTTGCCTTTTATACGGTCAACCAGCTTAGTGGATTTAGTGAGCTTTTGGACAACAAAAGAGAGCAGACTTAATAAAGTGAAGAATAAGAGTTTTCTCACTTCACAGGTAAAGAAAATGACGGCGACAGTGACCTACCGCTTGTCCACCAGGCGGCGGCCCAGGGAGACGTTGACCTTCTGGTGGAAGTGGTTCAACAAGACCCCAGCATGCTGGAACTCCAGGATGCAGAAGGTAAACTTCATGCCACCTCGTTGACGGTGCTGATTGGCCTTGTCATACAGTTTCAGATTTAGAACCTGATGCACACGTTTATTTGTAAGCTGAGATGGTGTTAATGGTTTCTGGGAGGTCCCTTCCAAGCCATGACATTCATGTTGAATCCTGCTAAGGCACTTGTTATAAACAATGAAACATCAACCAATTTAACTACACTAAAAATAATATTGTGGACACCTTACACGCTGAATATACGTGTTCGTGTGTTTAAAAATACTTCAGTGTGAAATTGCGAAGCTTTGTAATTCACACCTGTCGCAGGTACTTACTATATATACATATATAGTTGTGATAAACAATATACCGCATTTAAAAACAGTAGACAGTAAATACTCCATGAACATTTGTACATGAAGATGATGACAAAAATAGTTCAGTGTGAAATTGCGAAGCTTTGTAATTCACACCTGTCGCAGGTTCTTACTATATATACATATATAGTTGTGATAAACAATATACCGCATTTCAAAACAGTAGACAGTAAATACTCCATGTGCATTTGTACATGAAGATGATGACATTTTTTAAAGCATCAGAATATGTTTTTCAATACATATACAGTAAACTACGGTTATAACGAACACGCTCATAACGAACTAACGGATATAACGATCTAACTTTTTAGTCCCGACTATTTGCTGTAGTTATGCTGTATATATGCTTATAACGAACTACGGTTATAACGAACTAAAATTAGTAGTCACTATGAGTTCGTTATAACCGTAGTTTACTGTATGACAAATGAAGTTGTATTATCTCTCCACACAGGCTTCACTCCACTCACACATACAGTACAGAGCAAACAACTTCGAGGGGTCAAGCGGCTCATTAAGATGGGCGCCAACATCAACGCCCAAGACAACCTTGGACGAACATGTCTATCCATAGCTGCCTATCAGGTAAGCGAAGAGTCCTTACAAAGTCCTTAGCATGCAGTGAGTGTCTGAGTATGGTTCATCGCATCTCTGAACAGTATTTTATTTAGCCTAATGTGGGAAGAATGTCTTCATGGTGTGGGAAACCTTTGTGCAGTGTTAAGAAACATGGCCTGGAAGCAAGAACGCGATGACTCAATACCCTGGCCTTCTATGTACCCTCTTTCTATGTCAATACAAAGAGAAGGGCACATGCCTATGTTGCTTACGATGGTGGTGAGGTGAGGTGAAATGGGGTTTAACGTCGCGTCCAAGATTATTGCACTTATATAGCGACGTGCATGCACGTGTATATGTGTGTGTGTGGCTGCTTGTACTAGTCCGGACTGATGCTGATTTATAGTGCTAGCACACTGAGATACCATGCCGCAGTTTAACATGAATACCCCACTCAGACACAGTATACTGACTCCGAGCCGACCAGTCCTTGTTTTAGCCCCTTAATGCCGAGCGCCAGACAGGGTAACAACAAGTACCATCTCTTAACGTGTTTTGGTATGACGCGGCTGGGGATTGAACCCCGGACCTTCCGCTCTCCGGGCGGACGCTCTACCATGAGACCACGGAGGCGGTGCTTACGATGGTAGGATGGCAACAATAAAACCAGGTCGTGAATGATGGTTCCCACAGATGTTTGTTCGTTTGTTTGTTGTTTAACGCCGCACTCAGCAATATTCCAGCTATATGACGGCGGTCTGTAAATAATCGAGTCTGGACCAGACAATCCAGTGATTGATGTCATGAGCATCGATCCACGCAATTGGGATTGATGACATGCATCAACCAAGTCAGCGAGCCTCTTACGACAAGCATAGTCGCCTTTTACGGCAAGCATAGGTTGCTGAAGACCTATTCTACCCCGGGTCTTCACGGGTCGTTTCCACAGATGTAGCCCAGTATACCAGTAATTCATGCTTTGTAGAATTTCGTCGATTGAGAGAGGTTCCAATCCCAAATTTGCCCCGGCCAAGATCTTTCATTTGTCGACAACAGTGATCGTGTGCTTTTAATGCAAATTGTATAAATGGTGGGTGCTACCGGTAGGACAGCCTTTTCGGGAACACCTGGTGTCATCACTGATTTTCAGCCATTTGACCTTCCAAGTGGAATATGCCCCGGCAGAAAATCTATTCTCTTGCATTGACAAATTTTAATTACCCAAACGGTTAACATTTACAACCCGGCGTCACTTTGGTTTGTTTTTTCATTCTGCATTCACTTACGATCGATACTAACGGGCACTCCATCGTCGAATAAATGTATTTAGACCCTTCATCGTCATCTATATAACATCAGTCCCAATACAAATGAAGATCGATAACACTGATCGGTACATGTCTCGTGCTGTGTGTACAAGGCACGTCGTCGTGTAGGGCATGATTGTCCTATTGTCTCATTAATCCCAGTCACGTATGACACCAGTTGCATTTCAGGGATACCTGGTGTAGCAGTAATCGTACACCAAGTGCCAAAAAAATAATAATTGTTTGTAGTTCGATTCTACTGTGCAAAGGTATTTAGCTATGTATAATTTTATCATATCCAAGGGCCGAAACAATGCAATGTAAGTTACCTCAGTACTGAAACGATGAGTTGGGGTGAAATTGGGTTTAACGTCGCGTCCAAGATTATTGCACTTAATTATAAAGCGACGTGCATGTGCAGGGTCAAATGAATACCCCACTCAGACACAGCATACTGACTTCGAGCCGACCAGTCCTTGTTGAGCCCCTTAATGCCGGGCGCCAGACAGGGTAACCATCTCTTAACGTATTTTGGTATGACGCGACCGGGGATCTAACCCTCGACCTTCCGCTCTCTGGACGGACGCCCTACCTCTAGACCACGTAGGCGGTACTGAAACGATGACATTGATTACTTGAAGTAATACATTTGCAAGTAAACGTAAATTGATTTCAGTTAATGCTTTCATGAATGATTGATAATACTGGCATACAACGCGCACTATATAATCGACTTAAATTATTGATCTGTTTCGTCAAATACAGGTTAAAGTATTGCGTAAATCATTGACATGAATCTCGTTATGTCATGTGAAACATGTTCACAAAATTAGACAAGACGTTGCTTTGAGTGAGTGAGTGAGTGATATTGTACGCCGCTTTTAGCAATATTCCAGCAATATCACGGCGGGTGACACCAGAAATGGGCTTCACATATTGTTTCCATGTGGGGAATCGAACCCGGGTTTTCGTCGTTTAGAGCAAACATTTTAACCTTTAAGCTACCCAACGGCCTCAAAGCGGCTTTGAACAGCATTCCAGTTATATCACGACGTCATCCTAACGTGGGAGAGAGCCCAAAGTGATGTAGGTCTAAAATGCTTACCACTTTACTGATACTCACCATCACGGGAATGGTGCTGACAACCTAGAACAGTAATCGGGGCGAACGTGGAGTAGAACCCATGATCATAGGTTCCTGGTTCGTTCAAGGGACGTAACTCTGCACAGTGAACTGTGGCGCCTCAGACGACTAGGCCACTCGTGCTTCCCAGTTTAAGTCAGAAAGGGTAAAATAGAATCTAAAATATTTGTCAGATAATGCCCAGCAGACCGACTACCGAAATGTTATTTTGTTCGACGTTTACACTTAAAAAGACAAAAATTAGTATTCTAATAATGTGCATGTGTTGAAAATACAATAATTATTATTGATCACAGATCTGTGGCCCAACTCAGTTAATGATGAAGGTTTTAAATTCAGCAACATATATGCCTCAATAATTGCTTAACATTAATTCGATGGAAATTGAAGCGTATTTTACGGTTGGGTGCAGTTTTACACTGCAATTTTGTATCTCCCGCGAAGTAATATAAGTATGAACAAAGCCATTCAGGTGCATTGATCGTAAATAAAGGAAGACATATTTCCATAGTTGTAAAAAATCCCTTCTAAAAGCAGGGGTCACTGTACGATTCCGACTTTTAGGTCATAAGCATGTGTTTGTAAATCTCTATCAATGGTGGTTAACCAATTTGTTACAGGTTGGGATGCGTTGATAATGAGTTCAAATGCCAGGTTCTCCCCTATTAATGTAATTTGTCTAGCAGAACTATACCCGTGGTTTTCACCAAAATGATAAACGTCTACAATTTGGGTGACTTTGGTTTTCCTTGAAGTTTAAGGTGGTACGGTTTGTGTAACTGCAATATTGTTCAAATGACGTTAATGCAGATTATAGATATATGAGGATTGTCACAAAAATGATACCATGGAGAAGTATTTACCCCCATTGTCATTTGCTGATGACAAGGACATGGTCTAATCTCTCCCCGTCTCTCTCTCCCTCTCGCTCTCTCTCTCTCTCCCCCTCTCTCTCTCTCTCTCTCTCTCTCTTGTTCATCCCAGTTAACTTCAAATGATATACAGTGTCCTCGTTTAGTCAAATTTCAGTATTTCAATATTTCGATTAATACGATTACACTTTATGGATCCGGTAGAGATAGAGAGAAGATAATGTTATACAACACACGACTTGTCAGCGGGGAGCTACAGCTCTCTCCCACAGAGAAATGCTGATTCAATGCGTCGTGTTTACTATCTTAGGCCTCGATGAAGTTGACAGCTGTGTTGTTTATCGGTTGCTTAGCAACAATCGATTATCGTGTACAAACGACAAGGACAAACTGTTAACAACGGCTCTAAATGCTAATATTATTTGTTCTTCTGCATTGAGCATTGCCTCGAGCCCTAAAGGAACAACACAAGCTAGGTGTACCAATGGAGGACGTTCATTAACGCTGTAAAGAGTGTCCTGTAAGATTCAATGTCTCATCACGATTGATTGATTTCTCTTTCTCCGTTTACGTATTTGACACGCTCTTCGTGTGTTGGTTATTACATGAATATATTGTGTATTGAAGCAATGCTACGATGAAATCTCGAAATTTAGTTTGAAGGTATTGGACGTTATTCCTATTTCACATGAATAATGATATATGTTTGTTTCTTCGGGGAAACAATACCTACTTATACCTGGTAATACATCTTGCTACAAAGGAACTACAATCATTAAGACTATTCAGATACATCCATCCATAAAAAGAAAATTAAATACCGTAAATACATAAATTCTCGACTGAGCACCGGGCGTATCTGACATGTATCTCGGAATGTCCTTAGACTTTGTTGTTTTCAGAGAGACATTTCCATCAAGATGTTTTCAATTTATTTCAAATGGTTCTTGTCCCATCTAAGTGAGACCAGGGGTTTATTCAAGGGTTAGATGAGCATTACTATTGTTCCAAATCTTGTAATCAATTGTTACAATTAACAAGGTACAACGGGTGAATAAAGAAATATTTAAAATTAATACTTATCTGTGATACTCTATTTGTTTTACTGTCCATTGTCGGCAGGTTTTTATAAACTCTCAATGTTTTTACTCTGGATATTAATTTGTCTCGTCACGATATGGATGAAATATGGCCGATGTGACGTTAAGCTTAACTCACTCACTCACTCACCCACACAATGTGTCTTCACTGTTGTCCGCATCTGTGTCTTCACCTGGGTTTAACCCTCTATTGTCTGAATGTGTGTCTTCATTTGTTTCTCTGTCTTCGTTAGGGGTATATCTTCATCACGTGTGTGGAGGGGGCACGGGTGGCCCACTCATCTGAGGCGCCGCGATTCGCTGTGCAGAGTTGCGTCCCTTGGGCAAGCCAGAAACCTATGATTGTGGGTTCGAATCCCGGTTCGCCCCGATTATGTTTCTAGGTTTGTCAGCACCATACCCGTGCTCGTGGGTTTCACCGAAGTGGTAAACGTCTGAGACCTGCATCACTTGGGGCTTTCCTCCCACATTAAGCTGACACGCCGCGATATAACTGGAATAACGTTAAAAGCGGCGTTAAACCTAACTCACTCACTCATCACGTGTGTCTGTTTTCACTGGGAATGATGCCCCTATGGTTGTTTTGTCTCTGGGGTTGGTGTTTAAGACCTTTATCTGTTGTGCCTTCACCAGGTGTAATAACATCATCATACAACCTTTCGTTTCCGTCGTCTTGCGAGCATTTCGTTTTTGAGTCTTCACGGGCTAACCTCTTCATCTTTTCCGATATTTTTTTTTAATTTGCTAGGGGTGGCATGAGGGAGTTGTGTGTCTCCTGAGGAATGGCGCCAAGAAGACAAGTTGCGACAAGTTCGGCCGGACACCCCTCCATGCAGCAACATACGACACAGACAGAAGGTAACATGATCTTCATATATATTCTCAAGAAAGACAAACTTTCCTGAAATAAAAGCGAAAAATTCCTTTCCATAATCATAAGAAATCTAAATAAAGCGACAAAACTCTTTCCATATCCAATAGAAAAAATTGCATAAAGCAGAGTCGATTGTACGATTCCGACTGTATCATGAGCATGTGTTTATGAATCACTATCAAATAGTGATGATACCAGGTGTTAGCGTATCCTGCCAAACCGGTGGCGCCCGTCTCAAACACACACAATTGTCACTTGATGTGACAAATTTGGAAATGCCGTCCACATGTCTATCATAAAATGTTTTAAAAACCTTACTATCACTGAATGCTGTAACCCTGATAAAATAACTTTTGAGCAAGAGTCGTATGACGCTGTTTGAAATCTTCGTAGAAAATCCTCAAATGGTGGTACCTCAAACGTTGAGAAATGTATACACCAAAGGCTGTGTTTATGAACCACTATCAAATAGTAGTGATACCAGGTGTTCGCGAAAAGGTGAGCGTATTCCGCCAAACCGGTGGCACCCGTCACAAATACATGCAAAGGCAAGTCAAGTGTTCACCTGAAAAAACACGGAAACATATGGTTCAAGTGAAAATAGGGAATTTCATCGGACATCATTTTTGTCACTGATGCGTCAAATTTAGAAATGACTACCATAAAACGTTTTGAAAGCTTTACTGAGGCCTTGAATGTTGTAACCTTAATCAAACAACTTCTGAACAAGAATCGTATGACGCTCTTTGAAATCTTGGCAGAAAGAGCATGCTCGATTGTATCGCAAAAGTTGTGAAATGTAAACTCCAAAGTCTGGATCTGCTGGAATATTGCCCGACATGAAGGGAAAGTTGACTATTAGAACGATGGAGTCATCCCTCTTGTCATACAGTCTTGTGGAGAGTGATTTGTCACTCTGAATCTTTATGCATAGATCTAAATATGAAACAGATGATCTCGCTGGTCTCCTTTATTTCTAGTTCAGAAATGTTATACAACACAGTCATTTCAAAGTCAACCGAGTCCGCATAGAAACAACGCAGTTTACACCTTGTTAACATCATGTTAACACCATGTTAACCGGATCGTGTTTCTTATACTCACATGCTCATGATATGGTCGGAATCGTACAAGCGACTCTGCTTTTAGCAGGTATTTCGATTGATATGGATAGCATAATGACGCTTTTATTTTACTCATATGAAATCCGTGGGGAGTCCGGTTAAGATAATAGATCCAGCAACCTCATAGCATCCCAACTGCGTGGCTTGATGACTCATGATATCAATCACTGGATTGTCAGCTCCAGATTACATATACAGATCACCTTCATATAGCTGTTTGTGGTGTAAAACAACAAGCAAACAAACAAACAAACAACATATATATATATATATATATATATATATATATATATATATATATATATACATACATACATATATATATATATATATATATATATATATATATATATATATTTATATATATATGTACAACACAAACACGTAATTGACGAGAGACATTTGTCAAACTATTTGTATCCTGTTTAATACTGATTAGTTTTGTTCACATATAAATGACCATACGCAACTTCACTTGTATGTTAAGGTCATCATTCCTGGAAGAGACGTTGTCATTGGTTACGTTAACTTTGTCAAGTATTTGTTTTCTAATCAATCCGCAGGGCTCTCACGGTGCTTCTTCAGAATATGACCAAGAGTGAGGTGAACTTCACCGACAACGAGGTAGGTCAGGTGCATCGCACGGGTAACTAGGTTAACATTTTTACGGTTATGACCGCCGTAGTCAAGTGGTAGAGCGTCCGCCCGGAGAGCCGAAGGTCCGGGGTTCGATCCTCGCCCGCGTCTAAAAGGCGAACCAAAAGGCGTTAAAAGATGATACTTGTTGTTACCCTGTCTGGCGCTCGGCATTAAGGGGCTAAACCAAGGACTGGTCGGTCGGAGTCAGTATACTGTGTTTGAGTGGGGCATTCATGTTAAACTGCGGCATGGTATCTCAGTGAGCTAACACTATACATTCGGCATCAGTTCGGACTAGTACAAGACCGGACAGGTACAAGAAGCCACACACACACATACGTGCATGCACGTCACTATATAAGTGCAATAATCTTGGACGCGAGGTCAAACCCCATTTCACCTCACCTCACATATTTATGGTGATTTTACGCTCTTATCTATCAGCTGCTACACATTCCCCTGAATGCACCTGGCACGCACAGCATCAAACAATTGAGAACTGACTCCAAGATGTTTAGTCTTCATGGTGGTATTAATGAATAAACCGGTGTGCATACTGAAAATCTGTGTAGCGGTAAATCCGAGTAACGGTAAATCCGTGTAGTGGATTTACGCAAAGTGCGCGCACATGTTTTCACGTTTGCACCTCCATGAACGCATAACCATATTGAAGTAATTTCTTACAAACAAATACGTCAACAATTATAACTTCACAGACTGTTTATTTGACCATCAACACAAACACTGTCAACAAAATACGAAATAACATCATTCTGTGCCATTATGTAATACAAGCTCCGCCCATTGTATTATCGGCCAATCGGAAAACAGTAGTCCGTTAGTTGGCGTGGTCTTTTTTCGGTTCATCGAAACAAAAACGTGAAAAGAATAGCTTGGCAAGCCAATCAAATGCCACTTTATCACATGCAATTTATTTACTCAGTATTGATAAACAGTATTTACCCCGTGATCAGCTGAATTGCCGAGGCTTTGAGACAAGTTGAAAATATGTTGACAAAAATAATATTTTATCAATTTGACAATATTGGCAATAATCATCAATTTGAGCAAAAGTTCAATCAACTGAGAAGAAAATGACCGTCACAGTATTCAGTAACCATGATTCAGTATTCCAGAACTTTGTTAATCCTAACGATTTTGGAGACACTACTGTCCTGAATAACGGTTTTGCACTATAGATTCATACTGAATGCCATGGGCACACCAAAAACCTATGGTCGTGGGTTCGAATCTTTACTCGCCCGGATTATGTTTCCAAGTTTATCATCACAATACCTGTGCTCGAGGGTTTTACCAAAGAGGTAAACGTTTGAGAGATGCATCACTTCGAAGTTTCCTCCAACACGTAACTGCCAAGCCGTGAAATAACTGAAATACTGTTCAAAGTGGTGTTTAACCCAACTCACTCGCTCATTCATGTTGAATACGCAGGTGAATTCTGTTAATTAAACAGCATCAGGAGCTATTTTTAGATATTTACGGCAGCAGTTGTCATTTGCCGTCACTACGAATGCAGGCAAATTTGGATGAGAGGGTAGGTGAATTCTGTTAATTAAACAGCATCAGGAGCTATTTTTAGATATTTACGGCAGCAGTTGTCATTTGCCGTCACTACGAATGCAGGCAAATTTGATATCTCATTAATCCAGACAATGACAATCTCGGAACCGTTAAGCCGGGCCCAGTGGATCCGGACCTCGTTAATGCGGACACGGTTAGCTTTGCTAATAAGGACATTACTAATCAGGATTCTGTTAATCTTGACAGAGTTAGTCTTGATGCCACAGACCACGTTAGTCCGGACACCGTTGGCCTCGATAATCCAGGCCCAGTTAATATCGACATTGCTAAACCAGGCCTCGCAAATCTCTGCAGACTTGATCTCGATAATCCAAGCCCAGGGAATACTGACATTGTTAAACCAGGCCTTGTAAATCCCTACAGACTTGATCTCGATAATCCAGGTCCAGGTAATACTGACATTGTTAAACCAGGCCTTGTAAATCCCTACAGACTTGATCACGATAATCCAGGCCCAGGTAATACTGACATTATTAAACCAGGCCTTGTAAATCCCTACAGACTTGATCTCGATAATCCAGGCCCAGTTAATATCGACATTGCTAAACCAGGCCTCGCAAATCTCTGCAGACTTGATCTCGATAATCCAGGCCCAGGTAATACTGACATTGTTAAACCAGGCCTTGTAAATCCCTACAGACTTGATCACGATAATCCAGGCCCAGGTAATACTGACATTGTTAAACCAGGCCTTGTAAATCCCAACAGACTTGATCTCGATAATCCAGGTCCAGGTAATACTGACATTGTTAAACCAGGCCTTGTAAATCCCTACAGACTTGATCTCGATAATCCAGGTCCAGGTAATACTGACATTGTTACACCAGGCCTTGTAAATCCCTACAGACTTGATCTCGATAATCCAGGCCCAGGTAATACTGACATTGTTAAACCAGGCCTTGTAAATCCCAACAGACTTGATCTCGATAATCCAGGCCCAGGTAATACTGACATTGTTAAACCAGGCCTTGTAAATCCCTACAGACTTGATCTCGATAATCCAGGTCCAGGTAATACTGACATTGTTACACCAGGCCTTGTAAATCCCTACAGACTTGATCTCGATAATCCAGGCCCAGGTAATACTGACATTGTTAAACCAGGCCTTGTAAATCCCAACAGACTTGATCTCGATAATCCAGGCCCAGGTAATACTGACATTGTTAAACCAGGCCTTGTAAATCCCTACAGACTTGATCTCGATAATCCAGGCCCAGGTAATACTGACATTATTAAACCAGGCCTTGTAAATCCCTACAGACTTGATCTCGATAATCCAGGCCCAGGTAATACTGACATTGTTAAACCAGGCCTTGTAAATCCCTACAGACTTGATCTCGATAATCCAGGTCCAGGTAATACTGACATTGTTATATTATATATATTATTATAATTTTCAGCTATACACTAGACTGTTTCCTGACAATGGCAGACATGACAGAGTTATATTCAGGTTACGTCACTATATTAAATATAATGTCATTTCAGCACATGTTGATTGAAGAACCTGTTGTCGAATCTTTCACAAAACCCAATTAGGAAACTTACGCAGTTAATCAGACAAAACCACAAAGAATTTTGTCTTCGAGTGAAAAAACGCATCCATGCATGTGGAAGTACTTCAGTTGCAATCAAGCACTGAAAAATCCCTTCGTGCCAACATATTTTAAAGAAGCATGCACGCGTAGAAAGACATCAACGCTGGGTTGAATTATCAAAATAGATGCTAAACATTCATATATAATTCATCACCAATTTTCAGCACGATTCAATTCCTGATAAATCCGAGCATGGCATCACGCATTGATGTTATGGAGTGAAAGCGTATGGCTTGAATGTTCTATCATTCGCATTCACCTTTCATATACAAGATAAAAAAAACTTAAATGTAATAAGCAAATAAGCACGTTTCTTGACAAACATCCAACGTTATGCCGTTATTAGTTCTTACATAACAACAAGAGCGTGGTACCCGCTAACTGTATACCTCACCGTTGGTGAGCTGATTGTTCGTGCTGGAGTCGTAAGACAATGGTTCTTGCCGCAATCAATAATCCATGTCTACCTATTTCTACCTGCAGCAAATGACAGCTCTTCACTGGGCCGCGTTTCACGGCCGCCCTACCCACTTAGAAGACCTGATTGCTAGACAGGCGGACATATTTGCTCAGGATATAGACGGAAAGACGCCCATGCACTGGGCTGCACAGGTAAGTCGACTGTATTAATGTAGTCAGGTAGATTTGGTCAGTAATGAAGACTCAGACCATTTTATCTCAGGTACATGGGGATTAGAGGCATGGTTCAGCAGAGGAGATGGAAAGGGCAAGAACAGATGGGAAATTGACGATGGAGAGGATGCAGGATACATTCTGATTCCAACATTAACGCTGTGTATGCTGTTTAGTGTGGATTTTGGTTTATGATTTACAGAGAAAAAATAAGTTTGGGATTGTCATATTGGATTGAATTGCGGTGGTATGCATATGTAATATCCTTTTCAACGTTATTGTGCAGGTACCGCTGTTGCAGTCAGCACCGTATAGTGAGTGAGTATGGTTTTACGCCGCTTTTAGCAATATTCCAGCAAAATCACGGCGGGGGACACCAGAAATGATGTCATGATAGAACAGTGGGTGATATTTGAATAAGTGAGTGAGTGAGTTTGACTTTACGCCGCTTTTAGCAATATTCCAGCAATCTCACGGCGGGTGACAACACCAGAAATGGGCTTCACGCATTGTACCCATGTCGGGAATCGAACCCGGGTTCGGTGTGGCGAGCGAACGCTTGAACCACTAGGCTACCGGACCACCCCTCAGCACCGTATAACGCCCGTTGACGTCTACTGTTATATTTCACGTTTTGGCATGCTTACTGTTATATCATTCACTTTTAGACCCCATCGATACCTACTGCTATAGTATGCCCTCTGACGTCACAAATGTTTACTGTTATATAATACCCTTTGACGTTATTCCATGCACACAGGTATATTGTTACCTTTCCTTCTGTTGTACATTTTGACGTCACGCATTCCTATTGTTATATAATACCCCTTGACGTCATAATGCATATTTGTGTATTCATACCTTTTTGGTGCCATACATGCCTACAGAAATATTTTTGACGTCACCGTTGTATTATCACTGATTTGGTTCCGTGGTTGCCTACTGATATATAGAGAATCTCACCCGAGTATCTTTTGATATCAAATATATCATCACGAGTTGATAAAAGTGGAAAAATTCCGAGGCTTGCCGAGGATTTTTGCCACTTTTATCCACGAGTGTTGATATATTTGACATCAAAAGACACGAGGGTGAGATTTTATTTATCATCCAACATCATTCTTTCAACTTTTTCAATTTGTAGACAGTAATTAGCAGTATCTTCAGTGTAAAAAGTACTGCAAACAGCTTCAGTAGCAGAGCTATCAGTGATGTCATTTGATTGTGACGTCATGGTAACCAGAGACGACACAATGGTCTGCAAAGCATTGTGATGTAATTTCATTGCAGCGATATCTACAGTGTAGATATCGCTTGATCTCATCCAAGCGATATCTCCTGTGGGAGCCAGTTTTGGATGATAAAATATTCATTTCTATTGCATGCATGTCTTCTGTAATAGGAGGCCGTTCAGAGTAACACTTGCAGTAATACAAGCTTAGAGGTGATGGTAATTTATCTTGGAGCAGCCTTATAATTGGTGTTAGTGTTATCATACTCCATGTAGTGGTGGTGAAATACACACTTCTGTTACATACCACATGATTGTGTAATGCCGATTACGCACGGCTGGATTTAATCTGCTGCATTACAAATCCTACATGTGTAATCGCAGGGTCATCGTGACTCTCTGGTAATTTTATCCGTAGTCGTACATGATAGCCAATCATCCATGGTATATAAAGGGTATCATACACACATCATTTGGTATTTCATAGGTCTATGCATTGGGCTTCTTAACAACAGGCGTTACATCTCTGAACAAACTGTTTGGGGCACGACCGGCTTATTTCTTTAGGTATTAAACCACGTCAAAAATGCTCGATTGCGGCCTCAATTAAAACTACCATCAAACATACAGTAAACTACGGTTATAACGAACTCAAAGGGACTACTAATTTTAGTTCGTCATAACCGTAATTCGTTATAAGCATATATACAGCATAACTACAGCATATAGTCGAGACTAAAAAGTTAGTTCGTTATATCCGTTAGTTCGTTATAAGGGCCTCCGTGACGCTTTCATCAAGGTTTGGGTTATATGGAGGACAGTTCCAAATTCGGTGCTTTTAGAAGGTGTGGTGAGGTGAAGTGGGGTTTAACGTCGCGTCCAAGATTATTGCACTTATATAGCGACGTGCATGTACGTGTGTGTTTGTTTGGCTGCTTGTACTAGTCCGGACTGATGCCGATTTATAGTGCTAGTTCACTGAGATACCATGCCGCAGTTTAACATGAATATCCCACTCAGTATACTGACTCCGAGCCGACCAGTCCTTGTTTTAGCCCCTTAATGCCGAGCTCCAGACAGGGTAACAACAAGTACCATCTTTTAACGTCTTTTGGTATGACGCGGCCGGGGATCGAACCCCGGACCTTCCGCTCTCCGGGCGGACGCTCTACCGCTGGACCAGGGAGGCGGTCTGCTTCTAGAAGAGATTTCTGACGATATTAAAAAGGGTTTTACCGCTTATATTTTACCTTGTCCCATGTTACAAATACATGTCTTTTGATGTCGATTTTAGTGCTTGGCTTCTAGGGCTGGGTACTCGGGTCGGGTGGGTCCTGAGTTGGACCTGGGTACCCACAGGACTACCCGGACCCGTGGTTAGTCACGTGATATTTTGTTTAATGATACAAACGTATTGTAGCTCAGTGGTTACACTACAAGTCGCTAGTGTTCGCATTTCTTTCTGACGATGCACACATTCATTTTGACTTGTACATGTTTGAGTAAAGATATAGCTTCAGTCAACTTCAGTGAACGCATGATCTGATTGTTTGATACATGTACGAGCCTACTCTTGAGACTTGCAGTGGGTAGCCGGGTAGGGTCGGGTAATAGGGGGTCGGGTACCCGGGTAGTAAATTTGGACTGGTCCAAGCCCTATTGGCTTCCAATATACGGCAGTTTCATACACATTGGCGTGTTTATTTCATGACTCGGGTCACACGGCCTGTGGTAACAACTACTAGGGTAGATCAGTGGTTATTGCAGTATGTACGGTACATTTAATATACCCAATAAGCGTCTCCTTTTGTGACAGTGTTGGTATACATGCGTTGGTTAACTCGTTGGGAAACCATGCTCAACCACACGCTATTGCAATACCGCCAAAGCTATTTATCCTGCCGAACTGCTTGTACCTCATTCTCCTCAGGTAAACGACTATATAAACGGCTTCCTATCGTTGTTAAGCGCGTCAAGGCGAAGCAATTATCTGCGACCATGTATATCGATTGATGCCATTTTAACATCAAATTATCGCTTGAGATAGGTCGTTGGATAATAATCCGAGGGAAATGGTCTTAATAATTAATACTCAGCACACTGTTTGTATAACACGATGAAACTTATTTAGTCATTGTTACACCTAACGCAGCATCAGGAATGATATGAGATGTAACACGAGAGGTATGTGTTAGGGATGAGGGTGGGGGTAGGGGTAGGGGTGGGGGAGAAGGTGGGATTAGGGTGGAGATATATAATGAAAGGTGTGTGTATAGGGGCTGAGGGGTTGCCATGCAATGATCGTGAAAATGTTCATGGGTCTCCCCAATTTGAAGACAGACTGATATCATTTTGTTTTATTGAATTTGAAATACAATGTATTCCTAAACTACATATGTAACATAATATCAACAACAACAAACAACAGTAATAATAATAATAATAATAATAATAATAATAATAATAATATAACAACAACAACAACAATCAATAACAACAACAACAATACTACTACTACTACTACTACTACTACTACTACTACTACTACTACTACTACTAATTTAATTCAAATTGTACCAACAGAATTGCAATACTTCAACGTCAACCCTATCCATTCCTAACCGCAATTGCAATATGTCTTTCACTCAATCAATCGTATCAATATAAAATATCACCTTTCAAAAGACGTGTTACACAATTCCTTTCAAAACCTAATGACCATATTGTATACCTTCTGTAGCCATTGTTGGTATTAAATACCGGCCATTTTCCAGTCAGTGGTTACGTGTTAAGTCACGCTAAGCTCGCAAGGGGTCTCTCTATTATTAGTTCCTCTGAATGCCTGCCTAGTCTGTCCCTACCAACTGGGGAGGCAGTTCAGCCATGCGATACGGCCAACTGGGACAGACACCAGTGGACATACGAAGGTTATAAGTGTGTAAACAGAAATGTTAGTATATTTTATACCCGAAAAGATATCATCAATTCCACGTACAAAACCATGTTGTGACTGGATATATTGCTGAATGTTCTCTATGTAAGGTAAGACACGAGTGTAATATTTGATGAAATGCCCTGTGTATATCATGATTTGACGTTCGATGTTTAGTGACCCATTCGTATGTTTTGCACCTATTATTGTCTTTTACGCCAAATGGAATATGTGTGGGCGGATAATCGAGACTGGTTATTCTCGTGCGCTGAGGTTGTATATTAAATATGCAGGGATTATGTAAAGAAGGGCCATTAATGATTTAGCAAGTTAACTTAGAAAGGAAGTTATTATTTTTGCTCGAATTTTCATGTGCTACAGTCGTTGCTATTTATTCACATTTAGCAGCACTACAAAACTTTATTCCCCCGTGTTTTATTAGGTGAACAACTGATTTGCGTTTGCAAGTGTTTGTGACGGTGCAACCGGTGGGGAAGAAAACGCTGACCTTGTATCATCACTATTTGATAGTGATTCCTAAACACATGCTAATGATGTAGTCGGAATCGTACAGAATTTTTTGTAGATATCATCATGGTTCTTATGATTATGTTTTTGTCGCCTTATTTAGAAATCAATATAAATCAAAAATCAAAATTAATTAATATAGTCGTATTATGCATAATTATTTCCATATTGTAGTAAGTCAGGTATAGGTATTGACGTCACACAATGTACACATTTAGACGGATATATTACTACAAAAAACTGTTAAACCAGTTTGCCAAGTTAATCAGTGAGTGAGTGAGTTAAAATGTAACGTCGCATCGGCATTATTGCAGCCATTCCCGACATGGGTACAATGTGTGAAGCCACTCACTCACTCACTATTGCAGCCATATAGCGATGCCAAGTTTACACGACAACATGACTATGGGTAACGTTCTTGAATCAATGCCAGCGTGTGTTTAATACATTCAGGTTACATACATATAATAACAATGGGTAAGTTAATATTAAATTTAGGCTGCTTTTCAAACCACGTCAGGGCTGGAGATAACGCGGAATCGTTTCATACATTGTGCTCAATTGTCTTTTGGGAAGCAGCTGTTCTACTGTCGTCATTTTCAGCTGAGGGCACACCATCTTTGTAAATAGCGTGGACTGTCATGGCGTCTGGTGCTTTTTCAGAACGGCAGTAAGAAAAGTTGTGACATTCTTGCAAGCAGTACAGACGGGGCTGAACTAATTAACTTGGCAGACCATTCAGGGAAGACAGCTGTACACTTTGCAGCTGCAGCTGGTCACGCGGAGATCGTGCAGCTGTTGTCGGGATTCCCCGGATGTGACCTTGAGGCTCTAGATCCAGACGACAGGTAAATCTAATCTGACCTTTTGATGCACGACTATCATAACCGATCCTGATGCAGTGTATTGTATTACAGGAGTATCATATATTCTAAGGTGAGGTGAAATGGGGTTTTACGTCGCGTCAATGATTATTACATTTAAATAGCGACGTGCATGTACGTGTGTGTGTTTGTGTGGCTGCTTGCACTAGTCCGGACTGATGACGATTTATAGTGCTAGCTCACTGAGATACCATGCCGCAGTTTAACATGAATACCCCACTCAGACACAGTATACTGACTCCGAGCCGACCAGTCCTTGTTTTAGCCCCTTAATGCCGAGCGCCAGACAGGGTAACAACAAGTACCATCTTTTAACGTCTTTTGGTATGACGCGGTCGGGGATCGAGACCCGGACCTTCGGCTCTCCGGGCGGACGCTCTACCACTAGACCACGGAGGCGGTCCGATATATTCTAAGACATAAATAAGACAGTGGCGTACAGCAAGGGTACGTTTTATAGGTAGATATGTTGATTGAAAAGGCTCTGCTTGGCGATGGCAAATAATGTGTGTGTTTTTCACACCAGCCTGAAATAGAATAGCTTTGTCAAGACTACGACGGGTTTTTGTGTGACGACAGGCACTTTTTTATGCAAATTGTGTCAGTGGCGGGTGCTACCGGTACAGCGGGGCAATTGTTTCGCGAAACCTTATGTCATAAATAATTTTCAGTGATCCATTTACAAAATTGTCACCGCTATTTTGCCTTTTACGCCTTATGGAACTGGTTATTCTATGGCGTTGAGGTTTTATGTTTAGATATCCATGCCTGGGCATGTTTGGTTGATGCAACGACCCCCGCAATCAGCCAGGCTGCAACCATTGCACGATATTCATGTTAGTTGTCTCTAACGACAAGCGTGGACCAGTGGAAGCTGTTCTCGCCCATTCTACCGAGAATACACACGTACATGCATTAAGGACAGGGCCCACTTGCACAAAGTAGTCTGAGCGCTAAGACTGGTGTAATCCTATGATAAAGTATGGGAGTGACGATCATCTTAGCGAAAAGATCGCTTTGTGCAAGTGGGCCCAGGACAATAGTTGACGTTCACGCACTCTATACGTATGAGTTAGAACACAACATTCACATGACTATCGTTAAGAAAACGGTATTCTCAAAATACAGAATTACCTGTGAAGTCCTTTAACTCCATATATTGGGAAGTCTCATCCGTATATTTACTGTGCGGGTACTCCGTTTGTCTCGTGTTTCGGATAAGTCCATTATTGTCGACAGAAATATTTACACTGTCTTCCTGTTTATATCTATGAAGAAGATATCGCTATGATACCGACCCTCATTCCCGACTCACCCCTCACCTGGTTAACATGGTGGCCAAAGATTATATTTATAGTTGATATTATCATATTTCTTCAGCTAAAACTCGGTGCATGCTGTGATCAAAGGATTGTTCAAAACTTATGGATGGAGTTACACAAATACACAATCAACAGGGGGCACAGGTGGCCCAATCCTATAAGGCGCCGCAATTCTCTGTGCAGAGTTGCGTCCCTTGGGCACGCCAGAAACCTATGAAAGTGGGTTCGAATCCCTGTTCGCCCCGATATTTTTTCTAGGTTTGTTAGCACCATACCCGTGCTCGTGGGTTTCACGAAAGTGGTAAACGTCTGAGACCTGCATCACTTCGGCCTTACCTCCCACATAAGCTGACACACTTGATATAACTGGAATACTGTCATAGAGGGGTAAAACCCAACTCACTCACTCACATATTCAACATAATGCATGTTAGCTCACAACAAATCCGCTTTCAAGAAACTGTGGTAAGTCTGTATTCAACTATGGGAGTTCGACGTTGACTAAATGGCATTTGTAGAACGGGGCCCTGATATTTACTATGCAATTACACACAAACATTTATGTATCTTCAAGCATGCTCTACACCGCCACACACCATTCTCATATGAAAACGTATTTTTATGTCTACCATACTGTGCTGTTTACCTATATACTCGACTGCATTGTTTACCTGCATTAGTTCGCTAAGCAAATCTAGCGTGACAAATGCCGATCGCCACTGACCGACACGTTCCTCACAGTGTCCATAAGCGATTTTGTATAGGCTTATCGACTACAGACATTGTCTCGACTGTGTGGGGAGTTGATCCCCTCAGTCAGTGCTGTTGGTTTCACAAGGATAGTAAGTTTTGTTGGAAATTAGGTAAGCTCTGGTTGTAATTTAATTACTTGTTATATATTTATCGTTGCCTTTTTTACGTTGGTTATTAGAACCCATGTCCCGTTGAAGGGTTCGTTATTGTTTTGATAGCGTGGACTGGGTATACGCATTTAGAACAGGTGTTGTAAACTGTATTATAAGTTGGACAAGCAAGTGTAGGGATCACGAGTTGTATGTGGTGTGTGTGTGTGGTTTGGTGTAGCGTGGTGTGTGTGTGTGGTTTGGTGTAGCGTGGTGTGTGTTTGTGGTGTGGTGTGGTGTGGTGTGGTGTGGTGTGTGTGTGTGGTTTGGTGTAGCGTGGTGTGTGTTTGTGGTGTGGTGTGGTGTGGTGGGTGTGGTGTGGTGTGGTGTGGTGTGGTGTGGTGTGGTGTGGTGTGGTGTGTGTTTGTGGTGTGGTGTGGTGTGGTGTGGTGTGGTGTGGTGTGGTGTGGTGTCTGTGTTTGTGATGTGAGTGTGTGTGTGTGTGGTTTGGTGTGGTGTGGTGTGGTGGTGTGTGTTTGTGGTGTGTGTGTTTGTAGTGTGTGTGTGTGTAGTGTGGTTTGGTGTGGTGTGGTGTGTGTTTGTGGTGTGTGTTTGTAGTGTGTGTGTGTGTGTGTGTGTGGTTTGGTGTGGTGTGGTGTGTGTTTGTGGTGTGTGTGTTTGTAGTGTGTGTGTGTGTGTAGTGTGGTTTGGTGTGGTGTGGTGTGGTGTGGTGTGTGTGTTTGTGATGTGAGTGTGTGTGTGTGTGGTTTGGTGTGGTGTGGTGTGGTGGTGTGTGTTTGTGGTGTGTGTGTTTGTAGTGTGTGTGTGTGTAGTGTGGTTTGGCGTAGTGTGGTGAGATATGAGCGATGAGGGGCGGGGATGAGGGTGAGGGATTGCTATACATTTGGGTCTCAAATCACTATTGTTTTCAGAGTGCCTTGGATATACAGTAAACTACGGTTATGGCGAACTCAAAGGGACCACTAATTTGTGTTCGTTATATCCGTCGTTCGTTATACGCATTCGACATCTTGGATCAAGTCAAGTTACTCGATATATAGCTCGATAATATGTGTGCCCTGTACATGTACTATGTAATAAACCTAGGATAGTAATTCAAATGTTACAATCTACCTGTTCAGCGATGACAATACAGATAACTGTGTCCAATGCTTGCTGTTACCGCATTAGTAGCCACGAGCCATACTCTCGTCCTTGTCGAGTCAATATTGGTCACAGAAATTGGATTCTAGCGACAATCTCGAAAGGCAAGGGAGTTAACTGACAATAGTAATCCAGTTTCCTCCCTTGCCGAACTAGGCTGGAATCTCTGGGCTCCATCGTTGCGTCAGCAGTGGCTGTAATGAGTTATGTCCCTTCTATGTGCCTCCTATTGACCAATCAGTTTCCTCCTCTCATATCTCTTGCATTTGCTTCAAATAAAATGGCGGCGTCCAGTCAAGACGATATGATCAATAATCAAGATCCATTTTGTGATAAAACGAGTCTTACTTCGCGCGGTGCATCAAATCACGTGAACACCTTGATTACGAACATGAAGGGTTTGAAAAAATACCTGTAGACGCCGAATTGTCGGTGCACATGCTATGCAAATCGTGCAATCGACCGAAATCTGTACAGCAATTTACGACCCGGATGCCTAGCTCGTTACGCGATTTTGATTGGACTTCGCACTGACTCGTTAGTCCAGCCAAAATATAACTCCATAATGCCAGCTCAGTTCGGCAAGGGTGGAAACTGGACTTTTATAGTCAGTTAACTCCCTTGCCTCGGGAATATGGTGGTTTATCTAAAAGTGTCAACTATCATGTGAAATCGTTGCTACGCCTATTCAGGTAATAGACCTAGCAATGTGACATTGTTTTAGGGCTGTAAACATGTAGCAGTTGCTTACATGTTTTAGGATAGAAAAGAATAGATAATTAAGATGTTTCTGGGGCTAATCCAGTGTGCGTGTCTGCTTGTTCGTGTGTGCAACAGGAAACCTATGGATGCGTGGGCTGAGAGAACGTTCCGTTGGCGACATATGCCGCATGTGTATTGATATGTTGACATGTTAAAATATTTTACCGATTGTACTTACCAATCGAGGGGAGATCAACGTGGGAGTGGGTCGATAAGTGCGTGCATGCATAGCTCTGACTAAATGGTGGTATTACAGCCGTGTTCATGTTTCCTGGTATTGCGAATTTTCTGCCTGATTTATGTGTAAACGTGCCTACAATTAGGGTTTGCAAACTAAAACCGCGTTCTTTGCAGTCAGTGGACATATGTTCCACAGCAGTCGGAAAGATGTCTTGGGTACGCCTGGATGCGAGAGTGTGTAAAGACCAACATTTGAAATAAAACGCCAGTCCCAAACCTTTCCAAGATCTCTTCCAAGGAATGACGCTCCAAACATTTAGACGTCATTAAAAAAACATACAGACATCATTCAGACATTACACATACATCATACAGACATTATACAGACAACATACAGACATCATTCAGACATCACACAGACATCATTCAGACACCACACAGACGTCATTCAGACCACACAGACATCTTTCAGACACCACACAGACGTCATTCAGACAACACAGACATCTTTCAGACACCACACAGACGTCATTCAGACCACACAGACATCTTTCAGACACCACACAGACATCATTTAGACATCACACAGACATCATTCAGACACCACACAGACGTCATTCAGACCACACAGACATCTTTCAGACACCACACAGACGTCATTCAGACCACACAGACATCTTTCAGACGTCACACAGACGTCATTCAGACCACACAGACATCTTTCAGACACCACACAGACGTCATTCAGACCACACAGACATCTTTCAGACACCACACAGACATCATTTAGACATCAAAAAGACAGCATTCAGACATCACACAAATCACAACCTTCAACAAAATCTTATTAAATCCAAAGCAATCCACACATTTTCTGAAAGGAAAACATTCGACTCTTGGATAGTTTGGAAGTTGCGATCACTCCTCGGATGGGAAGCAAGGAATGAACTTAGTCTTCGACTGATCCTAATTATTCCTATTTATGATGATCTCTTCTTAAGGACCCCTTTACACTGGGCATCAGCTACTGGACAGACCGAGAGCGTTAAGACACTTCTGGCATTGAATGTCTCCCCCAACCAAGTAGACGCCGAGGGAGGGACCCCGCTGGAGTACGCCAGACAATCAAGATACACAGGTATGTTTTGACCCTCTAGGTTAATTGTGTTATTGCAGAACGACATTCATTTTTTAAAATATACAGTTTCATCGCAGGTATTGAAACCTTTACTTATGAGCCTCATGAGTCTTCAGCAACCAATTCTTACCATAAGAGGCGACTGTGATGGTCGTAAGAGGCGCCTAATTGGATCGGGTGGTCAGGCTCGCTGACTTGGTTGATGCTTGTCATTGTATCCCATTTGAGTGGATCGACGGCTCATGTCACTGGATTGTCTGGTCCAGACTCGATTATTTACAGACCGCCGTCATATAGCTGGAATATTGCTGAGTGCGGCGTTAAACAACAAACACTGAACCTTGATCGTTTATGGATGCCCTAATTGTAAAGCATCAACCGTTGATCGAAAACAACGTACATACCTTACGTTAAAACCGTGAAGATCCGAGTTAGAATAGGTCTCCAGCACACCATGCTTGTCGTAAAAGGCGAGTAACGGGATCATATGGTCAGGCTCACTGACTTGACTGATGCAGGACATCGTATCCCAATTGTGTAGATCGATGATCATGATTTCAAGAACTGGATTGTCTGGTCCAGACCCGATTATTTACTGACCGCCTTCAAATAGCTGGAACACTGCTGAGTGCGGCGTTAAACAGCAAAAAAACCTCACGTTACTTTCTTTGTAGACTGTGAGAGCCTGCTTGTTAAGAAGCTTGGAAAGAAATTCGGCAGAAATAATTCCAAAGATACCCAGGCTCAAGGAAGAAAGGGAGGTGGAGGACCGTTTGGTTTCATCAAGAACCTCTTCGTGAAAAAGGACACCAATAGTTTCAATGTGACGTCTAAAGAGGACAATCAGAACAATACTTCCTCTGGTGAAACAAACGACACTTCTACGGAAAACAAAAATGCTACAGTGCCTTACGAACAACCGGAACATCCGGTAAATACTGTTCCCATCCCTGTACCTACAATCTGTGTGCATGAGCCGAGTGAAAATAAGCTAAAGCGAGGCAAGAAGAGAAATTCAAAGAAGTCCAAACGCAGTTTAATGTCGGAGTCTGTTGATAGCAATCAGTCATCAGAGAACACTGCTGAAACTCCCAGCTCTTCTGGAAGCAAGGGGCGGAACAAGGGAGGTAACTCCGAACATCGTGACGAAGCGAGGAAGAGATCGATATCACCACGACCACTTTCCCCTTTGAATGGATTGAGCATGTCACTACCTTCAGATACGGACTTCGACCACTCTATACCGGTGAGTCATAGAACTCTACACTGAGGGTCAATTATAATCTGCCGCACATTCAGCAGGTGTTTTCTCTTTGGGGGCGGGGGTTGGTGGTCAGGCCTGTTAGCATATGCACTGTTTGATGGCTACATTTCACAACTTTTGAGGTGCAATCAATTATGCTACTTCTACGAGGATGTTAAAGGGCGTCATATTGCCTTTGCTAAAACGTTGTTTGATCGGAGTGACAACGGCCTTAGTGAAGCTTTCAAAAAGTCTTATGATAGAAATGTGAAAAACATTTCCAAATTTGATGCATCGGTGACCAAAACGATGTCGATGCAATTCTCTAGTTTCACTGTACCGTTATGTTCCTATGTTTTTCAGGTAAATATGTGTCTTGCCTTTGCATGTGTTTGTGACGGGTGCCCCCGGTGGTGCAGGATACGCTCACATTTCCGCGAACACCTGGTACCATCACTCTTTGATAATGATTCATAACCACATGCTTATGATCACTCGAAATGGTACAATGGGCTCTGCTTTTAGCAGATATTTCTGGCAGAATTCAAAATTAAGATATTTTTTTATCTTTTTAACAAGATCAGTAAATGCGTTATAGAGTTAATGTCCATCACTTGATAGTCTGTTTGTTTACATGCAACCGCCGCAAGGCAGGAGTGCAGCTGGGCAGTGTCCGGCATCAAACACACCCTTTTCGCGAACACTGGTGACATCGCTGGTTTTCAGTGATCCATTCATATTCTTTTCACCGCTATTTTGCCTTTTACTTCAAATGGAATCTGTTTCGTCGGATAATGGAGACTGGCGTTGACATTATATATAAATGTCTATGGAAGCGGCTCCGTCACTTTTATTTACACGAGGGGGGCACGGGTGGCCGGGTCGTCTAAGGCGCCGCGATTCGCTGTGCAGAGTTGCCTCCCTTGGGCACGCCAGAAACCTATGATTGTGGGTTGGAATCCCGGTTGCTCCGATTATGTTTCTAGGTTTGTCAGCACCATACCCGTGCTCGTGGGTTTCACCGAAGTGGTAAACGTCTGAGATCTGCATCACTTCGGACTTTCCTCCCACATTAAGCTAACACGCCGTGATATAACTGGAATAGCGGCGTTAAACCCAACTCACTCACTCACTTTATTTACACGTTGTGTTTGCCACCGCCTCAGTCACATGTCACATAACAAACCGAGTCATCAACTAGTGATTATGGTCATATTTATTTCATTCATCAAAAGATACTGTGTCCTTTCTATAAAATAGCATCAGCGTTACGGGATACTAACAACGATATATATGCCTCATAAGCTGTCATTAGCTATCATTTAATAGATGTGGGATCTAGGTTTAGACAAATATCAAAATCATACTCATCCTTACAAACATGTTCTTAATTTCTTTGAAAGGCATTTAGAAGTGATACACATAATGAAGAGATTTATGAATGTCGACTTCTTTATTATGAGGAACATAACGTTTCGGAGTACATACTCACTTCTTCATCAGTTGAATGAATGATATGAGGCTGAGAGCATATATATGTACATGTAAGAACAACAAATTTATTAAGAACTTAACAAGGGAAGCTTCTACCTTACAGTAATTAGCGCTGCTAGGTGATTATGAAGGGCAACTGGAAGCCAGGACTTATATTATCATTGATTCGTAATTTACAATGGGCAAACGGGAGGCCGGGGTTAGTTAGCACATTATTAAAAGAAAGGAAATAGCAATGGGCAAATTGAACAATCAGCGCTAATTACTGTAAAGTGTTGGCTTCCATTGTCTATTGCTAATCACCTATCAGTGCCAAGTATATGCTGGCTTCCCTATTGATGTTCACCATTGACGTTCATCAACCTTTATCTCTTAGTACTTCAGAGGTGGTGAGGTGAAATGGGGTTTAACGTCGCGTCCAAGATTATTGCACTTTTATAGCGACGTGCATGCACGTGTATGTGTGTGTGTGGCTGCTTGTACTAGTCCGGACTGATGCCGATTTATAGTGCTAGCACACTGAGATGCCATGTTGCAGTTTAACATGAATACCCCACTCAGACACAGTATACTGACTCCGAGCCGACCAGTCCTTGTTTTAGCCCCTTATAATTAATGCCGAGCGCCAGACAGGATATCACCAATTACCATCTTTAAACGTCTTTTGGTATGACGCGGCTGGGGATCGAACCCCGGACCTTCCGCTCTCCGGGCGGACGCTCTACTATTAGACCACGGAGGCGGTCTAGTGCTTCAGAGGGATACAGACTTAATTTATGAAACCATGTTGTATGTTGGACGTCAGTGTCCATTCTGCACTTCACCTTACAATAGTCAACTAATCATGTCATGTGACCTCTCCAGCCTCCCCGAGTTGCCCGTCGGTCGCACAGCTTGCAGCCGCTCCCTGACAGACCCACCTTGAAGCTCCCGGACGGGCCATCCCCATCCTCCTCGCCTTCCACCTCGCCAAGACTCCTTGGGTCTTTCGAGACAATGGAATCTCCTCTTTCTCACCGGGGAGGTAGCCTAGGACCCCTGAGGGGACACAAACCCAGGCCAGGTAGGTTATTCCGTCGATACATGCCGCGGTGACTCGGACAGATATAGGCGCTCTGAAACAACCAATTTAATTAGCAAGGGTCACAGTGACGTGCCTGTATTCATTGCATACGTGAGCTGGTTTAACATTGCTTCCACTATTAGTGAACTTATATCAAGGCGTCAGTTTACTGTGGACGGTGGGGTGGTGGTGGGGGTGGGGGTTGGGGTGGGGTGTGAGTTCGTAGCGATGCAAGTCGTAGACGTTTACCCTTTTGATGAAACCCCTCTAAGTGCTCAAATAGATCATAACCAAGGCAAATTCGAATCGATGGTCATAGGACCTCGTCATGCCTAAGATGCCTTGGTGGCTCACTCATCTGAGGCGCCGCAATTCGCTGTGCGGAGTTGCGTCCCTTGAGCACGCCAGAAACCTATGATAGTTGGTTCGAATCCCGGTTCGCCCCTTTATGGTTTGCCCACACCAAATCCGTGCTCGTGGGTTTCACTAAAGTGGTAAACGTCTGAGACCTCTTTGGGCTTTCCTCCAACATTAAGCTAGCATGCCGTGATGTAACTGGAATAATGTTAAAAGCGGCGTTAAACCCGACTCACTCACTCACTCACTCACACACTTGTAAGCCTCATGTAACGTATCTGTTGTTTTCAGAACTTGTATATTTCTATAACGACCTCTGCTGATTTTAATATCCGTGTTCAGCTATGCTCAATGACGGATGGCAATTTTTATACCAACTTTTATATAGCTTAGATGACTCGCGTCCATGGTTTGGTTTGGTTTGTTGTTTATGCCGCACTTAGCAATATTCCAGCTATATGACGGTGGTCTGTAAATGATCTAGTTTGGACCAGAAAATCCAGTGATTGATATCATGAGCATCGACCCACGCAATTGGGATACTATGGCATGCATCAACAAAGGCAGCGAGCCTGACCCCCCGATCCCGTTAGTTGCCTCTTACGACAAGCACAGTCGCATTTTACGGCAAGCATGGGTTGCTGAAGACCTATTCTACCCCGGATCTTCACAGGTCACTTTTCATTGTATTTACATTCTTCTGTTCAGACATTCTCGTAAACTCTCGCGTGGCGTCTCTCCAGAAAGAAAGATCAGGGGCGAACAGGACACCTACACCACCACCATCGGAGGTTGATTCAAAGTGAGTCATAGTTTCATAGTTGTATTGTAAATAATATATGTTCATATCATACACACTGAACAACAATTTATTGTTAATATTTGCCACCAATTAGCTCGCTTCCAAACACTAGCATATAAATAGTAACATATAATTATTGCAGATATTTCCAGTCTTCGTAAGTGAAATCCGAGGCAATTCAAAGGGAAATTTGTAGCGCGAAAATTTCGAAATTTTGAAGGAACCCACTTCTATACCCTTATACGGGAAGTTATTGGACTCTCTCCACTGATGGCATGTTTGGATATGAGCATTGATTCTACGTTCTTTTCAAGATGTAAATGAGAGCAACACATTTCCTTCCAATGACATTTCACTATTTCAGTGCTGTACAAGATATATTACGTCCCTTATTTCCCACCATTAGAATATGTAGTTATGGGATGTAGTTGATGAATTTGTATACCGTGTTTATCGCTCTGGTTCTCATATGATGCAAACCGTTGACATTTCTGCCTGAAGTCCGAATGTTGTCATTGTTACAGGCTTATTAGACTTATAGTAGATGTTACAATAGTTTCACGAGATTAAGGTTCAAACTTTAGGAGACGCCAAAGTAAGGCCGCCAAGTTCCGGTTTCGAATGATTTCTTGATTGTCAGTTTCTGCAAATTGCAGACCATTTGCAGACGTCTGTCTTGATAAGCATAAACACTTCATGCCCATAGAAGAGTGAGTGAATGAGTATGGTTTTACGCCGCTTTTAGCAATATTCCAGACATATCACGGCGGGGGACACCTGAAATGGGCTTCACACATTGTACCCATGTCGGGAATCGAACCCGGTCTATAGAAGAGGGAGATGGGGCATACATTGTTGTAGCTCAGTGGTGATGGGGTAGTGGGGGAAACAAGAGATGAGTCCCATTGTCAATGGGATTGATTCGGAATCTTCACCAGAGTCAAGTCAAAAGGCAAAGGGAAAAAGCATATAATTCAATCTATAAAATTATATTGATTCTAAATTCGGTTAGATGAATACCAATGGTTCCGGGAGGTTGAGCAACGGTTTCCTTGTAATGATTTGTTGACCAAAACATATCGGTGGGAAAAATAGTGGAGCTCCTGCTCCTACAGGCCTGTGCTTGATGTATTCCTGTCAGGCTGTTGCAAACTTAAAATAACAAAGTAGACACAACTAATGTATAACAACTTCTTTAATTACTGAGAAGGCGACGGTATAAGGATCTATGCCGAAACGTTGCCTTGACAGTAATTAAAAAAAGTGTTGTCCATAAATTGTGTCTACTTTGTCATCCGTCAACTTGAAATCATGCCTATCAAACAATTAATCTTAAAATACTTAGTGGTATCCATAATGCACGAAGGTTCCCATACATGAAACATTATTATTCATACAGATCAACTTACCTTGACTTCAATCCAAAGATATGATTACAGTAATCCGTTTATCTGTCCCCAGAATCCTGAAAATGAACCCAAGCATTAGCCCACGAATGTCTGATCAAGCAATCCTTTCGCCCGGACGTCACCGGAAGCCGAAGAGAAGGGGCAGCTTGGTACCGGAAACGGAAGTTGAACTGAACTGTTTTCCCACCGGACAAAGAAGTATGCTAGACAGTCAAGAGACAAGGCCGGAGAAGAGAGGCTCAGTATCCCCATTGGCAACACGGGGGACATCTTCCGCTCGAAGACGACCTTCAGAAGGGTCTTTGTATAGTTGAAGCAAAGTACAGAACAAGCAAGGATGTGGCGGGAGTTCACGTGTGCAAGACGTTGTTACCATGCGTGACTTGCGTTTTAGCGTGTATGAAACAACTGTTCACGCCTGCCTCCACTGAGACGAGGCCTCGAATCTGAAAGATATTGTGCTTGTTGTCTCGTCAGATAAGCTTAAGACACTGATATGTGACCCATTTGTGAGGGATTTACTCCTGGTTTTGCCACATGATTGCCTTGTTCTTTCAGTCCTAACCATATACAACATTTGGAAACGTTATCAAGTTAATAGTATCATCCCCCCTACATGTCGGTAACCATGCATTTTGTTGAATAAACAATGCAACATTCTCAAGTAAACTGATTGCAAATAAACTGCTTTTTTTCGGTCAAAATACAACAAAAATGTCAGTGAATGTAATTTTTGTATCTGTTGAGGTGAATAATACTGGATTTATTGGGGTACGAAAAACACAAATTGTCAACACACATTTACCTTTTATTCAGGTACTCCCTGTGTAATGTAAGGGCCGATTACAATGGGGACTGAAGCTGTTATCAAAATAGGCTCAGGATGAGTAACGTTGCTGATAATGTGTCATGTGGATAGTTATTTTTTGCTAAGTCATTGGTTTGCCTGGTCCAGACTCGATTATTTATACTATAACTGACTGTGGGTCTTTAGATTCTTCAACTGACCCACTTCAATGAAAAATCTTGGAGATGAAAAAACTGACTTCATATACATCCACTCATAAGGCTTTATTTATTCGCATTACAAGGTTCTGATTGAATTGGTAAGGAAACGAATCAGAATTAAAGACCCTTTTTACATGGTTCTCTTAAAATGCATCATGTAATCAAAACGTAATGCTGAAATCCTTTAGTAGGTGGTGTGTCTTAAGGACGGTTGGGAATCAAAGTGCTTGAAGTGTTGGCTTGTTATGTCTGTGATCCGGGTTCGATTCTCCACATGCGTTCAATGATTGACGCTGATTTCTGGTGTCTCCCACGTTGATATTGCTTGAACATTGCTGAAAGGTGGCGTCAACCCTACTCACTCACTCACCCATTCCAATGCATTACTAAGAAATGTTTCTTTCATACCACTTACATGTTGGTTTCCATCCATCTTCCTGAGGCCAGGGAGTTATCTAACTATAAAAGTCAAGATCCAACCCTTGCGGAACTGGGTTGGAATTTCTGGGCTCGATCGTAGCGCCACTATTGGCTTTAACGAGTTATGTCCCTTCTATGTCCCTCCTATTGACCAATCAGATTCAACCTGTTCTGTCTCTTGCAATTGCTTTAAACAAAATGGTGGCGCCCAGTCAAGATCATCTGATCGATTCTCAAGATCTGTATTGTAATAAAACAGGCCTTACCTCGCGAAGTGCATCAGATAACTTGAGCACCTTGATTAAAAACATGAAAAGATTTGCAAAATACCTGTCGATGCCCAGTTGGCGGTACACATATTTTGCAAACCATGCAGTCGACAGAAATCTGCACTTTGAAATCTTTGTTGATTACGAACCGGATGTCTAGTTTGTTACGCGATTTGGATTGGGCTATGAATAGACCAGCCAAAATGTAACTCCGGAATTCCAGCCTAGCTCGGCGAGGGTGGAAACTGAACTTTTATTGTCCCTTGCCTCGGGAAGATTGCTCCCATCACTATGTGCAGGTATGTCCTGTGACATATATTTGTTGGATATATTTGGTTTTACCTGTTTATTTCTCCTTCTCTGGACATGTCAAATTAGGTTTTGTTCTCATTGACAAATGTACTGTTCAAATGCATATCCTTATATCTGCCTGAAGTGTGAATATTGTCATTATCTCATAATATTACAAAGTCGCCGTCGATAGATAATACAAAGTCTTTATTGTATGGTTCCATCTGTATGAGACTGCATAAATAAGGTCTCAATTATATATTTCGAATTTCCAAATGCTGTACCCATATTTGATCATTCTATTTTCCTTTTCCCTGAATGTATTGCAATGTGAAAAGAAGGGAATAAACAATATATCATATAAATATATTACTAAATACAAATTGACTGGCATATTAAAGTATTTTGAGTAATATTATTAGATGATGAAAATGACGTGGCAGTTATATATTCATGAACATAGAAGGCTATCTTCTATTTTGTTTCTCGTCTATTTTTGAAATGGGTTTTTTTCGGGAAAATACAAGTGTAATTGGATACTGGTGTTCGTGGAATAATAACGGTAAAATGCTTCCTGGAAACATCCTTGAATTCAAGATGATGACGTTCTGAACGAACAAGGGGAATCAGTAAAATGTTTGTTTCGAGGTAAGAATACAATGGCAATGAAGAGTCAATGTCACCTTCTTATACACTACAGTGCCATACGTCGAGGACATTAAGCAGTATCAGTAGATCTGAACAATATACCGTATCTGACCGTTGTGCGTTTTATTGAGCAGTGACTCAAATGTACGGAAAGCTTTTTAGGGCCATTTGTTTTTTAAATTCTTTTTCGATACTATCTTGAAATTTCAACTTCTGTATCTTGAAATTTCAACCTAGCATCTTGAAATTTCAAGATAGTATCTTGAAATTTCAACTTAGTTTCTTGAACTTTCAATTTTGTATCTTGAAATTTCAAGATAGTATCGAAAAAAACAAAAAAACAAATGGCCCTAAAAGGCTTCCGTACACATGTGGTGATCGTGGGAAAAAAGGTGTTCTTCAAAACATAGGTGTTTTGAGGGCATGATATATTGTCAATGTTGTTATTGTCACATGATCATGGGATGTTTACTTTATCTTACCTTAGAACACACTAATTGTCACATAAGTTATGTCACATCATAACTCTATAATCAGATCAGATCTATTTTCGGCGAGGGTGGAAACTGAACTTTTATAGTCCCTTGCCTCGGGAAGATGGCTCCCATCACTATGTGCAGGTATGTCCTGTGACATATATTTGTTGGATATATTTGGTTTTACCTGTTTATTTCTCTTTCTCTGGACATGTCAAATTAGGTTTTGTTGTCATTGACAAATGTACTGTTCAAATGCAAATCCTAATATCTGCCTGAAGTGTGAATGTTGTCATTATCTCATAATATTACAAAGTCGCCGTCGATAGATAATACAAAGTCTTTATTGTATGGTTCCATCTGTATGAGACTGCATAAATAAGGTCTCAATTATATATTTCGAATTTCCAAATGCTGTACCCATATTTGATCATTCTATTTTCCTTTTCCCTGAATGTATTGCAATGTGAAGAGAAGGGAATAAACAATATATCATATAAATATATTACTAAATACAAATTGACTGGCATATTAAAGTATTTTGAGTAATATTATTAGATGATGAAAATGACGTGGCAGTTATATATTTATGAACATAGAAGGCTATCTTCTATTTTGTTTATCGTCTATTTTGAAATGGTTTTTTTCGGGAAAATACAAGTGTAATTGGATACTGGTGTTCGTGGAATAATAACGGTAAAATGCTTCCTGGAAACATCCTTGAATTCAAGATGATGACGTTCTGAACGAACAAGGGGAACCAGTAAAATGTTTGTTTCGAGGTAAGAATACAATGGCAATGAAGAGTCAATGTCACCTTCTTGTACACTACAGTGCCATACGTCGAGGACATTAAGCAGTATCAGTAGATCTGAACAATATACCGTATCTGACCGTTGTGCGTTTTATTGAGCAGTGACTCAAATGTACGGAAAGCTTTTTAGGGCCATTTGGTTTTTTCATTTTTTCGATACTATCTTGAAATTTCAACTTCTGTATCTTGAAATTTCAACTTAGCATCTTGAAATTTCAAGATAGTATCTTGAAATTTCAACTTAGTTTCTTGAAATTTCAACTTAGTTTCTTGAAATTTCAATTTTGTATCTTGAAATTTCAAGATAGTATCGAAAAAAACAAAAAAACAAATGGCCCTAAAAGCTTCCGTACAAATGTGGTGATCGTGGGAAAAAAGGTGTTCTTCAAAACATAGGTGTTTTGAGGGCATGATATATTGTCAATGTTGTTATTGTCACATGATCATGGGATGTTTACTTTATCTTACCTTAGAACACACTAATTGTCACATAAGTTATGTCGCATCATAACTCTATAATCAGATCAGATCTATTTTCAGACAGGAAAAAAATTCTCATCTGTGATTGTGTTTTGTCCCAGAATGAACTTATGCATATTGCGTATACGTATTGATTCATCTCTCATCTAACGTGTGATTATCAGTCAGTATTACGGGATTTTAACACAGTTATCGTGTCGTGCGAAATGCGATATTTATTTGCTATTTTGACATAATTATACTGCCACATAACTCCTGTATGCACACATCAGCATCGCAACAAGCAAATGACTCTATGACATATTTAAAACATCGTATCTAGACTATAAGTGTGGAACACAAACGACGGAAATTATTTATTTTTTTATATAAAATAAAAGAAGTTCGAAATTTTATTTTCACATTTGGTTGAATTTACGAACTTTCTGTTGCTTAATTCTTGAGATATTGTCAGTGCGAAGTTAAATTTTGACACGTTCAGTATACTCAAGTTTACTGATACATGTTGTTCTTGAGACGAAATTAGTCTTTAGAAAAAGCTAGACAAAGTTTTGAAAATGATCGGCGAGTCAATGTTTGTGACCAGTGATGCATCGACACGATTTGTTTCGTTATTCATTCGTGATAATCACTTAGACTACATGCACACACCTGAATTATCACAGACCTTTGGTTTGGCTGGTGTTTCAGAATGACTATACATGCTACTGCTGAACTGCATTCTATTACGTGAAAAAGAAATGATCACCCTCCGATCAAGATGACAATATTCTTGGTTAAATAAAAAAATCCATTTAATCAACATATTCATTTTGTTATCGATGAGCCCAAACATTTTTTGCGAACGAAGCTGCAGGTGTAGTTGGTCAATATACCAAAAAGGTATTGGCAGAACCAACCTACACCCCTTCCGGGCGATAAACATATATATTATCCGTTTTCTATTGGTGATTCCAACCGGTTTTTACTTTCTTCCATACTCTTTGTGCACCGTACATGAATAAGAACAAAAATAGTGATCAGTGATAAGAGTGTTCAGAGTAAATAGGACTTCAAGTGATTAGTTCATTTGATGAATATTCAATTTTCTTTCCACATGTTGCGTGAATGAAAATGTTTTGAGCCTCCTATGCAAAGAGCTGAAATATTGCCCTCAGTTGGGACATATTTTTATGATCTCCTTTCGACTTAATGCATTTCTTCTTGTTCCATCTCTTCTCGAGGTCAATTACCCTTCTCTTCTCGAGGTTAGTTAATGTAGGCCATGTTTTGTAGACGCCTTAATTCTTTGTCTCCGCCCACTCAAGTTCATGCACTGGCGATCTTTTTGAAATGACTCTGGGTTATAGTGAGTGAGTAAGTGAGTTGGGTTTAACGCCGCTTTTAACAGTATTCCAGTTATATCACGGCGTGTCAGCTTAATGTGGGAGGAAAGCCCGAAGTGATGCAGGTCTTAGACGTTTACCACTTCGGTGAAACCCACGAGCACGGGTATGGTGCTGACAAACCTAGAAACATAATTGGGGCGAACCGGGAATCGAACCCACAATCATAGGTTTCTGGCGTGCCCAAGGGACGCAACTCCTCACAGCGAATCGCGGCGCCTTAGGCGACTGGGCCACCCGTGCCCCCTCTTGGTTATAGGTATTAAGAAAGAAGCGATGAAACAATTAAAGAAGAAATTAAAAAATTTCAAATTCCAAAAGAATTTTCAGATGATCTTTAGGGTATTCAATATGCGTATTCTAGGAACATTGTACCAAATAACTACACAAATCATAATTTTGGAAAAACGGCTTCAGAAAAGAAGCATTTATCTTATTTTTTCAAGAGCAATAAACATTATGTAAATACAGTCCGTTCTGCGTGCTTGTTTAAATATGTTTGGGCATACCTTTCCAAGTTTCTTGTTCTGTCGCGGACAACGTAAAATAATCACTGTTTTCCAAATCAATTTCTACCATCCTGACCACACCGTCCCGTTAATATCACTCCTCCCAGGGTTACATCCCTTTATGTATCTGCCATACACTGAACCAGCACGATGATATAATTCTGGTCACAACCCTTCCATGTGGTTCTGTCCATACAATTACTTACACTCTACCCTATGCTTGTCGCATGAGGCAACTAACGGGATCGGATGGTCAGGCTCGCTGACTTTGTTGCTGCATGTCATCGATCCCAATTGCGTGGATCGATGCTCATGATGTCAAGCAATGGATTGTCTAGTCCAGATTCGATTATTTACAGACCGCCGTCTTATAGCTGGAATATTGCTGAGTGCGGCGTTAAACAACAAACAAACAAAAACAAAACTTCCACAAACAATGTCCATTGTCGCCATCGTTTCACTCGGTGTGGGGTGCCTCCTTGTAGTAGCTGGGGATGAATGGGATGTATTTTGAAATCTTGGACTTCATCAACCACTCGGGCACACACGGCAGCTGGTACACTTCCGCGCCTTCTTCAAACGCCTCAGACGCAGCTGATGTGTCACCTTCAGCATATTCCTGTTGCCAGATATTAAAACCTCGCTCCTTTAGTGTACCTGTAGGTAAAAAAACCAAATTCACCATGAACCAATGCAAGCGAGTTTACAGTTACCAAACTCTCTGTCAATAAGAGTAAGGCTTGCTACATCAATCCAACTTCATGAAGATTCGGGGGCGGTCGGGTAGCCTAGTGGTTAAAGCGTTCGCTCGTCACGCCGAAGACCCGGGTTCGATTCCCGACATGGGTACAAAGTGTGAAGCCCATTTTTGGTGTCCGCCGCCGTGATATTGCTGGAATATTGCTAAAAGCGGCGTAAAACCATATTCACTCACTCACTCATGAAGATTCTCACCCGTGCTCGTGGATATGACCCAATTCTTATTTGTTTCTTGCTTAACACCACACTCAGCAATATTCCAGCTATATGGCGGTAGTCTGTACACAGTCGAGTCTGGACCAGATAATCCAGTGATTGATATCACGAGCATCGATCCAAGCTTTTGGGATACAGCTGAAAGAACTGCTAATGCCGCTGAGTGAAAGACGCGACTGGAAGGACAAGGTGGAAACCCTACACAGCAACCCGCGGCCTTTGCTATTGTTCATTCGGAACTGCACGTTTACGTCTGTATTCGAGATGCTAAGTTCAGTGTGATGGACGTGACAGGCCTCTTTAAGGACAGTCTCATGCTCTGTGGCCACACTGTTACGATTGTACTAGCGTTAGGCTCACCCGGTACAGTGTTGTCCAAGAAGCATGCGAGTACTCCACCGGCACAGCTGGGGTTAGACAGTATGACTTTTATGATACGGTCAGCATCTTCACTTCCTAGTTATGACAAAAAGATACGAAGGCATCAGTTCTCAATACGCAATGCCAGTTGTTACGAAACAAAAACGAATACAGTAAACTACGGTTACAACGAACTCAAAGGGACCACTATTTCTAGTTCGTTATAACCGCAGTTCGTTATATGCATATATACAGCAAATATACAGCAAATTGCCGGGACCAAGAATAAGTTCGTTATATCTGTCCGTTTGTTATAAGCGTGTTCGTTATAAACGTAGTTTACTGTATGTATTTATGCTATAGCTATCATATATTTCACTGCTTATTGACATTTAAAAAAAAGGTAACAATAATCAGTCACCGTTACAAAATACGCATGTCGTAAGTGGCGACTTAAATGGGTCTGGGTAATTCAATGCAACAGTCGGACGTTGATCACAATATCAAACATTGGTTTGTCTTGTTAAGACACGGGGCTGTCGGGTAGCCTAGTAGTTAAAGCTTTCGCTCGTCACGCCGAAGACCCGGGTTCGATTCACCACATGGGTACAATGTGTGAAGCCCATTTCTAGTGTCCTCCGCAGTGATATTGCTGGAATATTGCTAAGAGCGGCGTAAAACCATACTCACTCACTCACTTGTTAAGATACTATTGAATAGGCTGTCGTCATACAGCTGGAATATAACTGAGCATCGTTTGTATTTCCTTCAACATTAAACTGCCACACCATCGTATTGTACTTCTTGGAATACTGATCCAACGGTTTAACGACCCGTGAAGATCCGGGGTAGAATAGGTCTTCAGCAACCCATGCTTGCCCTAAAAGGCGACTCTGCTTGTCGTAAGAGGCGACTAACGGATCGGGTGGTCAGGCTCGCTGAGTAGGTTCATGCATGTCATCTTATCCCAATTGAGTGGAACGATGCTCATTATATCAATCACTGAATTGTCTGGTACAGATTCGATTATTCACAGACCGCCGTCATATAGCTGTAATATTGCTGAGTGCAGCGTTAAGCAACAAACATCAACATCACATCCAACGGTTTAAACCGCCTCCGTGGTCTAGTGGTAGAGCGTCCGCCCGGAGAGCGGAAGGTCCGGGGTTCGATCCCCGGCCGCGTTATACCAAAAGACGTTAAAATATGGTTCTTGTTGTTACCCTGTCTGGCGCTCAGCATTAAGGGGTCAAAGCAAGGACTGGTCGGCTCGGAGTCAGTATACTGTGTCTGAGTGGGATGGTATATCAGTGGGCTAGCACTATAAATCGGCATCAGTCCGGTCTAGAACATGCAGCCACACACACACACACACACACACACGTGCATGCACGTCGCTATATAAGTGCAATAATCTTGGACGCGACGTTAAACCCAATTTCACCTCACCTCACCTCACCTCCAACGGTTTAACTCGCTCTCACCTGTTTGAATTCCATCCGGGGTGGTCTCGATCCAGTGAGGAAGCATGAGCCCTAGCAGCAGCGAGATCCCGATGATGGCGAGGTTCCTGGGCGAGTTCAGGTCGACGTACTGCAGGTTGGACAGAACGATGCCCACAAAGATGCCAACTCCAATGATCATTGCCCCTCCAATGACGGAGTAGGGGATGGTGACGAAGAATGCCCCGATCTTACCCAAGATTCCCATCAGCATAAACAGCACCCCAGTTGCTGCGAACACACGCCGACTTGCCACCTGTGGTAGACGCATACCAATGTTATTGTATTTTCCAGTTCTTGCAGAATAAATGCTATTCAGAATTTTAACTCGAAAAGATGTTTTCAGTCAACTATTATAATTAGAAAATAGTTCGTACATCTCCAACATTTTCCTTCTTCTTTTGTTTGTTTGTTGTTTAACGCCGCAACCAGCAATATTCCAGCTATATGAATATTCTGTAAATAATCGTGACTGGACCAGACAATCCAGTGCTTGATATCACGAGCATCGATCCACGCAGTTGTGATACGATGACATGCATCAACCAAGTCAGCGAGCATGACCACCCTATCCCGTTAGTCGCCTCTTACGACAAGCATAGTCGCCTTTTACGGCAAGCATGGGTTGCTGAAGACCTATTCTATTCTCCTTCTGTGTACCCGATCATTGAACGGAGACGTTGTGACGTTGTGCAATGTGCGAGTGAATTTGTTGTCCGCGTTCAGTAAATGCGTTTCGTTCTTAAAGCTAAAATGACAGCTGACTCTATTGTTTGTCGGGGTTAATTGGTATGTGCAGTTAAACACCGTTGTGTCGAAGTCGAAGGGACCTTAATGTAAATAATTCGAGTTGTCCGAGGCTCGACACAACCGAAAATGGCGAATAAAGAATGAATGCGCAGGGACCATGCCGTAAGTTCGATACATCACAGTTCGACACAACGGTGTTTGACTGAATAGCCACCCCATGGGTGTGTAACTCTATAAATACCATGGGCTGGCTATATTAGGATGAACACTATAAGCAACAGCAAACGTTTCCCGGATGGTTAGGCTCGAACCTCCGTTGGCATGTTTTGAAATCCCAGCGTCTCTTCGACTGCGTTGATTATTTACCCGGCACCATGTTACAGTTCGAGTGACACGCTAAACAATATACTATATTCATTTCACCTCCTTTAAACCCCGGGGGCACTGGTGGCACAGTCGTCTAAGGCGCCTCTTTTGGCTGTGCAGAGTTGCGTCTATTGGGCACGCCAGAAACCTATGATTGTGGGTTCGAATCTCGGTTCGCCCCGATTATGTTTCTAGGTTTGTCAGCACTTTACCCGTGCTCCTGGGTTTCACCAAAGTGGTAAACGTCTGAGATCTGCATCACTTCGGGCTTTCCCCCACATTAAGCTGACACGCCGTGATATAACTGGAATACTGTTAAAACTCACTCACTCACTCCTTTAAACCCCGAGATTTTATGGTGCAAATCTCTTCATCAATAGTATATATTTTTAATAATGTAGGTAAATATGTTTCTACAGACTATAAGTCTGTTCCATTAAGAAATCCTGGTAATTTTAGCAGCAAGTTTGATTTCCAGGTACAATAATCATGTTTGTGATTTTTGGGGAATACATATTCAAAAATGACATTGGTCGCAGTGATGTAAATGATTGACTATCACTACTCTAATTTAGTTTGTTTGTTTGTTGTTTAACGCTGCACTCAGCAATATTCCAGCTATAAGACGGTGATCTGTAAATAATCGAGTCTGGGACAGACAATCCAGTGATTGACATCATGAGCGTCGATCCACGCAATTGGGATCGATGACATGCATCAACCAAGTCAGTGAGCCTGACCACCCGATCCCTTTAGTCGCGTCTTCCGACAAACATAGTCGCCTTTTACGGCCAGCATGGGTTTCTGGAGACCTATTCTACCCCGGATCTTCACGGGTCTTATAATCTTCTATCCGTGAACGTATAACCTACCCGAGTGATTCCTATGGCGCCGATATTGTTCCCGTAGGAGGAGGTGGCATGTCCTACCCCGACAGCACCCGCCAAAAAGCTCATAGCGCCCTCTACCGCCACACCGCGATTAACTGCGTGTTTGGGCGGAGGAGGCACGAAACACATTCGGGCGCATGCGCTGTAGTCCCCAATGGAGTCGAGTATAGAGAAGCATGTTGCCAGTAGAAAGGTAACGAATGCAGATACACTGAAACCTGGCGTCCCAAACTGGCCTGAAACATTCAGTAGTTCAGGGTAATGAATCAACTCAAGCATACAATGATCTCACACACTGGTAATTGTCGACAGTCGAACACGGTTTTTGTTATTTGGTTGAAGGGTATTTTTTTCAAAACCACAGGGACATGTGGTCGATATAATACATATTTGATAAATAAAACTCAGTGATTCTGACTATGTCCTGTGCATGTGTTTATGGTATGTTTTAGACCCTCTGCTCATGCGTCTCTTTGGGTCATGCGTCACTTTGGAATATACTCTAACTCAATAGTTAGAATGGCAACTCTGCTTGTTGGGCATTCAAAAAAACATTGATGGCGTTATGCTAACAGTAGTTTCACTTTTTATCCTTCACGATATGGCGGGCGTATTTACTGTGGTATTCAATACAAATGTCTATATTAACCAAATAATAATAATAATTGTGTGGTTCGTTCTCTAAACTGCAAATTACATTCATTCATTCATTCATTCAATTATTCATTCATTCATTCATTTATTCATTCATTCATTCATACGTATTTGGGAGATAAACCTACTGTGTATTGAAATTTTATGTAGTCCCACTCTAGAATAGATACCTCTTTTTCTTAATTTTGAACCGAGCGCTTTAGCGCGAGGTTAGAAATTATAATAAAGAGGTATCTATTCTACGGTGGGACCACATCAAATTTCAAAACACAGTAGGTTTATCTCCATTGTACCATGACGGCAACAACGCTTTGAAAACGGCGCTCTCTTGCAACGCGTAACAACACAGGCAAACAGGTCCGCAATCTTAGAGTATTCCGAAAAGTTGTCACAGGTAGTATATATGTAACAATTATTGCTAAAGTTCAAGATTAAAAACACCATAGTCGTGAGTAGTTCAAAATAAGTGTTCAAAACACTGTTTCAAAAGAAGTTGACAAATAACACTCCAAACTTAGTCCAAAGACAGATGTTTTAATTGTCTCCAACTTGTTGTACACTGTTGTACACTGTGGACTGACTGCCAATTCTTGGAAGTTGCGAGAGAGGTCATTTCTTTGAAATCGAACATGCCATCATTTCTATTGTAGGGGTTACAGGTTGTAGAAAAAAAGGTTTTAAAATGCTTAACGAATATATTTCTACAAAAAACTTTTTGAATTAACATCCTATAACACATTTAACATGTGTCAGTGTTGTTAGGTAGTTAGCAATTACCCCCAGTAAACAATAATAACATCAAAATAAATGCCCCTCCACCCCGAACTTGGATGTGGCAGAACTTGACCTACATCAGGGTTACTCATACGACGCAGCTGTCAATGGCTGACAATCTTGTGTTTACATTCTCCGTTGCTCCGTAAGCAAGATGACAACCCTGATCTATGATGTGGTTCAACATTAACCTGTAGATTAACTGGGAATGATCGAGCCTGCTAGTACAACATGATTACCAATGGAACTGAGTATGACTGAACAGCCGTTTTTTAGCCTGCAGACAAGCCGGACCGTTTTTACACGAGGTAGGGCCATCTCAGAATCTGCATGGTGTGACCTGTCAATTTCAAGATTTCATGGATTCCAAAGCCAGAGTGTGAATGGAATGAGACATTCGTGGCCCAGACATAGTGGGTCGTGTATGAAGTTTGACTTGACTTGTTTGACAATAATATAGGGACATTGTTTTCGTGGATTTTCGAATGGACACATCACAAAAAGGTTTGCAAACATCAGGTTGTGATTAATAAAGTTTTTTCAAACAATTTTTATAATGTTATAGTTTACTTTCATTGTCGGTTGTTTCAATGTGGATATAGCTTAAATTGTTCCGATTCTGGTCAACATAGAACATTTCCCTAACAGTTTCATAAACATTTCATCTGTATGCAAAAGATATGCCTTCGTTAAAACTACCGTATTTCCTCTATTTGACGCTATGTCGTCTGTTAATTTCGCGGGAGCCCTTGCCTCGGCGTGTATTAGAGACCTGGCTGGTATTAGAAACCCAGAGTGTATTAGTGGAAATATAGATACGTTTTACAGTTGATATGGGGTGATCGATCGGCAGCCATTTTCTATGAATCGATATGTAGGCTATCTATGTATTCATACGCACGTCTTTTAGTGAAAGGTCTTAATATATTTGAAAGGGGTTTCCGTAACAAAAAGGAAACCTCTTTTAAACCAATCAGAATCAAGCATTCATCAATATCATGGTAGAATTACATTTATGGTGTCCCCCGCCGTAATATTGCTGGAACATTGCTAAAAGCGGCGTAAAACCATACTAAATCAATCAATCAATCATACCCATCTACAACTATTGGCTAACACATGTAATATTGACAAATAATGCTTCCCTTATAATCTTTCCGTTATTTCTGTCAATCAGTATATTTACCAGGATATGGGAAGAAGAACCACGGACTCTGACGTATGACGTAGTTGCGCGAGTCCGTGCGGGCATAGTAGTCTTTGCTGAGAGGATCGTCAGAGAGGACGCCATATTCTGTCAGTATGACTGACAAGGCCCAGCCTAGCAAGATCGCCAAGAGAATCTGACAATGAGAACGAATGAATAAATGACAGGCAGCAAACTAAGGCCTATAATAACCCAGTCTGTCTAGTTGAACCAGTGACTGACGACATGAACACCATCAGGGAACATGCTTATTGAAATCTTTGGATTCTCATACAAACGAATTCATCACACTGCAGCTGGTCTCATTGCACAATATTACACAAGGAATTTCCTTCAGAATGCGTGAATCAACGTCATGGACTGGCCGTCAAGGTCTCCCGACCTCAATCCCATCGAACACGTCTGGGATGCTCTTTGCAGAAGTCTGCGCACTCTCCAGAACCAACCACAGAATTTGCAAGATCTTGGCACAATTTTGCAGCAACAATGGCGTCGTCTTCCCAATCATGTGTTCACAAGCATCACAAGGTCCATGCGGGGGCGTTGTGTGGCAGTTGTCAACGCACATGGTGGCCATACACGCTACTGAACTTGTGTGCCATCAGATTCTCGTGCTTGGGACTTATGATGTTATTACCGAATACCGTAGGTGCTTGGAACAAATTATGGTTACCACCGTTAATTAAAATCCTTCTTTGGACATTAATGATTAAAAACTACCTTCTCTGATACATTTGTCCGTTGTATATCATATATGGGATTACTTTTAAAAATGTGAAGTTTTTAATTTGATTCAGTATATATCATATGTAATAAGCAAATATCAATTTATAAAAAAAGGGAGTGAGTAAATGAGTTGGGTTTAACGCCGCTTTTAACAGTATTCCAGTTTTATCACGGCGTGTCAGCTAAATGTGGGAGGAAAGCCCGAAGTGATGCAGGTCTCAGACGTTTACCACTTCGGTAAAACCCACGAGCACATTTATGGTGCTGACAAACCTAGAAACACAATCGGGGCGAACCGGGATTCGGACCCACAATCATAGGTTTCTGGCGTGCCCCAGGGACGCAACTCTGCACAGCGAATCGCGCTCAGACGACCTGGCCAAAGTGGAAAAGATATATAGACCTCTGTAAAATGAAGGCAACAGAATGGAGTTCATACATTCCCTGAACTCTACACTCATGAATGTTTGCAAAGTTACAATGAGGACATCGTATTATGAATATGTCTGGCATCCTAATGAGCCAATTATTAAATTGTTTGATAGGCATTATTTAGAAGTTGGCGGATGACGAAGTGGACACAATTTATGGATATCAACTTCTTTCATTACTGTAAAAGCGACGTATCGGTAAAGTTCCTTATACCATCTTCAAGACAAGTTGTTATCCATAAATTGTGTCCACTGAGCCAATTATTAACGCACCATTACCACGTAATACTTACTTGTGTACATTTGTTTCAAATCTACCTTTGCAACTATTGCAAAATTATTGAAATGAGAAATAGAGCCTCGTAATAGCATATTCCAAGTGTACCTGGTGAGTGAACATGGCTTGTTAAATGTCCGAAATGCAATGAACTATTGCCGCGTGTGTCTTGGAGTGTTACCGACGGCACTGGTGAGGCTTCAGAAATTCAAAAATAATTTCGTTTGGTGTGTTCATTGGTTTGGTGAAACGAGAACTCGTGTAGTCCTTTCTGTTAATGATCCCCGGAGTGGAACCTTTCCCCTTTTTACTAGATGAAAGCATTTTTATTTATGGAAAACATTACCACGATGCTACCACAATCGCGCAGAAACCGCTGTGCTGTTTGTTTGTTTGTTTGTTTGTTTGTCGTTTAACGCCGGACTCAGCAACATTCATGCTATATGACGGCGGTCTGTAAATAATCGAATCTGTACCAAACAATCAAGTGATTGATATAATGAACATCGATCCACGCAATTGGGATAAGATGACATGCATCAACCAAGTCAGCAAGCCTGACCATCCGATCCCGTTGGTCCCCTCTTACGACAAGCATGGGTTACTGAAGACCTTATCTCTACCCGGATCTTCACGGTTCGAAACCGCTATGCAGAGCTGAGGCTCTTAAGAGTGCCGGAATTTATGATCGTGCTTGATCGTTTAGGCTTAAATCCGAAATTCGCTCTAATTATGAGCCATGGTTTGTCCACATCCGTCCTCATGGTTCTAACAAAGTTGTATACAAAAACGACATAACGTGATAAAATGATAAGAAATCAATGCTAAAAGCAGAGTCGATTGAACAATTCCCACTATATCATCAGCATGTGCTTAAATCACTATAGAATAGTCATGATACCAGGTGTTGGCGTAAGGCGAGAGCAACCGTCACAAACACATGCAAAGGCAAGACAATTTTTCACCTGAAAACACACAGGAACATGACGAAGTGCATCGGACATAATTTTGTCACTGATGCGCCAAAATGTGAAATGTCCTCAACATGTCTATCATAAAAGTTTTGAAAAGTTTGCTGAGGTCTTGACTGATGTAACCTTGATTAGACAACTTTTGAAGAAGAATCGTATGACGCTCTTTGAAATCTTCGTAGACTTGCATCAGTTTGGGCTTTTCTCCCACATTAAGCCCATACATGGAAGTATATGTGTTTGTTGTAGTTTGTTGTTTAACGCCGCACTCAGAATTATTCCAGCTATATACGTCGATCTGTAAATAATCGTGTCTTGACCAGACAATCCAGTGAATGACATCACGAGCATCGATCCACGCAATTGGGAATACGATGACATACATTAACCAAGTCAGAGAGTCTGACCACCAAATCCCGTTAGTCGCCTATTACGACAAGCACGGTTTTCTGACGACATGCTCTAACAAGGATCTTCACGGATTCGCGATGGTATAACTGAAATACTAACTGAAATTCTAACAAAGCGGCGTACAACTAATTAAAGTCATTTATGATAACTTTGAAAAGCACAGGACAGTACAAGACATCGCATCTCACGTCACATACTTGACATTAATACTTACAGCAAATACTTGATGAAGCGGGAACCATTTGATGTAAAATCCCCGTTTTCTTTGCCATGCGATCAGGGGAGTTTTTACATTGCTTAGGTAGATCGATAAGACAAGGGCCAAGCCTGCTGTACTGTTAAAGATATAACACAATGAGTGAGTGCGTGGGTTGGGTCTAACGGCGCTTTTAACAGTATTCTGTATTATATTCACAAACGAGTTTCCGTCAAAGTTATGAGTAAATAAATACGCCGATATTTGAAAAAGTTCATGGGGAATCGAACGTTGGTCTTTGGAACGACGAGTGATCGAATTAATAACAAGATTTCTCCAACGTCCCTGGCTTCCAACAAATAAGATGCTAGGAAAAACATCATACCATTAAAACATGTTACACTTGTAGTCTACAATGTATTAAGCACTGACAATATTTAAATATGATACGTATTTTACAAACATTTCGTGTATAAAGGAAATATTTATGAGATGTTATTGTCATACTTACAATAAGGACACTCCCCACTGCGTCTCTGAGAAGGTAACGACTGTTTTGTAGATGTAAAGGCCAATCAACGTCAGTGACGGGACGATTGTGACTGGTCCAATGAAGCGGAGTAATACTCCCACTAAGCCAGTAGCACCAATCATCATGTGGATAAAACCCACCACCATTAGACTGCCCATTATCTGTATTTAAAGACAAACGTGAAACACGTTTATCAGATAACGGATAGTGTTGTGGATACGAGAAATCAACCCGATAAACTAGGCATCACGATCAGATAAATATGCAAATGAGGTAATCAAACAGGAACTACTTTTTATATCCATACATCGATGGATATCGTCTGCTTTTTCAATATACTATTGACAAACATTCCCGATACGTTTAGATTAGGGTTTCCGTTGTGTGGGTCATTATGTCGGCAGACATGGCTGCAAACCGTTTGGCACTATATGATAAATAAGGCAGTTCACGCAATCACTGTATTCATTATGTGTGGGTCATTATGTAGGCAGACATGGCTGCAAACCGTTTGGCACTATATGATAAATAAGGCAGTTCAATCAATCACTGTGTTCCTCCGCGGTTTCTGAAGTTATTTTACTGGTCAAAATAACGTCGTAAACTTTCCTTATTTCAAGAATGACATTAGACAAAAATGAGGTTATAACCCTCGCGAGTTTCCGATGAAAACAAACATGATAAAAATACTGAACAAAAAGAATTAGGGATCATGAATATTTTAGGGGATACATTTTTGTGGTGAAGACTGAGGGCACACATTCATACAAATGTCCCCAAAACATTCATGATCCCTAAAATTTGTTGGTTCAGTTTAAATAGTTTCTATTCGCGCGCCTATGACACACCCTGATGCCTCAAAAGAGTTACTATTCGAACAGTAAACGACACTATGGTATAGAAAGAGAGTGTTCCTCTCGGGCGTCAGAACGTCTTGTTCGAATGATACACGCGTTCCAATGCAAAACAACTACTCTGAGTGAATCTTATTGTGACGTAAGGTCGGATTCACGTCACCCTAGAAATGACGTCATAGCTGAAAATTGTTGGCGTCATTTGACGAATTTGCGGTTTTCTAGGACAGCGGTGGTGATCAGGGCATGTTTCTAAACGGGAGTTCAAAGGGATTAAGAAATAAGGGGTAATAAAGAAATTAATATACTCACATGTATGTCATACTGATTTTACGAAACTCGTGTAAGGATTCATATATTACCCTCGCTCTTGCTCGGGAAATACAGTATTTCTGACACTCGTTTCGTAAAATCTGTATGAAACACGCTCGTATAATAATATCTATGTACGTATTTATATCTGACGATCACAGTAACCAGACCGGGTAGTGAGTTATCATCTCAAACTACTCCCATTGGTGTCGACACATCCTTTAGACGTGCCAGAAACCTACGATCAAGGGTCAACGTGATTATGTTTCTAGGTTTCATCGTGGGTTTCACCCAAACGGGAAACATCTGAGACCTCCGGGCTCTCATCCCGCATCACGTCGTGATTTAACTGAAATACTGTTCGAAAATGCGTTAAACGAAATCCACAGACACATTAGTAGGTAAATGAAATATTCTGAAAACAACCACCCCAGCAAGGGGCACCTAAAAACGCTCCATTTGTGTACGTCCCAAAATATATTTAAACATGTGGAATGAAATTATCAGAATAGAGTTCTGACAAGCCTGACCTAGTTTGACTTTGTGATTACATGCAGAAAATGACCTTTTGAACAAAAGCTTTTGTTCGGTTGAAACTTCGTTGAAATGGTTTGTCTCATCATACAAATAAATAACACTTCTATAACATGACCGGTGCATCGAGTTCACAGGACAGTGCAAACCGAATAACTGTTAAATGTAGATAAGTGCTGAAAACTTACAGTCCCTAGTTTGCCGTGGATAATTTCCAGAGGAACGGGATAGCGCCCACGCATGTTCGCCGTCACATTCATGGAGGAAGTACTATTGTAGTATTCAGCTGAAAGCACAACCCTATCCAAGTTCAGTAAATGTACATTGATATACATGTGTGTGTAAATTCACAAGCAGGATTATATTCAACCAGGAGCTTTATTTTGCCTTTGATATTAAATTGCCTTATTGTAGCGGACATTTATTGTTGGCGGGCGGGTGGAAAAACTTGCTTCGTGGCCTGGTCAAAAAGTTCTAAGCCTGACTACATTTTAAATATGTGCCATAACAAAGTCACCTAGTCAATGTAGTACATTGTTTAAGTAGTTCATTGCAATTGTATTTTGAGTCCGTTCGTATATGAGTGACAGCCGGTGAACGTGAGGATTATGCCACTGCTTTAGGTGATAAAGGGAGAGGTACCAACAACATTCATTTTGGGGGGTCTTTCAGTGAACGATTAATTTTATTCGTAAAATATTATGTTGTTTATTTCTTGGCAACTTTTCTGGATCAAATTATCATGTTACTTTATCAAAGGCCCTCCCAAAATATCAAATATTCGGTCATTCGGAGCAGCTCTAAGATGTTGTTTTAATTATGGTTGTGAGTACCCAGGTCTTCCTGTGATGGACACCTCCATTCCTGCATCTCCGTCAGTGCCAGCAAAGGGATGATGTAAATGTTTGTTGGACCTTGGTATATCGGTAGCCTAGAAAACATCGGTACAAGTCAAGTGAACATGTGCACATATGGGTGAAAAGTCGCTTTTCACAGAATTGCAGTTGAAAAACAGAGAGAGAGACAGAGACAGAGCGAGACACACACAGAAATAGAGACAGAGAAAGGTAGAGTATAGAGAGAGTGAGAGAAAGAGGGAGAGTAACACACAGAGAGAGACGGACAGAGAGAGAGGAGAAAGAGACAGACGGAGAGACAGAGAGAGACAGATACACACAGAGAGAGAAAGAGAGAGACAGACACACACACAGAGAAACAGAGATACAGAGGGAGAGAAACAGAGAGACAGGCAGAGAGGGAGAGAGAGAGACAGATGGAGAGACACAGAGAAAGATAGTTTCACAGAGAAACAGAGAGACAGACACACAGAGAGACACACAGATACACAGAAAGGCAGAGGGTAGGAGAGACAGAGGGAGAGACAGAGGGAGACAGAGAGACACAGAGGGAAACAGAGACAGAGGGAGTGAAACAAAGAGAGACAGGCACCGAGAGAAACAGACAGAGAGAGAGAGAACAGAGAGAGACAGAGGAAGAGAGAAAAAGAGAGACACACACAGATAGAGAAAGAGAAAGGCGGAGTATATATATATTTGACGGAGCAGAAGTATGCGAGTTGGTTGGATTATACATCCTTAATGAAATTGACAAGAAGATCAAACTAGACAGTGTCGGATTATACCGAGATGACGGGCTAGCAACATTAAGATCATGCTCAGGAAGCAAAGCCGACAAAACAAGGAAAGATCTGACCAAAATCTTCCAATCATGTGGTTTGATAATCACCGTACAAACCAACCTGTCAAATGTAAATGTCTTAGATGCAAATCTGGACCTAAAAAACGGACTACACAAACCTTACAGAAAGCCAAACGATGAAACAGTATATGTCCACTCAAGGTCAAACCACCCACCAACAATTATCAAAAACATACCAGAGGCTATAGTAAAAAGAGTATCAAACCTGTCTTCAAATCAAGAAGTTTTCAATCTGTCAATACCCTACTACGAAAAAGCCCTTGAATCTGCAGGATACAACACAAAGTGCGAACTAAACCCAAATAAAGATCAAACCCAAAAACAGAAAAAGCAAAGAAAACGGAAAATCATTTGGTACAACCCCCCCTTCAGCAAGAATGTGAAGACGAATGTAGGCAAGCACTTTCTGAAACTTTCAGAAACATTTTCCAAAGGACAGCAAACTCAATAGAATATTCAACAGATCATCAGTTAAAGTCAGCTACAGTTGCATGAAAAACATCCAACAAATAATCAAGGCACATAACAGCAAAGTGATGAAGTCAGCCAGCCAATCAACCAAATCAAAGGACTGTAACTGCAGACAAAAAGTCAATTGCCCAATGAACGGTAAATGCCTCACTCGTGACGTAGTCTATAAGGCCACGGTTACAACAGATACCAATGATGTAACCTACATTGGGTTAGCAAGCGGTCCCTTCAAGACAAGGTGTAACAACCACACAAAATCATTCAGAATTGAGAAATATGAAAAAGAGACAGAACTCTCCAAGCACATCTGGAAGTTAAAACGAAACAAAACCAATTACAAAATCAAATGGGACATAATCAAGAATTCAAACACCAACAAAAGAGACTCAGGGATTTGCGATCTATGCATGGAAGAGAAGCTGAAGATTCTCATTCTAACTTCCAACAAGCTAAACAAAAGCAGCGAGCTCATTTCCACCTGTCGCCATGGTAAATCCCCAAGCCGAGCAAAAAAGAAAGGGTCAAACTAAAAACCATGTTTCATTATGCCTGATGATCGTACGCAATAACATGGGTGCGTGAAACTCAGAGTTGCAAAATGATAAAAGGAAAGTGTATCCAAATCTGTGTGTATATATATATATATATATATATATATATATATATATATGGAGAGAAACAGAGAGAGAGACAGGCAAAGAGAGACAGATGAGAGAGACACACAGAGACAGAAAGGCAGAGAGAGAGAAATAGAGCGATAGGCAGGGAGAGAGAGACAGGTGGAGAGGCACTGAGAAAAAGGGAGAGAGGGAGTCACAGAGAGAGACAGACAGGGAGAGAGACAGAGACACATAGAGATAGATACACAGGGAGACAGACGGAGAGAGAGACAGAGAGAAACACACACAGATATACAGAAAGGCAGAGAGGGTAGGAGAGACAGAGGGAGAGAAACAGACAGACAAACACAGAGAAACAGAGGGAGAGAAACAGACACACAGACAGACGGAGAGAGAGACACAGAGAGACACACACAGATAGAGACAGAAAGGCAGAGAGGGTAGGAGTGACGGAGGGAAAGAGAGAGAGACAGGCAGAGAGAGACAGATGAGAGAGACCGAGAGAAAGAGAGAGAGACACCGAGAAAAGGAGAGACAGAGAGAGAGGGAGACAGAGAAAAACAGAGGTAGAGGGAGTGAAACAAAGAGAGACAGGCACCGAGAGAAACAGAGGGACAGAGACACACACACAGAGAACAGAGAGAGACACAGGAAGAGAGAAAAAGAGAGACAGACACAGATAGAGACAGAAGGGCAGAGTAGAGAGAGAGACAGAGAATGAGAGAAACAGAGAGACAGGAACAGAGAGAGGGACAGAGAGAGACAGATGAGAGAGAGAGACACACAGAGATAGAGACAGAAAGGCACACAGAGATAGAAACAGAGAGAGAGGGACAGAGAGAGAGGGGAGAGAGACGGGTGGAGAGACAGAGAGAGGCACTGAGAAAATTAGAGAGACAGAGACTCAGAGAGAGAGAAACAGGGACAGAGGGAGAGACACAGAAAGTGACACAGAGAGACAGAAACCAGACAGTTGCCATTTTATGCAACGCCCAAGAGTGTATTTGTGAAATAATCTACGGTTGCAAATTTGTTGAATGATATCCTGTATCAAACATTACACGGTATCTTTGTCACCTAATACCCAAAAATATAGATATGATTTAATTGAGTGATGTAAATGCAGACAGTGCTTCCCCATTAGTACAATTTCTGTAAAATTGTACCGTGTCGGTAAATTTAATATTTACACATGATGAATATTCAGCAACAGGGAGTTAAGCGACATGGAAAGTTAAAGTCATGAACGCCCTGACTATGCATACCTTTCTGTGTTTCGTGGAGGCCCCCTGGTAGTAAAAAAAGTATCGATCTAGTTTGTGATCTCAAACTATTATAGAACCTTATAATGACCCACATGATGAAGAAAACTGAACCCCGCCCCACCAAACTCCAAAAAGCTCTTTGAGGTAAACAGAATTATATTTTTCACCCATACTTACCTCACACCGATGGTGACCATCAGGAATGTTGCCAAACCTGACATGAACATTGTGGAGGACAGTACTTGAGATTTGATGAGCTCAGCATCTTTGGCACAGACCAGCTCTGACACCAGCAGTGACGTGGACAATGCCCCGGCGATGGACATAAGACATTGCTGGTGAGCAAAGAAACAGAGTACTGTCTGATCATACGTGATGGGCATGCCGTGCTGGGATTGATATTACACACTAGTGGTAAAGCAATAATCACAACTACAGACGGAGATGTTATGATGAATGTTAAACACCAGTGGTATATTAACAACACAAATACAGACAGACGTTCGGATTGATAGTAAAGGCAGAGTATATATATATATATATATATATATATATATATATATATATAGAGAGAGAGAGAGAGAGAGAGAGAGAGAGAGAGAGAGGCAGAGAGAGAGAAACTTGTTAAATAAGCAGCACAACTACACTGAGTGTGTGTGTGGGAGAGTTAGAGAGAGATGGGAGTTAGAGACAGAGAGACAGACAGAGAAATATAGAGTGGGACAGGGAGGGGAGACACATAGATAAATAGAGAGAGAGGGATAGAGAGAGGGGGTAGAGAGAGACACAGAGAGAAAAGAGAGGGACAGAGAAAGGGGGAGGAGAAAGAGAGATAAATTGAGAGAGAGGGAGAGAGGAGGAGGTAGAGAGACACACAGAGAGGAGGAGTAAGAGAGGGAGGGAGGGAGGGGAGGAGAGAGAGAGATGATGTGATATTATGCACTATTGGTAAGGTAAAGAGACAGTTCCTGTCAGAGATCCAGTGATGAGCATTATACATTGACGACGACAAGCACCTGTAGGTATGCCATGATGGGCGTTATGGATCTCATACATACACCCGTTGACATAATCTGTGATAATCATAGTATATGGTGTTATATGTAATGCCTTATTGGAGTTCAGAAAGAACCATCCTAATTAACACATACCTGTAATGCAAAAATGGATACCAAATAAAATGGAGGTGACTCGCTGATTCTGTAGAACAATCGTCGGGGTTTCTCAGCATCAATATTGATGGATGTGTCCAGAGTTGCGTCTTTTCCTTGTGATAGTCCATCATGGACAGTGGCGGCGGTGTCGTCATTGTTTGCAAGGGGTTCGCCGTCGACCGTTCGTTCCAGGAGCGGAATTTCACTGATGGAAGTTCAAAGATGTTCATCTAAAGGTGTTGGTGATTATGCTGATATGTTTGTTTGTTTGTTGTTTAACGCCGCACTCAGCAATATTCCAGCTATATGTCGGCGGTCTGTAAGTAATCGAGTCTGGACCAGACAATTTCAAGTGATTGACAAAATAAGCATCGATCCACGCAATTGGGATCCGTGACGTGCATCAACCAAGACAGCGAGCCTGACCACCCGATCCCGTTAGTCGCCTCTTTCGCCAAGCATAGTAGCCTTTTACGGCAAGCTTGGGTTGTTGAAGACCTATTCTACCCCGGATCTTCAGGGCCCTGCTGATATGTAGGGAGCGACTTGTATGGAAAACCCGAGGACTTGCTTTTTGGTTTTGGTTTTTTCGAAACAGAATATTTTATTCAAAAATATCCCCGCCCCCACCAAACACCCATACCCACACCTACCAAACACCAATATTTCGCCAGCCCCTGATATGATTGTTGACATGCTAACTATAATAAAAGAAAATAATTTACAATCATAAGAATTAATTATAATGGAAGTCCTTAATGAAACCTCCTTTTATGCTATCAATCATGTGTAACGTTTCGTTGCTGCATAAAGCTAATTGACGAAAACGATTTAATGTAATAATTGAATACATGACAGCGGTTACGAAATAAGTATTCACAATGCTACCATGTCATGAGATACACAGACACGGCTATATACCATGATGGCATATTGCCTTGTCATTCTGGTAATGAACTCGCGAACTCCGGCTCCGATTATATATACACCAATACAGATATTGAAAGTCGAAATGTTATCGTTTAACACAATATAATTATCAAATTCGTTGGTTTTAAATGTGAGAAATGTTACCTTTGTTGTTCCATTGATGTTGGGTCTCCTATTTGTCACAGTGTGCCGAGGACATTGAGAAAAATGTAGGGTGTCTTTAACACTAAGGTCTGTTTCAAGCAATCGTGCATCAGTACATACGAGGGGCGCTTTAGCACTTTTATTTTTCAATATAATCTCCATTCACCTCAATACACTTATTCCATTGTCATGCAAGCTTTTAATACAACATTCATAGAAATCCGCAAAGTGGCCCTCTAACCACGCCTCTGTGGCAGCCTTTATGTCCTCGTCATCCTGGAACCGTCTTCCACGTTGGGCAGATTTCATTTGCCGGAACAGGAAATAGTCACTGGGGGCTAAGTTTGGGCTGTAGTGGTCCGCGTGGCCAGACAAAATATCGTAAACACCCAACGTTCTGTTCGGTTCTTACCAATGAAATGCCTTGCTTTAGCCTTTTCCACCATGAAATGTGGGCTTAGTTGCGACCTCGCTCGCCGATTGCATGTGTTTGTGAATCACATATCTCATGTACCTTACGTTCCCATGTGGAGATTTTTATTCTTATGGACAGCCCTTTGTCGCTTGAAATACAAATACTTGATCCAGGGCGCATTATTTGTAAGAAATGGGACCACGGATAATTCTATCTAAGGACTGGAGGCTTACAAGGATATTCTCCTACAAACACATCCTTACTTTCAGACTTTGACCTTGCAAAAATTATTTGAAAAATAAACAAGTAAATCTCTGTAATCTGTATGTACACGGGGGCACGGGTGGCCCGTCGTCTAAGGCGCCGCGATTCGCTGTGCAGAGTTGCGTCCCTTGGGCACGCCAGAAACCTATGATTGTGGGTTCGAATCCGGTTCGCCCCGATTATGTTTCTAGGTTAGTCAGCAATATACCCGTGCTCGTGGGTTTCACCGAAATGGTAAACGTCTGAGACCTGCATCACTTCTGGCTTTCCTCCCAGATTAAGCTGACACGCCGCGGTATACAGGAATACTGTTAAAAGCGGCGTTAAACCCAACTCACCCACTTACTCACTCACTGCATGTATACTCTGTGAGTCGTCTCGGAAGTTGCAGGTGTGCCAATTCCATCGTTCGATCATCTTTACCCTTTTCGCGAACACCTGGTGTCATCGCTGATTTTCAGTGGTCCATTCATATAATTTCCACAGCTATTTGTCCTTTACGTCATGTGGAATCTGTTTCAGCAGAACATCGAGGCTAGCTATTCTCTTGCTTTGACAATTTATATTTACAACGCATGGTATTAGGCTGTGGGTGCCTTAAAGGAGTATTTTATCAATCACCTTCACGTTTTGAAAACATGTTGCAATATGGAGCGCTGTACAAGGGTACATACAGTATGTTTATTTGTTATTTGGTCTTTTTTCTAATCAAAGGTTTATCCAACATGTCAATATGCAAATTGTTGCAGGCTATGTGATGTAGCACATAGTTTTACATATTATGTTCAAAGCCTTTAAAAGTTATACAATATTTGAAAATATTTTATAATGTATCAAAATGATCAATAATTTAATGAGAAAACTGCCTATTCCAAAAGAAAATGGACCATTATACAACAGAATGAAGTTTCAGATGTTTTTTGAAACCCTTACACAAATCAATATCGATGCAGATTGGGCGAAACCTTGATCACTGACCTGTCGGTATTGGTTTTGGATTTTCGGAAAAAGTTTTTACCTTTAATCCACCTTCAGGCCCAAAGACCAACGACAAGGGGTTTCACCAAGTGATGTTAAGAGTGTATCAAAAGACAGTTACATTTCGATAAAGTAACGCCATAAATTGTATTCAGATGTTCTTTATCATTCCAGTGTAACACTAGAGTTGTGCACTACTGACCTAAATTGTAAAAACGTGGCATAATCCTCTGTGGAATACCTTCATAAAGGAATATTGTACAAGCAGAGAAAAAGGGTCCATAGTTTGCACATTGCTACATAGCGAATCCTTCTTAAAAAGAGTAAAGTCAGAAAGGAGAGCTATTTTTACATAACTCCTTATGACATAATGATGTGGCATATTCCTCTGTAAAATACCTTCATAAAGGAGAGCACAATGCGGCTGGACGAAAAAAGGTCCATGGTTTGCACATTGCTACATAGCGATTCGATTCAACGATGTTTGTAGTTACATCAGAACAAAGGAGAGCACAATGCGGCTGGAAGCAAAAAGGTCCATAGTTTGCACATTGCTACATAGCGATTCGATTCAACGATGTTTGTAGTTACATCAGAATAAAGGAGAGCACAATGCGGCTGGAAGAAAAAAGGTCCATAGTTTGCACATTGCTACATAGCGATTCGATTCAACGATGTTTGTAGTTACATCAGAATTTGGGTAGCCAAGAAATGCAGACCTTTACAGCAATGATGAAACCCCTGTTGCTGACAAGCTAAGTTGGTTATTTGTCTGTTTGTTGTTTAACGCCGCACTCAGCAATATTCCAGCTATATGGCGGCGGTCTGTAAATAATCGAGTCTGGACCAGATAATCCAGCGATTGACATCATGAGCATCGATCCACGCAATTGGGATCGATGACATGCATCAACCAAGTCAGCGAGCCTGACCACCCGATCCCGTTAGTCGCCTTTTACGACAAGCATAGTCACCTTTTACGGCAAGCATGGTTTGCTGAAGACCTATTCTACCCCGGAATCTTCACGGGCCTGACAAGCTAAGGATCATGTTTAAGACAAAACAGGATCCTGTATGACTAAAGGAGACAGCTCTTCACAGCGAATACCGGCGCATTAGACAAGTTGGCCACCCGGGTCTGTACTCAATGAGTAAAGAACTGGAACAATAAATACATATATTTTTAATTTTAAATAAAGTTCACTTTGCTATGGCGTGAATAAATCTTAGGTGACATAAAGCTCTTGAACGTTACATACATTTTCGATACAGACATTAGTCAAGATCCAATACGTGCCTAATTAAGGAATATGGGAATCCTTGCGTTGCCTTATGTTTGGGATACACCAATTACCGTGTTGACTTTGAAGGTTTTTCCAATCGAAAGTCTCTCTTCTTGATCAGTGTGACCGGCCACTAGCTACATGTGGACACAAGGTTCAAATAACGTTAAACATTGCACGTTTAATTGCCTTCAGCGTCAGACAAGAGAGAGAGCTGGTGGCATAACTGTCGTTGCATGTATGTATGGGCGAAGGTATTTATATTCATATACATCCTAAGACATTTTCGTTCGAGTGCACTATTATTACTGAAATGAAACAGAGAACGTCACAAGACAATACATGCCAGGAATCGCAATCACCGAAACCAACAACTGTGACGCTGGTGTGTCCTAACGAACAGTCTTAAAGCTGAGTGAGTGAGTGAATGGGTGATAGAGTGAGTGAGAGTGCAGTGTTCCTAGTATATGCAGACAGCCTTTAAAGAAGAGTCTAGACAACACAACAACAGGTTCCTATGAGTCAGTGAGTGAGTGAGTGAGTGAGTGAGTGAGTGAGTGAGTGAGTGCAGTATTCCAAGTATATCAAGACAACCTGTAAAGAAGAGTCTGGAAAACACCAGGTTATTATGAGTGAGTGAGTGAGTGAGTGCAGAATTGCAAGTATAACAAGACAGCCTGTAAAGAAGAGTCTGGACAACAACTGGTTACTATGATATCTCTGCTTACAATCACCATCACTACCCCAGGACATAGGGACTAAGCTTTCAACCTACTGTACTTTATAATATATGATGAAACGTTTTTCTACTGATGTTTCGGTTATTGCTATTTTATGTAACGGCGATTATGCATTACCATAGTGTAATATGTTGAGTCATAGATACTCAGACAAATTGTATTGTAATGACAACAAAAAATATCCCGTTGTTTTAATTGGCAACGGGCAGAATATTTCATTGTTCCTTGAATACTATATACAGGGTATTCAACGGTCGTCTTCAAATACGCTGTTTATGTCGGTGAGTGGTGACTCGCCGAAATACAAATTTTAACTGTGCCACAAAATGCGGTAAACAGCGTATTTGACGACTACAGTCAATAATAATCCATTTATATTATGGACGTTGTTTTCTCGTGAGTGTTGACGAAATTCAAAATATTAATTTCATCAAAATCAGTAAATGCGCTTTTCTGGGTTTCTAGTCCATCACTTGATTGTCTGGTCCATGACTTGATTGTCTGGTCAACCGCCGTCGCACGGCAGGAGTACTGCTGTGTGACATCAGGCAGCAACCACTTATCTTTTTATGCACGTGGGGGGTGATACCGACATGCTTACCCTTTTCCCGAACACCTGGTGTCATCACTGATTGTCAGGAATCCATTCATATAATTTCACGTCCGACCTGTGAAGATCCGGGGTAGAATAGGTCTTCAGCAACCCATGCTTGCCGTAAAAGGGGACTATGCTTTCGTAAAAGGCGACTAATGGGATCGGGTGGTCAGGCTTGCTGACTTGGTTGATTCATGTCATCGATCCCAATTGCGTGGATCGATGCTCATGATATCAATCACTGGATTGTCTGGTCCAGACTCGATTATTAAGAGACTGTAGGCATATAGATGGAATATTGCTGAGTGCGGCGTTAAACAACAAACCAACCAACCAAAGCCTTTTACGTCCAATGGAATCTGTTTCGTGGGAAAATCGCGACTGGTTATTCTCTGTTGACGTTGTAAATGGACTTCAAGTAGCTCCTTACCCGGGAAGATCCGGTTTAGAATTGGTCTCCAGCAACCCATGCTTGTCGTAAGAGGCGACAAACGGGATCCTGTGGCGATTCTTTTCATGTCAATCACTGGATTTATTTACAGATTTATTCACGATTATTTACAGAGCGAGGTTACATAGCTTAATATTTCTGAGGAGTGTGGCGTTGAAGGCTTTTTCTATGAATATAAGCCTTCCGCGATGATAGCCCAGATGTGGTTATTATGATTTGAAAACCTCTGATCGACCAGTCAGAATGGAATATTTTCCAAGGTATACATATCGAATACTAAACCAGCTCCCGTGTAATACAAGTTATGAAACAAGTGAACAGTTCAGGTTTGTGACTCCCTTTCGCTTGTCAGATAACATAACTATTCACGAGTTTAATCAAATTTGCATAACACGGAAGCGAGCTGAGAATCTTATTGATTACTAAAATTTCACTGTCATGTGTGAAAAGACAGACATCTCCTCGATCCACAGCATAATCCAATTAAGTTCAACAGAATAATACTCCAAACACGTCAAAAGTTTACCCTATTTATTAAATACCATACCAGGGCCTACCTTTGCATTCAGGGGTGCGTTCCACAAACCTATCGTTGCGCTAAGGTTATCGTAGCTCCCATACTTCACACAGACTTACGACTTTCGTTTCGCTACGATCTCTTTCCAATACATATTTTACAAACAGTCACAATGTCCTAACACGTAATTTAGTTTGTAGATACGCCGGTGAAACAATGCCATGTGACGTCAGACTAGCAATACGGTTACTTGGGTCATCGATTGTGCATAATCTCCTCTCAGTGATCTATCATCTCTAAACGCAATGTCACTGAATAAGCGCAGGGAGTTTTCAGTATTTGTTTGTGAAACTTGTTCCAGGAGTACATAAGCTCGCGCTGCGGTATTAAACACTGTGTCATATCAACTTATTGTTATTAAACATATATACGTTGATATCTTTAATGGGTAATATATTTTGCTCGCCTTCCAATATATATTCTGAGATAATAGAAATAAAAAAGTCTTCCCGGTGTTGTGTATGATGAACAAACACCTTGAAATTGGCTATGGTATCCTTTTCGCATATCAAATGAATAAATATGATTATCATGTAATATGAAACTAAGCGATCCCCGTTATGCAATTACATATGTTCTATTATTCAAGAAAATATCACATTGACTTATAATGGCGCGATTATGGTTTGTTGAATATATATTCTGATGCTATAGTCACGTAACACATTTCCTAAAGACCTTGATGTTTTGGCATTTGAATGGCCTTGAAGTTGACTGCAGTTTGTTGACATATTCCTATTACAATACTACTGTAATAGACCCTTTAAGGTCCGGGTGGAACATAGGTCTTCAGCAACCAATGCTTGCCGTAAAAGGCGACTATGCGTGTCGTATAAGAGGCGACTAACGGGATCGGGTGGTCAGGCTTGATGACTTTGTTGATGACGATGCTCATGAAGCTTTTCACTTTATTGTCTGGTAGAGACTCGATTTTTTACTGACCGCCGGAATAGCTGGAATATTGCTGAGTGTGGCGTTGAAAACAAATACTTCCTTTGTTGACTTATCAGCTACTTCACTACCCACGTCACGAACATTACCATAAGAAGCTCCCCTCCCTTATTTTAACTCATTTAAACTATCTGTCAACGTCCGCAATCAAATGTGGTTAGTGCTGTTCGCTGTAAAACGTAGTGCTTTAAAGAACATTGGGTCTCATCCAAGGGCGGATTCAGCATTTTTAAAAAGGAGGGGTCCATTATATCCAAACATTTGGTTTTCAAAAGGGGGATCCGTACCCCCTCTTTGGATCCACAAATGTAATCATTGATTTTCAGTTATCCGTTCAAATTATTTTCACCGTTATTTTGCCTTAACGTCCAAGGTGACTGGTTATCCTCTTGCGTTATCCTATTGGGTAATTGCAGCTCGTTCTTGCACGAATTCTTTGATTCTAAATCATATAATGCAGTACCGAGTTGGACTATATACCTGAAAGCGTTAAGTGTGGAAAGATAGGCTCACCTTTTCCAGAACACCTTGTATCATCACTATTTGATAGTGATTTGTTAACACATGGCCACAATGTGGTTGGAATCGTGCAATGGATTCTGCCTTTAGCAGGTATTCTTATGATTGTGTAAATGGTTTGGTCGTTTTATGCAATTAAATACGGTATGAAACTATCGACTGTTCATACGCCATCACCTGATCATTGTCAGATTTATTATTCTGTAACAGCTTCATGTCACTTGATTGGCTGGTATTACACAAGTCTTTTAATTTCATTGGTTTACACTCCGTTAAGAAATAACTTTTGGGAATATATATACATCTGCCCTGGGACAACCGAAGATGATTTTATCTCAAGCGCATTCAGTCTGCATCAGTCATGTTTCCACTTCTGCATTGTGCCTTCATGGTGATTTCTGTATCCGTGGTTTCCTCGGCCTCGTCTACAGCAACGCCATTGACGACAGTGGCGACAACCCAAGGTACAGTTTTCAATTCGTCTCAGTGTACATTAAAACCAGTGGATAAAGATGTGGGTGCTATTCTTCATATTTACTTGAGGAATACAGATATCAATATAGTAAGATATACCGTGACGTTTCAAAACTACCCCAACACGGTCCTCGCTGATGCTGGTGGGGATTTGTTTCGACCGAACATTTGGATCCGCACAGTCAACCAGCAAGGTGTCAGATTGCTGATGCTTAATGATAACTTTGAATTTTATTCAATGGGATTCCTCAGCAACGGTATTGCAGAAATGAACGTCGAATTAACTGATAGCCCTAGTGGATGCCTTCAACATATGAACAGTGCCCAGAGACTTCTTGCCATGCGGACCCTCCTGGCTTCGGATTTCCACTATGAAAAAAAAGAAATTTCTTTACATAGAACGCATCAACGAATATGCACCATGGTTGTGAACAAGACGATTGAGAACGGGAAAGTGGAAGCAAATCTCACATATGTCTGCTGCAGGTTTGAGAAAGGTCAAAAGGAAATGATATGTGAGTACATGGCGAGTGATGTGTGGATTGATCTGCTCCATACGATCATTTTAGTGGCAACAATTCTCGCGGTCTTGTTCTTTCCTCAAATCGTTCCACGATTCTTTTATATTCACCATAAAATTTCTTTTAAGAATTTTAAGGCTTACATTCTTCAACACCAACCGGTTGAGCTGATAAGAACATGCAAAGAATGGTCCATGAAAATAGGAAATAAAACGATTCCTCTGAAAGAACTTGACCATGAAGACTGTAAAGTACCAGTTGAAGAAACGACCTGGGTTATCAATAACGTTACAGTGCAAGTGGACTCTTCAGAATACCTCATGGAAAATGAAGCCCCTGTTACGTGGACCAAGCTTCTAAATGAAACACTTATTGCAGTCCCGAAGACGCGTGCGTGTTGGCTGGACTTTTGTATGAACTCTATGCACCTGTCCCTTTATGTTTCAGAAAAAATATGTAAAATTTTCTACTATATTAGAAGGATGAGAAAGCGAGCAGTCTGGGTTATTTGTTTCGTACCATTGGTTGTAAGCATTAGTTGTTCCTTAACTTATCTTGACTCGAAATATACTGAATATGTCATTGCTTTAGCAAGACAGAACATTACAGCCGAACAAGGTATTTACTCTACATCTGTCCGTATTAGAAGGTGTTTGAACACATTATTTGCTTCCCTAATACCTTTGGCAATCCTTATCTTTCTGCGGATAAAAAGCATAAAATTGCCAAGTCTTGGCAAGGTTCTTTGGACATGCGACAAGGAAAGCATACAAACAGTGCTTCATGGTAGCTTCCAGATGTGTTTGGTCATTGTGAGAAACACGGGAATGGTTGGAATAATTCTGTCCCCAATCATTGTTATAATTACCCTTCCAATATCAATAGTGCTACACATACCATTGTTGTCCGTTGTGGTACGCCTTTTCATCCTCCCTGGAATGCATATCTCAAGGTTAAGACGCTTTCTTGTTAAGATTAACAAGCTGATCAATCCAAATAGTACCAATGAACCACCAGAGTATCTCAAGACTGATGGCTGTAATATGTTCTTGTACGTGTTGTCATATAGCGTACTGTTTTGTTTGGTGCTCTACTGGACCCATTTCTGTTTAGCCTTTTATATTAAAGTTATCTTCTATACATTCCTTGGTTTAGTGTTCCATTCAGACAAAATGTTGATCTATTGTGCAATGGCATTATTTTCTGCAATGTATGCAAGAGACATATTGAGGTGCATTACTTTATTGTATGTTCAGTATTCTAGAATAATGAGGAAACTTATATTTGCTGAGGTAGAGACCGAGCTTGTAAAGTGTACATTGCCCGAAAAGAAACAAATAGTCCTTCTTCCACTGTCACCGAACTTCAATGGGTCCATTGACATTAACTATGATGAAAGAACAAATAGAGTTAGTTGTGACACTGTGGGTATGGCTGCAATTTTCCTTCGGAAATCTCAAGATAAGACTTGCTATGCAATATCAAAAAACTTTGTGATGAATAATATACATTTACGGGTGCCCGGATGTCCAGGCGTTGTTCGTACGAATGTTATGCGGTCATTCAACAGGCTTGTGTCAACTGGTGTCTTCCTAGGGTTGTTCCTGTTCGTGGTGCTCGTCTTTGGAGATAGGTATAAGGTATCTTCATTGAAACAACTTCTTTTGACCGCGTCTGGTGGACTTCTACCGTTAATTTTCGGAGGGGTTGCTAGAAGTGCACTTGGCACGTGTGGATTAAAGCTAGAGAATACAGAATTTTCGGACCTAAGACTTATGTTGAAACTTGGACTAGAAAACACCATTGAGAAATGGCAGGTCGTTGAAGTGAGTCTTTCCCCAAAAGATGGTAAAGCTGACGTTACTTCATTGTCATCTGAAGATATTGCAACTCCAGAAGTGACAGCATGTTTGTATGACAAATATGATGAAAAAATAACTGCAAAAGAATGTGCATGTGTATGTCCGCCTCCTAAAAAGAAAATTCTTGAGGAACCTGAAACTGTGGTTGACTTAGAGCCAACTAAAGAATAGACGATATTGCTAGCCTAGGGGTCGTCATGCTGTAGACCCGGGTTCGATGCCTTGCATGGGTACAATGTGTGAAGCCCATTTCTGTTATCTACCGCTTTGATATTGCTGGAATATTGCTAAAAACGGCTCAAAACTATACTCACTCTTTCCCTTTCCGAAGATATATTGTACAAAAACTTTGCCGTCGGCTACACAGTCACAACAACCCATATCTTTAAGAAATGTACACTCAATCAGGAACCGTTATACGCGCAAGACCTGCTTTCCATGAAAGTCATTCTTAAAATCTGTTTTAGCAAATTGAATACTGTCATTCGCGGAAATACCCTTTGGTAGATGGTCATGGACTGAGTGGGAACATTCATGCTTTTCTGAAGTTTTTCACGATTTCTATAAGTCCGACCTCAATATCATTAGATAGTTAATTAAAAGTTTCGTCAACAAGTCTTACCGTTATCTTCGTGTTTGTGACCATAGGTGTCCCTGTTTGAACAAATGAACACATGACTTGCCACCGGTGGGGCACCTTTTCGCAAGAACACAGACTCTGATTAGAGATATTTGTTATGTTTATGGTAAAGGTTTTGTCACGTTTATTTATAAGACTGCAGTCTGATGATGATTATTTTCACTTTGCCCATTTTTCAAATTGTAATTACAAAAGCACTAAAACTGTATATGTCGTACAATCAATTCTTCTCTCATTGACAGGGTGGGTGGCCCAGTTCTCTCAAAGAAAGGATTTTGTTTGATATTAATCTGTACATATAAATAATCGTGGTGCATTGTTTTGCCTTCAACTAAGCTCAGTTAAATTATTATAGTTTGCATTTTTGTCCAGTTCTGTTCTCCATTGATCGCTGTCAATTGTCTTCACTAGCCATAGCAATCATACAACCTGCACAGTTGTGGTATCACATTTAATGATTTGATTTCTTATTCTTGTTTTTAAACCAATCACTTTTAGGTGGTGTGTTGTTTGTAGTTAATATGCATTCCAATAAATTTATGTAAACGTCGGACATTATTATTCTGTTTGTTCATTTTAGTATTCAGTATTCAAATATTTTATGTTTTCCCATTCCTTATGAAACTGTGGATCTAAAAACTTCAGCCATATTCATGTAGAGTCTAATGTACACGATTTTCATTGTTTATTGTGCATATAGTTTTATTACAGTCTGTGTTATGCCTAGTGATGTGTACAATATATTTGTGAAATATTATTTCTGTATTAGTTCAATTTCTTGATCAAGTGAGTTAATCTAATGTATAGCGTCCATTGTCCATTGTCCATCCATCAACTTTGGTCGATTTATATATTTTCATAAGCTTTTTTTGTCTATTACGCTCTCTAGAATTCGAGATATCCGAGACTGATTATTTTCCGGCGTTGGAGCTTCTAATTTGTATGTTTCCGATTTAACCCCTTAAACCCGAGGACCAGTAAAACGGAAACACAAGCCCCTACCATTCTATTATTAGCTAATCAGTAAACCGCAGTCTATTAGCGGGCGAGGCCAAATGTGTTTCGGGTTCCTGGAAACATAAACCCCAAAATAAAATGTTTGTCTGGCGAACCTAAGAATCGCTTGCAGTATATTCCTCAGTTAAATACTGCACCTATACATATGAACTCAAATGAATCACCATCTTGCGATTATGTAGGTATTGTTTCAAATTTTGAAGCAATATTTAAAACATGATGTGTTAATATAAATTTTACTATTTCTACAAACATGTCTATGTTCGTGTTGTTTTGTGGTTGTTTTCCCGAGTTTGTGTTTGAATTTTGATTATAAAAATAGTTATGGCAATCTTAAATTAATCATGTGTTGCAGGTTTTGGTATCATATTCAGTTGAGTTGATTTCTTGAATTTATTTATTTGAGTTATATGTTTTGGATACAGGTGGTGGTTTCTTAGCTGTTCTTTAAGTATATTTATGTGAAAAGCACATACACGTCAGTATAATGTTGTGTATGAATAAATCTTATTATGATTTGATTTTGAGTGTTGTCCATTAAGTTCGACAATATGCTTTGTTAATAACATGTATAAATGCTGTTAGTATTGCCTGGGTACTCTTTGCATGGCATTATGTGATACTTGTTCACTTTTGAGTAAATTACTTAGCATTCCTACATTGTTATGTGATTCCTTTCTAGTTCTTGGTGTCATCTTTGAAGTCCTGATGCATATATGGAGATGACGAGGAACACAAAGGACGTTGCATCATACTGTAGTCGTCATCTGTGAATGCTTGTTTGTTTATTTGTTGTTTAACGCCGCACTCAGCAATATTCCAGCTACATGATGGCGTTCTGTAAATAATCGTGTCTGGACCGAATAATCCAGTGACTGACATCATGAGTATCGATCCATGCAATTCGAATACGATGACATGTATCAACCAAGTCAGCGAGCCTGACCACCCGATCCCGTTAGCCGTATCTCATGACAAGATTGATCGCTTTTTACGGCAAGTCTTTGTTGCTGAAGACCTATTCTACCCCGGATCTTCACCTGTCTGTTAATGCGTACAACCATTATTATTATGCAACACCTTTCATCTGTCAATGAGTCCTACCATTAATATTATGCAACACCCTTCCTCTGGTGAGTAGTACTACCATTAATATTATGCAACACCCTTCCTCTGGTGAGTAGTACTACCATTACTATTATGCAACACCCTTCCTCTGGTGAGTAGTCCTACCATTAATATTATGCAACACCTTTCATCTTTCAATGAGTCCTACCATTAATATTATGCAAGGCCCTACAATTGTTTATGATTACTACCATTAATATTTAGCAGCACCCTTCGTGCTCATATGGTATTGAGTCAACTGCATAAGATCAAAAATCATATAAACCTCTAAATGTTCATTATTATCATTACAAACGGATATACATATATCATAGTCCATGCTAAACAGGGGGCACGGGTGGCCCAGTCGTCTAAGGCGCCGCGATTCGCTGTGCAGAGTTGCGTCCCTTGGGCACGCCAGAAACCTATTGTAGGTTCGAATCCCGGTTCGTCCCGATTATGTTTCTAAGTTTGTCAGCACCATACCAGTACTCGTGGATTTCACCGAAGTGGTAATCGTCTGAGACCTGCATCACTTCGGGCTTTCCTTCCACATTAAGCTGACACGCCGTGATATAACTGGAATACTGTTAAAAGCGGCGTTAAACCCAACTCACTCTCTCACTCACTCATGCTAAACATATCAGTACATATATGTTCGTATTGGTGCACCGCGTCAATCATTCTCCAAAGTGTAGCAGTTGAAATACCAGTGAGTGATGCAAGCAATATTGTAGAGTTGGAGCGTGTAAGCTCGTCTGTCCTTTAACGTTCGACTTCTTCTCCAAACAGATTGAAAGGATGAGCCTGGAATCTTTGCAGGAAATCTTGCACCATAATAGGAACAAGACGTATTCATGGCGCTATAATCAATTTTGGTTTTAAATTGCAATATTTCAAAGTGTATTAAATGTAGTATCAGATTATGTGTATCAACGCGATGATATAAGAGTATTCATGCCATTCAAAAACGCTTTGTAAAAATCAATTCTGAACGGTGAAGAGACTTACCCTTAGAAACCACAGAGCCATGTGGGCTGAAACGTTAAGATGGATATGTGGATGTATGGTTGCAATTGGTGATTGCGTCATCATGTCTTTCAAACAATCTTCCAGTTTGTTCAATAAAAGGATCGTTAGTGCAAAGTTTAAATAGGCATTCGATTTGTATAGAGGCAACTGATGCAAGTCACTTCACAAGCGCGAGTACAGCTTTTTCGAAATCACATTTGCTACCATCACTGCTGAACAACCAACGGCGTAGTGTACGACGACACATACATCGAGGTACAACATGATAACAAGTACTCAATCATTCTGCCCTGGGAAGCTAGTCTCACTTGTAATAATACCCATGTGGTATATGAAGCATTTTATATGCTTGTCGTAAAAGGCGACTAACGGGATCGGGTGGTCAGGCTGGCTGACTTGGTTGATGCATGTCATCGATCCAAATTGCGTGGATCGATGCTCATGATATCAATCACTGGATTGTCTGGTCCAGACTCGATTATTTACAGACTGCCGTCATATAGATGGAATATTGCTGAGTGCGGCGTTAAACAACAAACCAACCAAACTATGAACTTGTATATCGCACTTATCCATTTGTAGGTGTTCAATTGCGCTTAGACTATGATAGATCTTAATATTGCCCCAGTCACCTGATTAGCGTGCACCCGATTTATATTCTAAGCAATCTAGGGCCAATACACCCCAAGCTGCCTGTGGGACGTTAGAAGGTTAAGTCACATTACCATCTCCTCCTACCGGGTACCCATTCACTACAGGGCATACATAGGCATATTTTGAACATGCCGAAAGGGGACATTGCATGTGCTACAGGCCGTAGAAACAAACTCTCAGCAGTCAGTTGTCGAAAATGGTCACCCATCCTAAAACTTTCCGTGACCATCGTCGCCCAACCACACGATACAGTTCATGTTTTTATTACAGGTGATAAGTAAAATATAAAATATCGTTCTGGGTCAAACATGCTTCCAGAATGGAAATCATTTAATGACAAAGTGAGTGAGTGAGTTTGGTTTAACGCCGCTTATAACAATATTCCAGTTATATCGCGGCGTGTCAGCTTAATGTGGGAGGAAAGCCCGAAGTGATGCAGACGTTTACCACTTCGGTGAAACCCAGGAGCACGGGTATGGTGCTGACAAACCTAGAAACATAATCGGGGCGAACCGGGATTCGAACCAACAATCATAGGTTTCTGGCTTGCCCAAGGGACGCAACTCTGCACAGCGAATCGCGGCTCCTTAGACAACTTGGCCACCCGTGCCCCCTTAATGACAAAGAAGGGTTGTAATAACCTGTTCTTAAATAAAGATTTTCTGCACACAATTCACTTGTTTGGTTTTGAAATAATCTTTGTGTGTATAAAATCACATACAAGTCCAGACAGTAAATTGGACCAAATATATATTTACACAATGGCCAATGTGAGCGTCGTTATTGGTTTCATGTTTCTATATAGAAATTATGTGCATAAACATTTATTAGACACAATGATATTGTATCATATTACCAGACTGCAATGTAACATTGTCTCGAAGTGAGAGAGCCAGGTTCAAGCACATGTATATCCCTAATGCTGTATTTCTGTAAAAGGCAAGTTGTTGGTTTCGATTTGTGAGTAAAAAGTAACAGACTGTTGATATGTTTTATAATCCAACTTAGAATCACTTCTGCTACAGTGGCCAAAAATGTATATCAATCATAACCATTTTCATTTTTTTTCACTATTTTCATTTCCCCCCACATTGCCACAACGCTAATTGGTGTATTGGAGGACATTGTGTGTTTGCCTTTTGCATAGTATCATGGTCATTATCACCCCACATGCTAATAATGAGTATTAATACAGACCCCACATACAGTGGGTGGCATTATTTCCTCTGGTCGGTGGATCAGTGTGTATTCTATTTGCTTTCTCAACTTCCTGTCAAGTTTTATTTACTGAAGGGCGGTCGGGTAGCCTAGTAGTTCAAGCGTTCGCTCGTCACGCCGAAGACCCGGGTTCGATTCCCGACATGGGTACAATGTGTGAAGCCCATTTCTGGTGTCCCCCGCCGTGATATTGCTGGAATATTGCTAAAAGCGGCGTAAAACCATACTCACTCACTCACTTATTTACTGAAAGGCGCCAGAAGGTTTTGCACACACATCCCCATGTCATCCAACCTGAAACCATTCCTGCTGTGCCAACAGAGGCACATTTCTGTCCGCAAGCGTTGCGATGTATCAATTTCATTTACCGTATTCGACGTAATAAGCGCCCAGGGCGACCTCAAAATTAAATATAGAGGGCTCATATTAGAATATTATTTTGCGACCTCATAATTAAATATAGAAGGCTCATATTAGAATATTATTTTGCCGAAAAAAAAATATAAAAGATAAAATTTCGTGGTTTATGCTGACAGCCTGAAATGTTCATGTACGACAGATATATTTTATAAGAATTTAATTGCCCATAATTAAGGTTGCATTTAACACACGAGTGCGATTTATACGCGAATAAATTAGTCTTGTGTACATTGATCAATCGGAAGGGGTGCTAATTGGTATTGTTCACAAGCCAATATATTAGCAAATATCGCCGTGGGCGCTTATTAGAGCGGGGCGCTTATTACGTCGAATATGGTACTACAGACCAGACTACATTATAACCAAAGCAGTACTTCACAGGAACAGTATTCATGGGACGTAGGAATGTGACAGTTGGCAAACCATTTGGTAGCATGATTACATCTGTGACAAGAACACTATCGATCGACAAACAGGTTCTATATGTAATGTGGTTTGGACAATGCGTTAATTTGGCAAATATTTTGTTCAACTCTTTTTTGTCCGAAAAAACTTGTGGTTAGAATGACCTTAATGAACACGACATATTTTCTCCATTAAAACCTCATGATGATGGATAAAGGTACATGATAAAGGTACATGAAATGTATCATTCCAGTAAAATTGCAAAATGAATATATTTCCTAACCCTGCAATTGTCAATTGTAACATATTATAGTTTACTGAAACGGCAGATCAGCCACAATATGCACTGTTATGATCCTTACAATGTTAAATTTTTTACGTTATTTCCAGCATTGTAGTGAGTGAGTGAGTGAGTTTGGTTTTACGCCGCTTTTAGCAATATTCCAGCAATATCACGGATTCGAACCCGGGTCTTCGGCGTGACGACCAGCATTGTAAGCGATATGAGTTTCCAGTAATAGTTGTATGATGATAACGAACGAAATGGGAACCATTAAAACCGGTAGCGAAGTATGATAGTAGATGTTATGACCGCCAACGATCTTCATGGACGATAGGGGTAAGATGGGAAATGTGACGTTTTGGAACAGTAGTGAGTAATATCACCAGGAGGTGAGGTGAGGTGAAATTGGGTTTAACGTCGCGTCCAAGATTATTGCACTTATATAGCGACGTGCATGCACGTGTGTGTGTGTGTGTGTGTGTCTGTGTGTGGCTGCTTGTACTAGACCGGACTGATGCCGATTTATAGTGTTAGCCCACTGAGATACCATGCCGCAGTTTAACATGAATACACCACTCACAGTATACTGACTCCGAGCCGACCAGTCCTTGCTTGAACCCTTTAAAGCCGAGCGCCAGACAGGGTAACAACAAGTACCATCTTTTAACGTCTTTTGGTATGACGCGGCCGGGGATCGAACCCCGGACCTTCCGCTCTCCGGGCGGACGCTCTACCACTAGACCACGGAGGCGGTCTAATATCGCCAGGATGTACAAAAATAAAAATTCATTCGACGAGGCATACTGCCTGTGAGTCTCCCAATGGAGTTGAGGGAGTCTGTCCTACTCCTCTTGCAGCGACTGGACAAGTTCAGCCTACGTGGTCGGCGGCCAATGACGTTGACGCACGCGTCTCCCTGTCATGTCCCAGACGTGTTCAATGGGGGGAATATGTGGGCTCATTGCTGGTCATGGCATTCAATGGATGTAGTGCTGCTTGGGGTAAGCATTGACAAATCGGACCCGTGAAGATTCCGGGGTAGAATAGGTCTTCAGCAACCCATACTTGCCGTAAAAGGCGACTATGCTTGTCGTAGAAGGCGACTAACGGGATCGGGTAGTCAGGCTCGCTGACTTGGTTGATGCATGTCATCGATCCCAATTGCGTGGATCGATGCTCATGCTGTCAATCACTGAATTGTCTGGTCCAGACTCGATTATTTACAGACCGCCGTCATATAGCTGGAATATTGCCGAGTGTGGCGTTACAGTAAACAAACAAACATTGACGAATCGTGCATGATGAGGCACGTGCAAACTATGGAATGTGTTTTTGGTAAGTTTTACAGACACAAACGTTCTTGCATAGAATGTTTGTCGTCAACACTTGTCTTTGTTGCAATACTTAGTATTTACATGTAAATTCATGACTCCGTACTTTTTGTTAAGAGTGAACATTTCACAAAATCTATCCACCCTATCGGCTGTGGTTTTCCTAATAAATCTGACTAAGCATAAATAATATGCCATTTCCAAAACAACACACAAATTTGATAACACACGCTGTTTATGCCTTAATCATGTATAAGGTGGGTGAGTGAGTGACTGAGTTTGGTTTCATGCTTCCTTGAACAGTATTTAAGCTTCAGTGTGCTGACAAACCAAAAAACATGGTCGTGGCGAATCTGTACCCACGATCATAGGATTCTGACACGCCAAAGGGACGCAACTCTGCTGCCTCTCAGAATGGATGATCACTGGAACGAAATCTCGAACTCTATCAAGGCAGGTCTAAATCATCCCCATAAGCAAGATAAAGTAAACAGCCGTCTGACTACATTGAACATGCACCACTCTCCTCCCATAATGAATATCGTCATTGTCAGTTATGTTTCTGACATTTTTTGAAAATTCCACCCCCACGTCTCTGCTTGTATCCGGGTAAAATGGGGATTTTCTTAAACCAACGTGATGTCTTCCACGACAACGGCAGAAACGGGATGTCGTATACCGTGCCCTCCTCTGTCGTGTTATCGCCTTTGTTTTGAACTTCATTGCTGAATGCATCTTTATTTGAGGCCATTTCGTCATCAGTTGCTTCCGTATCTTCCACCATGTCCACCTGCCAGCCGACGAGTCCCCGTTCCTTTAAAGTCCCTGTCAAAACAATACAGTATTTTGGATACCTGGGATAATCACATTGATACTGGCTGAATCCACGTCGTGCATGCAGAGTGTTAATAAATATTATATTATAATATATATATGAGATGACTTTTTCGCAATCTTGATCTTACTGGGTGCGAGATCCTAGAAATACTAATACATAAAATTATATAACTCCGCACTAATTTAACTGACTTCGTGAACGTATTCTCTAAAAGCATTTAATATAACAACAACAATGTTTTGGGCTTCAAATACATAAAAAAAACTCCGCACTAATTTAACTGACTTCGTGAATGCATTCTCTAAAAGCATTTAATATAACAACAACAATTTTTTGGGCTTCAAATACATAAAAAAAAACTCCGCACTAATTTAACTGACTTCATGAATGCATTCTCTAAAAGCATTTAATATAACAACAACAATGTTATTGGCTTCAAATACATAAAAAAAAACTCCGCACTAATTTAACTGACTTCATGAATGCATTCTCTAAAAGCATTTAATATAACAACAACAATGTTATTGGCTTCAAATACATAAAAAAAACTCCGCACTAATTTAACTGACTTCGTGAATGCATTCTCTAAAAGCATTTAATATAACAACAACAATGTTTTGGGCTTCAAATACATTAAAAAAAACTCCGCACTAATTTAACTGACTTCATGAATGCATTCTCTAAAAGCATTTAATACAGCAAGAATGTTTTTGGTTTCAAATATATATTTACATAACACTGCATTCAATGATATCATTGCCACACCTAAAACACACCTGGGCACGTGTTGTCAAGGAAACAGGCGAGGCCTCCTCCAATGATTGCAGGATTACTGAGAAGACTTCTAATTACACTGTCAGCTTGTTCACTACCTGTAACAGGGATGTTAACATGTGAAACGTACTTGAAATAGTCCAGTGTAAGCGGAAATCTAAGAATTGACTGACATCTTCTGAATTGATGCGTTAACATTTCGATTTCCAGCGTTTCAACACTGATAAACGATATTATTGTAGACTAATGGACAAATACATGGTTATGCTAAACAATGTATCTATTATTGTAATATCAGTATATTGTCTTGTGATACGAAGACATTCTTTGATGAGTATTTTCATTTTACTGAAGGGGCGGTCGGGTAGCCTAGTGGTTTAAGCGTTCGCTCGTCACGCCGAAGACCCGGGTTCGATTCCCGACATGGGTACAATGTGTGAAGCCCATTTCTGGTGTCCCCCGCCGTGATACTGCTGGAATATTGCTCAAAGCGGCGTAAAACTATACTCATAGTCTGATAATCTCAACTCCTACTATTTTTCATTTCAGTTTCAATTGTTTAGAAATTAAGTGTGTGTTCAGGAAGGTCATACCGATATTGAGCTTTAACTTGAATATTTATGAAAGGTCCTTATCATCAGTTTCGGAGTTGTCATCAAGGTCTTGGTGATGTCAATCATGTGAACACGTTCACTAATATTCTAGTTCTTCCAATTGCTGTCATGTCATTTATTCCCAAGACAATATATGTGAGTATGTCAGTTTAGGAAATAGCAGTGACCCTTACATAAAGTGTACGAGTTCGAATTGACAAACTTAACCCAGGACAGACTTCCATGTGGCCATTATACGTCTGTGTTGACAAACTCACCAGTGGCCCTTGCGTACAGTTTGACAAACTCACATGTGGCCACTTCGTCTAGGTTGACAAACTTCCCTGTGGCTACTGCATCAGGATCGACAGATTTACACGTGGCCAATGTATCTAAGTTTACAGACTTATCCTCGATCACAGCATCCAGGTCGACAGACGGACCTGTAGTAAAAGCATCTAGGTCGACAGACTTACCTGTGGCCACAGCATCTGGGACGGCATATTTACTATAAGTCACAACATGTAGGTCGACAGATGTACCAGTAGTGACAGTATATTGGTCGATAGGCTTACCTGTGGTCAAAGCATCTAGGTCGACAGACTTACCTGTAGTCACAGCTTCCAGGTCGACAGATTTACTAGTAGTGACAGCATATTGGTTGACAGAAATACATGTGTTCAAAGCATCTAGGTCGACAGACCGACCTGTAGTCACAGCATCCAGGTCGACAGATTTACTAGTAGTGACAGCATATTGGTCGACAGGCTTACCTGGGGTCAAATCATCTAGGTCGACAGGCTTACCTGTAGTCACAGCTTCCAGGTCGACAGATTTACTAGTAGTGACAGCATATTGGTCGATAGACTTACCTGTGGTCAAAGCATCTAGGTCGACAGACTTACCTGTAGCGGCAACCTCTAGGTAGGCAGATGTACTAGTAGTGACAGCATATTGGTCGACAGACATACATGTGTTCAAAGCATCTAGGTCGACAGACCGACCTGTAGTCACAGCATCCAGGTCGACAGCTTTACTAGTAGTGACAGCATATTGGTCGACAGACTTACCTGTGGTCAACGCATCTAGGTGGACTGACTTACCTGTAGCAGCAACCTCTAGGTAGGCAGACTTACCTGTAGTGACAACCTCTAGGTAGGCAGACTTACCTGTGGCTGCTGTGTCTGGGTTGTGTTGTGTCCAGTGAGGAATCATCAGGCCCATCATCAAGGAGATGCCGAGGATGGACACATTGCGGACAGAGTTCAGGTCGACCAAGGAGAGGTTGGATAGAACGACGCCAAAGAGGATACCGAAGTTGACGATCTGAATTCCACCGAGCACCGAGTAGGGGATGGAGATGAAGAAGGCTCCTATTTTCCCCACAATGCCGAACACGATGTAAATCAAGCCTACCGCCTGAAACACGCGCCGGCTCGCAACCTACGAATGTTATTTTAAAATTAACCGAAGGTGTGCATGGAAGTTCAACTCTCTATACATGGTTACCCAATGGAAGTTCAACTCTCTATACATGGTTACCCAATGGAAGTTCAACTCTCTATACATGGTTACCAAATGGAAGTTCAACTCTCTATACATGGTTACCCAATGGAAGTTCAACTCTCTATACATGGTTACCCAATGGAAGTTCAACTCTCTGTACATGGTTACCCAATGGAAGTTCAACTCTCTATACATGGTTACCCAATGGAAGTTCAACTCTCTATACATGGTTACCCAATGGAAGTTCAACTCTCTATACATGGTTACCCAATGGAAGTTCAACTCTCTATACATGGTTACCCAATGGAAGTTCAACTCTCTATACATGGTTACCCAATGGAAGTTCAACACTCTATACATTGTTACCCAAAGGAAGTTCAACTCTCTATACATGGTTACCCAATGGACGTTCAACCCACCCAACACGAGTACACTCGACTGTAAAAGTGTAAGTTGATGAGCTAAATGTACCTACTTAATATAACATCGAGATATGATACAAGATATAAAAGACGTTTCAGCAATCTAGATCTTACTCGGTAACAAGATCCTCGAATTGATCCGTGTAAAGGAAATAAGGTCTTGCATCACAATTTTAATATTTATGATAATTTTATATTTTAATAATTATTAAAAACGTCAATGCCAGAGAAAACCAATAATCAATGTTGAATATCTGCCAAAACGAGTTGTAAAAGACAAAAATGAGATAAAATTATGATTGAATCACTTGTACCAGAGTATTAAGGGACGATGATGTCTTAGGACGCACTTTAATGTCGGTACGGAATAACAGACAATAGCTTGGAACTAATTACTTTCCCACGAATTTCGAAACAAGTGGGTACTTGCATAATGCATAATGAAAACGAACAAGCAACAATTATACAATTATATAAAATCATTCATTCTGTGGCTACAACGTTTGAACTTTAGACAAACCAAGATATGGTGAAAGAGAAACATCAATCTCACCCTGGTGACTCCTATTGCGCCGATGTTTCCGCCAATAGTTGACGTTGCGTGGCCAATTCCCATTGCTCCTGAAAGGGTAGAAGCGACTCCTTCCATACATATACCACGGTTGACTGCATGGGAGGGAGGTGCGGGCTCTTGACACACCTTAGCGCATGCGTAATAATCCCCAAGAGAGTCGATGATGGAGAGAAACGTTGCGATGAGGAAACTGGCGAAGACGCCAACGTTCATATTTGGAGGACCAAACTGACCTAAAATAATAACTTATGTATTTACAATGAACCTCATTTGTCAAAAAATGATAATCCCACTCTCTCTTACTGCTATGAACGTGGGCGAGTTTAATTAAACGCCGCTTAGGGCATTTCTTCAGCTATAACAGCGTGTCAGCTTTATGTTGTAGGAAAGGCCGAAATGATGCAGGTGTTAGACGTTAACCACTTTGGTGAAACCCACGAGCATGGGTAAGGTGAAGACAAACCTACAAAAATAATTAGATCGAACAAGTATTCGCACCCACGATCTGGTTTCCGACACGCCTACGGGACGCAACTCTGCACAGATAATTTCTGCACCAAAGGGGACAGGGACAACCGGGTCTCTTCAAAGGACATTATATTTATTATAATAAAATCAGACTATCTAGTGACTGACATCGCAAACATGAATCTACGCATCTGAGATACTATGACATGCATCAACCAAGTCAGCAAAGCAGACCACCCGATCCCGTTAGTCGCCTCATACCACAAGCATGGGTTGCTGAAGGCCAATTCTAATCTGGATCTTCACGGGTTCCAGTTTAGTCAATTAGTTTATATCACCTGGATACGGAATGGAGAACCATCCAATTTCAGTGATGATGTGTGTCCGGGCGTCCGTCCTGGCCAGGTATTGGCGAATGTTCGGATCTGATGTGAACACGCCCATCTCCGTCAAGATGAGGCTTACAATCCAACCAACCATCATCGCGATCAATATCTGTTTATGAAACAAGTGTCATAGATACATTGTATGTTTTCATTTTTTCTCAATAAAACCTAGGGCAAATTGCCAGTTCCAGCAAGTTTCGAGTCGTTCAGTTTGTTTGCTTGACTGCTTGTTTGTTGCTCACACGGCAGTATTCAAGCTCTATGACGGTGGTCTGTAAATAATCAAGCCCGTGCTAGACAATCCAGTGCTTCACATCCTGTGCATCGATCTTGGGGATACGATAGTGAGTGAGTGAGATTGGTTTAACGCCGCTTTTAACAGTATTCCTGTTATATCGCGGCGTGTCAGCTTAATGTGGGAGGAAAGTCCGAAGTGATGCAGGTCTCAGACGTTTACCACTTCGGTGAAACCCACGAGCACGGGTATGGTGCTGACAAACCTAGAAACATAATCGGGGCGAACCGGGATTCGAACCCACAATCATAGGTTTCTGGCGTGCCCAAGGGACGCAACTCTGCACAGCGAATCGCGGCGCCATAGACGACTGGGCCACCCGTGCCCCCTCAAGCTCTATGACGGTGGTCTGTAAATAATCAAGCCTGTGCTAAACAATCCAGTGCTTCAAATCCTGTGCATCGATCTTGGGGATACGATAACATGCATCAACAAAGTCAGCGATCCTAACCACCCAATCCCGTCAGTGGCCTCATACGACAAGCCTGTTGAAGATCAATTCTAACCCGGATCTTCACTGGGGCACCACGTTCAGTAAATGTGGATATATACAAGGGAACATTTATTCTAGTTCGTTATAACCGTAGTTCGTTAAAAGCATATATACAGCAATTGGCCGGCACCAAAAAAACAATTCGTTATATCCGTCAGTTCGTTATAAGCGTGCTCGTTTGTTTACGTAGTTTACTGTGTATACAATCTCATTAAAATCAGATCTAAGTTCCCGCTACCGCTAAACAAAGATCTGAGGGCATTCCATATACGGGTCACGTCAGACCAACCTTGCACGAACGTTGACCGACCAATGAAACGACTGACAAGAAGTCGACATTTGCCAATCAGAAGGCAGCTTTCTCGTGCTTTACGGCACTAATTTCAAATTGGCGACTTTGACAAATTCTCAATAACAAATTTGACACCTGAACAAAATAACATTCTGGAATGGCTAATAGATGGTCTAGATTGTATGGATTCAGTTTTTAAGTCCGTAACTATCGTCCGGAATACCCCTTGTTAAACTTTTCGAGGTTGCATGATAAGAAATCACATTCCGACTGTCACTTTCATGATCTGGTAAGCGACGCTCTGATTGGTCGGAAGAAAGGTCGGTCTGACGTGACCCCTAATGGGATGTCCTCAGATCTTTGTTTAGCAGTAGCGAGAACTAAGATCTGATTTAAATGAGATTGCTGTGTATATGAATGTTGTTTTTACTTCGCAGTCATCAATTTTCAAACTATATCACGGAGGGATATAAATAATCAAGTCTGGTCTAGGTACAACACAGGTCGAAGCATTAGCAACACATGATGGACTCTATTGGTGTAATGTAAACAGTTGTAGCTGAAACTAATCCCTTTAAACAATCTCACCGAGAAGACTTTGTGTAGTGGGTATTTCTTGATAAAGAAGCCTCGTTTTCTTCCCCAACAGGGTATAGGTGTGTTGTAGGGAGCAAGGTACAGGGACAGCACGACGGCAGTTATCGTCGTCCTGCGAAACACATACAAATATTATATACTTAAATCGAACTTGAAGTAATGTTTAGTTGCGTAATACTATGCAGAAGACATTATATGAAAATTGCTTGATCGCAGATAGTGTTAAAATTGTTCTACAGTTCAACAGACAAAAAACAGCTATCATGTTTTCATATCTAGTTAGGGTAATAATGGAATTAAAGTTGTAGAATTGCTATAGGGATGAGGAGAAATATTTACTTATCACATAGTTATTTTTGTCAAAAAAATCTCACAACCTCAGAAAACATTCCGATAATATCCTTATTAAATTGTATACTCCCATCAAGAAGTTTATTTGTTTGATGTTTAACGCTTCACGCGGCAATATTCCAGCTATATGACGGCGGTCTGTAAATAATCGAGTCTGGACAAGACAATCCAGCGATTGAGATCATGAGCATCTATCTACGCAATTTGGATCGATGACATGTATCAACCAAGTCAGCGAGCCTGACCAGCCGATCCCTGAAGGCCAATTCTAACCCGGATATTCACGTGTCTATAATAAAGTATATTTGCCAATAAAACGTGTTTTTCAACGCAACTGTAAGAAGTTACTATTTTCAGAAGAGTGAAAGAAAATATTTTGCTCAACACTTCAGTAAGCATAACACTAAAACATAGTTTTTAAATACTCGATTTTGGAACAGTCAATCCAATGCTTGAAAGCATGAACACACAACGAAACGCAATCAGCAAAGGAGATCCGTTCTCCATTATCTCGGCTCTTTCTATTAACATGACAACGTTGAGATCATTCTGACTCGTATTAAACCAAGGGCTACTCACAATAGACCAACTCCCCATTGTGTGGATATGAACTTCACCAATGCCTTGACCATGAAGATTCCGATGAGTGTTATGGCGGGGACCACTGTAAGGGGGCCAATAAACCGGAGTACCGCCCCTACCATACCCGTCAGTCCAACAATGGTGTGGATGCATCCAGCCACAAGGAGACTCCCACTCAGCTACAGGAAACAGGAATACCGTATTCGATGTAATAAGCGCCCCACTCTAATAAGCGCCCACGGCGATATTTGCTGATATATTGGCTAGTGTTTCAGCTACAGGGAACAGGAATACCGTATTCGACGAAATAAGCGCACCACTCAAATAAGCGCCCACGGCGATATTTGCTGATATATTGGCTAGTGAACAATACCAATTAGCACCCCTTCCGATTGATCAATGTACACAACACTTAATTATTCGCGTATAATACACACTCGTGTGTTATATGTATCCTTAAATATGGGCAATTAAATTCTGCAAAAATATATCTGTCGTACATTAACATTTCAGGCTGTCACCATAAACCACGAAATTTATCTTTCAACTCTGTTTTTTTCAGCAAAATAATATTCTAAGAAATATAAGAGACACCTTTTTCTAATTTTGAGAGCGCCCTGGGCGTTTATTACGTCGAATACGGTACTAGTTGTGACAATAAACAAGAACATCGCATGAAGATCATCTGAAGATCATTGGACTTACATGTACCTCAGTCCTATGCATCAACACGGCCAGTATTGAGACGAATCCACATTGGAACCAGTTTCACTCATTCACGTGTCTCTCATATTACACAAAACATGGATAAATGTTGTCGGTATGAAATTATATAACCTTTTTAAGTAAAATAACAATATTTCTCTCAAAATCGGCCGTCATGTTGTACGCGGAGGCATTAAACGGTGAGGTGAAATTGGGTTTAACGTCGCGATCGAGGATTATTGCACTTATATAGCGATGTGCATGCACGTGTGTGTGTGTGTGTGTGTGTGTGTGTGTGTGTGTGTGTGTGGCTGCTTGTACTAGTCCAGACTGATGCCGATTTTATATTGCTAGCTCACTGAGATACCATGCCACAATTTAACAAGGATACCCCACTCAGACACAGCATACTGACTCCGAGCCGACCTTTCATTGTTTCAATGCCGAGCGCCAGGCAGGGTAAGAACAAGTACCATATGTTAACGACTTTTGGTATGACGTGGCCGGGGATTGAACACACGACCTTCCGTTCTCCGGGCGGAAGTCAGCTGCTACTTCTACTAAGCCGTTCACTTTTATTCACAGAAGAATTGTGTCATGGCTACATAAGTTCACTTTTATTTTATGCCATGAGAAAATTATTTTATATTTCTCGATTATACTTGACTCTTTTCCCTTTCCTCAAGACTTCTGAGTTCTCGAGGGGGAACGGGTGGCCCGTCGTCCAAGGCGCCGCGATTCGCTCTGCAGAGTTGCGTCCCTTGGGCACGCCAGAAACCTATGACTGTGGGTTCGAATCCCGGTTCTCCCCGATTATGTTTTTAGGTTTGTCAGCACCATACCCGTGCCTGTGGGTTTCACCGAAGTGGTAAACGTCTGAGACCTGCATCACTTCGGGCTTTCCTCCCACATTAAGCTGACACGCCGTGATATAACTGGAATACTGTTAAAAACGGCGATAAGCCTAACTCACTCACTCTGAGTTCTCGATCTAAGGCTTGGGGTAGGACAGCAGCCCGCTAGGGACGCCTCGTGTTGGTGATTGTAAATATGAGAATAGAACATTAGATTTCTGGAAGCTCCTGAATCAGGATTTTACCGAATACTTAAATCCTTTTGACTTCATCGGCGTAACAGAAGTTTGATATTTCCAGGCTTCAAGTTTTGGATCAAAGAAGCTGAAAAGATTTCCGACTTTGGTAGACTTTCAAGTGGTATTGCCATATTAGTTAGACAACAGCTTGCTAAATATGTACAATGGTCTAAGGTTAACGACAATGGCATCTTATGTTGTTAGATAAAACCGTATTTGGATGTGAGAAAGATTTACTTTATTCATGTGTTTATGCTCACCCTGACTGGCGTGGTAAACAAACCCTTTGAGCTATGCAAAAATGGCATACATATATACTGAACAGCACTGAAAACGCACCAGCAATAAATCTTGAAATATTACAAAAAACAACTTGAGCAATGATCGATTTTAATTAGAACAGACATAGACGGATTATTAAGAAAGACGACAAAGGAAACAGGAATACCACACAGTAATTACATTTACGTCATCAGTGTGAGGAAGACACATAGGGTTAAAATGAAAAGTCAATATCTGGTATGTCCGCCATTGGCAGCAACACAGCCCATGCAACGTCTTCTCATTGATCGAATAAGTCTGCGAATAGTGTTCTGGGGCTTTCACTCTTGACGTAGTGTATCTTCAAGTTCTCTCAGGTTCCGTACTTGCGGACGACGTGAGAGGAGTTGACCCAGGTAATCCCATAGATGTTCAATTGGCGATAGATGGGTGACAGGGCTGGCCATGGAAGCAGAGGCACATTATTGTTCGCTAGGTACTGTGTTGAAACACGTGCCGTGTGCGCTCTTGCATTATCTTGCTGGAAGGTGTGCATATCCTGGTGCTGATGAAAGAATGGGATGACGTGATTTGCCAATATGTTATTCTTGTAGTAAAGGGCATTAACTCTTCCACGACAAACATGGAGCTCTGTTTGATGGACTGATGCCACCCCACACAATAACACCCCCCCCCCCCCCATCGATCTGTCTGTACAACGCAGTCATTGTGGTAACGTTCTCCACGTCGACGCCGCACTCGCAGTCGACCGTCAGCATTCCGTAAATGAAAACGGGACTCATCAGAGGACAGCACGCCATGCCACTGCCGCAATCTCCAACGACGATGCCTTTTGGCCCAACGCAGACGTTCATTTCGATGTCGATCAGTGAGTATGGGTCCAACATATGGACGTCGAGCACGTAGCCCTGCTTAGCGGAGACGTCGACGTACGGTGTCAGCACTGATCAATTCCGTCGGCCTTGTACGGTTGCTGCAGTCCTGGTAGCCGGAAGTGTACGATCACGGAGATGCCGACGAACAATATGGCGATCCTGACGTGGTGTAGTTACACGACGTTGACCCGGACGTGGTCGATCTCTGGTGGTTCTTGTCTTCTTGACTGTTGAATGATGGCATTGAAACCGTTGTGCAACGACTCTTCTTGACGTACCAACTTGAAGCATGCCCAAGACACGTTCACGTTCCTCTGCTGTTAATCTTGGCATTTCTTGTGTCAGTACCCTTAACGTCTGATGTGATGTGGCTTTTAAAAGTTTGTCTTTTATAGCCCTATTCTGCATGCTTCCCGTGAAACAAAATACGTTTTCCATGATGCACGCGCAATTTGTTGCGTTTTGGCGTTGTCGCTCACAAAAAAATTAGGAATGTGTTTTGACGAGCTGTTCTTCTTCATGCTTCGTCCAGAACGTCGTATATTACTCATTCAATTATATATTTTCATATGACATAAGCCCGGATAAAAATACATCCATTTTCATGGTGGTGCGTTTTCAATGCTGTTCAGTATATTACAAAATGCCTTACTTGATGTATTAGCACGCTGTGATGCGGTTTATATGATGGGAACTCGCACATAATCTGACTTTGTAGATGATATTATCCTCTAAAACCTCGAGGAACATCATAACAGTGTATGGGGACTTCTGTTGGACAATTTCAGCTTAAAAAGATTTTCTGTTGAATTATTTTCGAATAATTTGGGTATATATATATATATATATATATATATATATATATATATATATATATATAGAGAGAGAGAGAGAGAGAGAGAGAGAGAGAGAGAGAAGTATAATCCTTTTCAGAAGAGTCCACGCATCGTTTTACAAAACCCAATAGAGTGGAAGAAAGAAATAATACACTGGTTACCACAACAAACTATCATTACAAATGTGAATGATAACAGGAGTGAAAACGCTCAATGGCTCAAAATATATCTGGAACCCTGTTCTCCCACACTCCCACTCAAGTGTTTAGGAAACTGGCAACCCAGGGAAGGTAAGTGATTAAGCTGGTGACCTGATGGAAACGTGTCACCAGCATAATTGTGGTTTGTTTAGCCAGACCCTAATCGTTATAGGGTTAATGAGGTCATATCAGCCTTGATGGCAAAGGTATCAGGATATGTGAAATAAAATAACGTGAACTCTATTTTTCAAATAATTGACACATTTGATCATCTTAGTACCGGTAATATGAGCATATAAAAATTAACCAACTACATACCCTTGATCTCCGGAAATGATACAAGCCTTTCAACGGCATGAAAACATTTGAAAATGTGCAAATTCACAAAATCTTTCCTCGTCAAAGGAAATGCCCACATTTCAAACCCTAATAAAATGGAGTACCCATTCAGCTCTATTACAACTGAAAGAAATGCATTGGAAATACTCTATTATCAAGTATTTACTGAGGTATCAACTTTTGAATTCATGCTTGGAGATATCTGCAAATCCGGTCACAGTATTCATGACAATGGTTCTTGTGCATACGGAAATATACGATTATAATATGTTTCCAAGGCTAAGCTTCATATGAAATAAACGCCCAAAGAAAGTTCATATCGGGAAACATACCCAAATCCGGTCATTGCATGCATTTCCTACTTTGTTTCAATGTTGTTAATTTCGGCTTTTGGTCCCGTGATATATCAGAATAACTTTGATCAATTTTCTTAAAGAAACGAAAGAGGATAACTAATCATACATGTTTCTAGTGCTGGTCACGTATAGCATTTCATCTGGTGCTTCAATGTTATACAAAATGTAAATAGAAGATTATGGTGTACCAGTTGGATTTTAGGGATGATGACGTGTTCCCTGTATAGAGCGTCCACGTCGCTGGAGTTGGTCAAACTGAAGTTGGCCGGCCCTGAATGAAAAAGATTGAGGGTTATATGCACTAAAGTAAGTCTCCAATGTAGGAACCAGAAATATCTGAGGGGTAAAAGAAAGTATACCGAATTTGTTTTTAATGTCATTGAAACTTTAAACACTGTTGTTAAACTTGCTTATGTATATTTAACGAGCACTCGTTCCTGCATTGGTTTGTGACTGGGTAGGTTTGTGTAAAAATGAATTGATTCAATGAAGACTGGGGTAAGAAATGCATTAGCAAAGACATGACCCCTACCACGTTTGTTCTAATGCGTGTCGAAAAGAGCAAATTTATTGATTTACTGAGCTGAACTATCTAAGATTCCCATCAGCATTTGTGTATCATTTTCAAAATTACATTACCTATTTAGAAAATAAAAAAACGTAAACGTATTTTGTTGATCGGTGTCAAAGGGGCAGTACTGTTCATTTTATTGATAAGATTTTGCTACTTTTATATATTTTAAACAGAAAATCAAACATATGATAAATTCAACTGAGAGGTATAGCTTCTATTGCGCAACTTTGAGCAATGGGTTTATGTAATATCATAATTGGACACTGAATTATAAAAATTGCAGTACATTACACCTAATGGTTCATGTGTGAGTGTTCATGGGTACAATGTGGGAAGCCCAATATTGCTGAAATATTGCTAAAATATGGCGTAAAATGCAACTCACTAACTGACTCACTCTTGTATGAGTTTTACGGTACCACAGTTTCTGCTGGATCACTCAACTCATGTTACGTAAATAGTGAGTGAGTGAGTGAGTGAGTGAGTGAGTTGGGTTTAAAGCCGCTTTTAACATTATTCCAGTTATATCACGTCGTGTCAGCTGAATGTGTGTTACGTAAATAACTTTGGGCCTTGTATATGTGCATGATTTTAAACATTATTCATAAAAGATAGCAATGTGGTCACGAAATGGTTATTTGTAAGTGTAACATTAAAATAACTTTCTTTTTCAACATTTAGCTTTGAGTTTTTTCGGTCACGTTCATAATGCAATAGTGTCCTGCAATTTGTCATAAAGAACGGAGATGAAGCATGTTCGTTGCGTAACTGTACAATTAACATTAATTATTACTTATCACAAGGTAAGATGACGCTCTTATTAAGAGTTCTCGGGAACTAAACATCACATCAGAAGAGGATCCCAATAAACCATAATTTTTTTTTTTTTCGGGGGGGGGGGGGGGGTTGTGTATGGTGACTGGATATTCTTTCATCTACAGCTGCAAAAGCAGTTATTTTCTTTAATTAAAAAATAAATCAACGTATATATAACCAACTCCCCTTAAATAGTTTTATTATCTTACTACAATGTAATTTTGTGACAGGCAATTTCGGGATTTTTTCAACAGTCTGAAGCGTATTGTATTTCTCAAGAATTTTCAGCAGAAATTTAGTTTGGCCGCTTCCAAGGAAACGTCGTCAAGGCATGACGAATACAGGTACTTGGGACATATGTTGCTTCCGACTAAAAACAGTTAACACTAAGTTAACATTGTAGTTACCATGTAGTGAGTTTAACGTGGTCTTACATCACTAATATAGCTGCGTATAAGCTTAAATGTGGGAGGAAAGCCCAAAGTGCTAATCAGGGCAAATCTTGGGACAGAACCAAAGATCACAGGATTTTGGCACGGCTAAGGGACGCAACTTATACCTCTAGGTGGGCGGTAAAGTGCACAGCAATACTCAATGTGGTCACGATATACGATCCACCCAACTCCCTTCAAAATTAAGCTTGAGCTCTATGCAAACGTAATACCGTTAAAAACAGCGTTAAACCAAGGCTACTCTTGCCCCACCTCCTGTAAGTTATGACATTATTTACTTCTGATGTGTACAATTTACAATGTGATTACTGAACATCATTGGACCGTTAGAACCACTTACCAAAGTTGGTCAAATCTGGGCACCGCCATTCCTTCAGTGGAGCCAGTGCCAGGAGAGGTACCACATAGGCCGCGGATGGTCCTTGATACAGTGGCAAGCTGAAGGAGAACAGTTGGTATGTAGGCTATTCTGGGTTTTTTTTTGTTTTGTTTGTTTGTTGTTTAACGCCGCACTCATCAATATTCCAGCTATATGACGGCGGTCTGTAAATAATCGAGTCTGGACCAGACAATCCAGTGATGACATGTATCAACCAAGTCAGCGAGCCTGACCACCCGATCCCGTTAGTTGCCTTTTACGACAAGCATCGTCACCTTTTACGGCAAGCATTGGTTGCTGAAGACCTATTCTACCCCGGGTCTTCACGGGTCGTAGGCTGTTCTGACAAGTGTCACTTGTAGGCTGTTCCGACAAGTGACATTTGTGCTAGGGCGCGCTATCGTTATGCAATAAGTCAAATATAGATAAGATCAATAATATATATTGATATTAGACGTGCAAATCAGATTCCAGGTACTTGCATAACACATATGCCACCAGGACTTATAATAAACGTGGTGAAAGGTTTAGAAAACCCAATAGAGTGGAAGAGAGTAATAATACACCGAACACCACAACAAACTGTTATTACCAAATGTGAATGATAACGCTCAATGGCTCAAAATCTATCTGGAGCCCTGGTCTCCCATACTCCCATTCAAGTGTCCAGGAACTGGCAACCCGGTGAAGGGAAGTGATTAAGCTGGTGACCTGATGGAAACGTGTCACCAGCATAATTGTGTTTTGCTTAGCCAGACCCTAATCGTTATAAGGGTAATGAGGTCATATAAGCCTTGATGGCAAATAGATCAGGATATGTGAACTAAACTAACGTGAACCCTTTTTTTGACACTAAAATTGACACTCATGACGACAGGAGTTTCCGTGGAACAGGTGGTCGAGTGAAGGACTACAAATCAAGGAGTCGCAGGTCCATATCCCGCACATTAAAATGTGTTGCGCTTATAAATGAGTTTTGGGGCGGTGGACATGCAGAGGGATTTACTTAATATGTTGCTTGTCAACATGATGTCACATACTATGATGTTAACACCTGGCATTCACTTTTTGATGAAACTTGTGTGACATGAGATGCTACTGATAGAGCAGGATATGATGACCCTTTTCGTGAACAGCTGGTATTATCAATGATTTCCATGATCCATCGTGAGCATACATGTATGATAGCATCCCAGGTCGTAACAGGCGACTATGCTTGTCGTAAGATGCGACTAACGGGATCGGGTGGTCAGGCTCGCTGACTTGGTTGATGAATGTCATCGTATCCCAATTCCATGGATCGATGCTCATGATGTCAATCACTGGATTGTCTGGTCCAGACTAATTAATTTACAGACAGTCGTCATGTAGCTGGAATATTGCTGAGTGCGGCGTTAAACAACAACAAAATAAACAAGTATTCACAGATGACGACTACAGTATGATACAACGTCCCTTGTGTTCCTCGTCATCTCCATATATGCATCAGGACTTCAAAGATGACACCAAGAACTAGAAAGGAATCACATAACAATGTAGGAATGCTAAGTAATTTACTCAAAAGTGAACAAGTATCACATAATACCATGTATGCCTTTCCAGTATAATTCAACTCTGCATTGGTAGTTGACATACTGCATGTTTCTTCCACGTTTTGCTAGGATTGCCTTAATTTGTGACTGGTAGCCTACACAACAAAGGATTTAAACAATTTCGTTTTGCTCTTTCTCGATATCGTAGTTATTTACACTTCTCCATTTGTTTTAGCTGTACATTAACAATGGGTGTGATTTACTACCAAAGGTTTAGTATACTTATTCTACAGGTATATTTCTAAAACACATTTACTGGTACCAATGCTTATTCAGTTTCTTTACAAAGTATGTTTGTAAATGCATTTCGATATTGTGGCCAGGTCAAGTTTTACGTATTTGTACATATAAGTTAGATATTTTAGATGTTTCATTTCAGCTTTTAACTTTACATACAGTACACTACAAACCCTTAGAGTTATTAATCACTGGATTGTCTCTGGTCCAGATTTGATTATGCACAGAACGCCGTCATATAGCTGGCATATTGCTGAGTGCGGCGTTAAACAACAAACCAACAACCTTACAGGTTGTTTTACAAGCCCTCAATACAATAAACCCTGCATTTAACAATAGCCACCTAACTGGGTCAGGCCAGATTCTGACCCATGCGCAAGTCTCTTTTGTCTTTCTGCTGTAGTTTCCCTGGTCAGCTTACCATCTATTGTGTATTTAGTTTTAAAGGTTAAAGCAGTCTTACACATGTTTGAGGAGGTCACTTTGATCGTTTTCCCTAAAATCAACCCCTAGAATAAGAACGTTTGCATATTTTATATGGCCATTATTCTTCCCCGGGAAGTATAAGGGAAACATTAATTTTGTAGCATGTATGACGACATGTTGGTTTAATTGAAATTTCAAGAAACGCATTTACGGAAACAATACATACAAATCATGTGCGTGGAATGTTGACGCCATACTTTTCCAGCAATAAGAGATACTTCAAAATCGTGTCTATGTAGTTAATTGATGCATCTGACCGTTTCTGGTCATTAGCTGACATTATTAAACCATTCATGTGTAATCCGATGTCCTCATTTCCTCAAGGACTAATTTTCTGATTTTCACGGTGCATACAAAAGAAAAACTGTACTCCGGAGATCGTAAATAACAGCATAATATAAAATATGTTATGAACGTAATATGGCTGAATTCCACATTCTACATACCACACTTTTGATTGCTTGGATGCTCATATTCACTGGAAATATTTGGAATGGTTATATTCCGTATTTTGAATTAAGCCAGTCCCCCGTGTGTTTATTTTAATAATTGCACCGCACATAGCTACCAAACGTTTCACATGTCACAGTGGCTAAGTCAAAGCAAAATCGGAGTAGTGTGTCGGCGAATTTGCATCAAGGCTGTAGTATTTTTCAACCGTTTTAATGCATTGGAATTCAATGTACAGCCGTAGCTCTGGTCGTTATCATATATTTTGTGTCCCATGGCTCGAATCTATTTGCGTCTGTACCGTGTTTCACTGACCTCGTTAATCGGTTGGATAAAGGCACAGCTCTCTACAGTCACAAAGTTAACACCGAAGGCTATGAGGGGTATTTAGGTCACAATCAGTTTTATGGCCCCGTCACAGGTGCTCCAAATATTGAAGCAGGGAAAACAAATTTAATAGAATCATTTCAACAAGCAATATTGATATCACAGTCACTTTTTGTAACTTTTAATGATGCTTCTATTGCAATTTTTACGGATTTTGATTTGTATGCATTATTTGACTCTCCTCAGCGGAATGATCCGAATGGACAAGCAGTTTTACTTCTGTTTAGTATTATGGATGAATTGTTTTGTTACATCTTACAACTACAGTATATCAGGCGACTATGCTTGTCGTAAGAGGCGACTAACGGGATCGGGTGGTCAGGCTTTGGTTGATGCATGGCATCGATCCCAATTGCGTGGATCGATGCTCATGATATTAATCACTGGATTGTCTGGTCCAAACTCGATTATTTACTGAACGCCGTCATATAGCTGGAATATTGCTGAGTGCGGCGTTAAACGACAAACCAATCAATCATCATCATATATGAACTCAAACCAGTAATTGTTACAAGTAAACCACATTCCACAACAGTTACTGACACTGGATACAAAACAGTACATAGAAACAGACCAAGTAACTCAACTCACAATTACTGTTCTTTGAAAGAAAGAAATTAAAAAAAGAAACTGACCAAAAAACGTAAAACAAGGAATCTCCGTTATTGATTAGTCCAGGTATTGAAATGTTCTCCAACTACGTGATAATATTTTGAGTATGTGCATCTGTGGTTGTGACAAAAAGACCTTATCTAGTATGACTTTTTTGCCATATGGAGCCCTTACTATTTTCATTTACATTATTATAACCAAATGCCAAGTGTAAAAAGAATGTGATCTATTATTTGAGTATGTGCATCTGCCAATGTTGTTGGCAGTTTTGATACTATTTCAACATGTTTACATTTGTGAAAGAAATTGCTTCCATTTCCTTCGATCTACTTTTTAAATAAACCCATGCTTGCCGTAAGAGGCGACTAACAGGATTTGGTAGTCAGGCTCGCCGATTTGGTCGATGCATAACATCTGATTAATATTTGAGTTTAAATACATAATATGTAATAGAAACAATCATATCATGAAAACAAAACCAGTAATGGCTTCCTGAAACATTTGTTATTGTTTTCAAGGAAACATTGTTTAGAGTTTAACAAACAATTATGGCGGTGACAAAATGGTTGGGCTGAAAGGCATAAAAATGTTTTGCATATCTACAGCGGTAATGTTATTAATATTTTTCATTATTACTATTTTCAAAGTAATAGTTACATTGTTGGAATATTATTTTATCATAAACTAGATCAGTGGAGACATGCAGATACTGTTACAATTGAAACAATGGTTGTGAGTGTGTAGTTTTTTTAATATAACCACAACGAATCATACTTCTCGCTGAGTGATACCTCCGTAATGTTTACTCTTGTAGTCTTGACATGTCAATTATTCACGCTGTACAAAAGTGTGCATACCTCCTATACGGAAACTGGGTCAATGTTTCAGGCCTGTTCCCAGGACAGACATATCAATTTGTACAACAATACCATGTTCAAATGATCATTCCAATACATGCTGCAGTTGTTGGGAAAAATACCTTGATAAACAGTGAAATAATTGTAATACCTTGTATTCTAATAACAGTTATGACGATACATCTCACCTTCAGGGACATGTAATAACACAGGTGAAGTACTACAGCCAACAATGCTGTTAAATATTAAAGTGGTTCAAAGCTCATATGATGATGGCTGCATGTCTTTGAAGAAAGTTTAGCATGATTCCAAAAACGATTTTCTGGGATAATATGTATGAACATTATGACACAGAACAGATCACAATTGTGAATGATTCAAACATCTACATTCACAAAAATAAAACTGATTAACTAATTAGTAGCTATTTGATAAGGACGCAGTGAAAACTGAAACAGACATGAGTCTAAAATTGTTCACCAGCGCCAGCCGTGGACATATACATGAGGTGTCAATAAAAATTTGACGAGCAATATTACTCTTTTATTATTTCTTGCTGCAGGTAGTGACAAGTCATGATTGATCACCGATATATGGCATCGCAAATGGAACCTGGCGATAGATGCTGAGTGATGACTTGGTTCATGATGTACATGTTTTAGTGCGCTTTTTATTGTAAAAAAAAGTAGTATTTATGAGATATTGAAAAATAATCGGCCGATAACTACAACTACTCTGACTAGAATTATCGTACCTCCTATCACATGTATTATAAATTCAATCATGGTAATGGGCTAATGCCCTATTTAACAAGTGGTGGCTGATAGTTGGAAAGCATTCCTATAACAAAAACTATCTGGGACGCTAAGTGTTTCATTGAAAGAGGAATAACTGTGTTTAATATACGATACTCCCTCAACCTTCCCACTGATCTCTCCACATGTATTCTTGTTCTAGCAATAGATCGAGTCAAGATATCTTCTTGAGGAGTCAGCTTGTCCCTTTTGCCTAGAAATGGAGGAATATTCAAGTGTGCTCTACGGCTCATGAGGAGATCTTTGATATTGAAGCCTCTATCGGCTAAGATCAAATCACCTGGGTTAATTTTTTCCAGAAAGCCTGATTTCCTGATAATATCTCTGTCTGATATGCTACCTTCATATGCATCAGACAAAAATGTAACAGCACCAGTTGGAGAAATACCAAGTAAAACTTTCAAGGTGTTGTGAGTTTTGTACTGAGAGTACATGTTACCTTGCTCACCATAATCACTTGGTCGCTCAGAAAACACTTCGAAACAATCAACAATAACTCTGATGTTTTTGAAGCTTTTAAACACAGATGGCAATGTTTTCCTGATAAGATGTCTAGAAGGAAAGATGTGATCTTTCAAAGTAATAAATTTCATGTACAAAAACTGAATCCAAGTGGTAATGATACAGGAAACAGAACCGACACTGATGTTATATCTATAGGATAAATCTTTTGTTGGAAAGTTTCTCCTTAATCTGACAAGTGTCAAAACAAGCTGGTCTTTGATTGATAAAACCCGGCACTTGCCAGGTTTACTGGAACTTATCTTATTTCCACGCCAGTAACAGATGTCATTTACACTGTCACCAAGGGAAGCAAAAAGATGATTAAAATGAACAGTTTTCATGCCAGTATAGTACTTGAATTTCTTCTTATTAGATACCAAATTAATAAATAGTAAATCACAGCTTTTGTTGTCAAGATCCCTGCTTATTTCACAATCTGAATCAGGGACTTGTGCTGTCATCTTTTCATAATTTTTAGATACCAGAATGCTGGAACACACAAACTCAGTCTGATTGGACTCATGCTTCGTTGTTGGCATTGGTTGGCAGGCAGCATCACTGGACCTGAGCTCAGTCAAGGTAGCATCTTCTATGTCAGCACCAGTAGCACAGACATTCTGTTCCTGTTGACATAAAAATTAACTTATGATACATAATGTTTGATCATTAACATCTAAGGCATGGTTAGGAAATTGTTGTATCTTAGTGGCAATGTCATGGTTGAAGTAAGTTCCTGGTGCCTGAGTGAGTATGGCTTTACACCGCTTTTAGAAATACTCCAGCAATATCATGACAGGGGACACAAGAAATGGGCTTCACACATTGTACTCATGTGGGGAATCGAGACCATTCTTTGGCATGGCGAGTGAACACTTTAACCACTAGGCTACCCCACCGCCCCTCCTGTTGCCTTGAGGTCATACTTGTAAAATCTATTATTTCAACAATACCATAATACCACCTATTACAATGATTGCATCAGCTGCTATTAATGAGATAAACAAATGGTGAACAAACAACGTGCTTAAATGCTTAATGCATCAATGAAAACAGTGTTATCAATTTCAATGAAATTGAAAAGGGCAGGGAATAACTTTTAAATTACAACTGCTTATTATCTAGCCATGGTGAAATGACATTAATGAGTCTAACCCTTTAAGGTTAGGTGTAAGGCGACATTTTCATAAACAAGTTATCTGCTGAAGCTAACACTGACTTGCAACTATGTCTATATTCAAAGTAAATATTCCTTTAGGATAACATTATTAATGGTTTACATTCCAAAATTGCATACCATAATTTTTTTTACTTAAACAAAATATGGATCTAATATTTACCATTGTTTACACGGTTAAATATGATTGCAGAGCCCATTTTACATCTGATTACAGGCTTAAATAAAAAAAACTTTACAAATGTAATACATTTATGGCAATACAAAATTTGGTCCATACCAATTCAGTATTGACTGTTTCCTGCCACTCCAGGTGCTTTCTAGAGGTGTATGGGTCGTCAGCTGCACACACTGCAAGTAAAGATAGGCCATCACCTGCTGTAGAAGTGGGCTCCAACCTGGATACCTTACTTGGAAGGGGACATCTCTCCACAGGGCTCTTTCTTTTCTTAGAAAATTTCACCACCTAGAAAAAAAATAATATATGGACTGCACAAATCTGCCACTATGTTTGGAACATGGGCCTAGAATCTACTTATTGCTCACATGGTTGCTTTAATCAATTTTCCATGACATTTGAACCCAAATTAATGTTGTCATAATTCCTAATTAAATAAATCTAAATCAGTTGTTAAATCTGAAAACTGTTCACCAAATTGACAAAATGTGGTATGACATATCCAGTAAACACTTTGAACATCGAACATTAATTTGACCTTCTAGGCCTAGTCTACCTATGGTGGTATCGACATAGATCTAGATCTATGTGTCTGACGTTATAATGAAAAAAATACACAAATCATAACACGTACCTGATCAAATGTATATGTTACCGGGATAGGATCGGGATGTTCAAGTGAAGGACCATTCCCGCCGATAAAGTGCTTTGAACATATGTAGGTGTACTTGTTGACCTTGTCCGTCGTAAAGCCCTCTCGACGACAGGCGCGAACCCACCTTGTAGTGAGTGAGTATGGTTTTACGCCGCTTTTAGCAATATTCCAGCAATATCACGGCGGGGGACACCAGAAATGGGCTTCACACATTGTACCCATGTCAGGAATCGAACCCGGGTCTTCGGCGTGACGAGCGAACGCTTTAACCACTAGGCTACCCGACCGCCCGAACCCACCTTGTACACTTCTCAGGCTGCTTGTGAAACTTAGGAAACAAAATAAAATGGATCCCTGCCATGTCAGGCCTATCCGTATAGCGGTTGTCACTTCGGCAGATCCCATACGCACAGTGTTTAGCTGGCATCGTGTTAAAATATCCGAAACCGCGCTACGATTCTAACAAGCGGAAGAGGGACAAAATGGCAATGTTTGTCCCTCGTTTTTCGCGCATGCGCGAACCCAAAATAGAGCGGAAGTATCTAAAATTCTATTTTTAGTAGTTTGGCCTTGTTGATGAAATGGCTTATTGCGTAGTTCGATGGTGTCAATCACTGGATTATCTTGTCCATACTCACGCCGGCTGGAATACTGCTGAGTGCGGCGTTAAACAAGAAACTATTTTTAAATAGACCTACCCGATGCATATGTATCAACTGTATTGCCCAATACTCAAAATAAATAATATTTTTTTCCACAACAGCGTTGTGTTATTTGTGGTTAATATAATTATGCTCCTTCATGCCTTTCTCTCTCTGAACCAATAATTCATTTATCTTATTTATCTTTTCTTCTTGTTCTTGAACCACTGTATACCAGAGAAAATTATATGAACGAAGCGAACTTACCGTATTCCAACGGTGCTTTGCAATAATGTGCAGATCCCTGACATCAACAGGGTAGAGGAGAAGAGTTTTGTTTTCATGTGTTCGTCTTTGTCTGAACATACTAACTCGGCCACAAGGATGCACACAGTCAAGCTCTTGGATAAGGACAGCATACTTTGCTGGGGAAAAATTGAGCGAGGTGAGTGTTTGTTTGTTTGGTTTGGTTGGTTGTTTTACGCCGCACTCAGCAATATTTCAGCTATATGACAGCGGTCTGTAAAATAATCAAGTCTGGACCAGACAATCCAGTGATTGACAGCATGAGCATCGATCCGCGCATTTGGGATCGATGACATGTATCAACCAAGTCAGCGAGCCTGACCACCCGATCCCGTTAGTCGCCTTTTACAAGCATAGTCGCCTTTTACGGCAAGTATGGTTTGTTTGTTGCTTAACGATTCACTCAACAATATATCGAGGTGAGGTGAGCGAACAGCATTGCATTGATGGGTTAATGCACCATACAAGCATTGAGATCAACATTTCTTTCGTAATGCTTTAACAAAAATCAAGTCAGTAAGAAATAGTCTATCATATGTTCTTACTCAAAAGTAACAACCCTACACCCCACTTTATTAACTGCTCGCTTCTTACCTGAATACCAAATAGAAGGCTAAGGTAAATCGGTGGGTTCTCATTCACTCTGTAATGCAGCCTTTTAAAATCGTCCATTTCCATTACGACATCGTCTTCCATTACGACATCGTCTTCCACGTGGGTCGTCATGTTTAGATGTATTGTCATGCATCAACCTTGAAAATAAATCGATTTCTTTACGTGGCATGATTGTTCATGACCTCAAAGTACTGTCCAGACGTTTAAACAAAACAAGAGAACCCTTACCGTGCATCCAAACGTCTGACCTGTATACAGAAAGGGCTCAACTAACGCGAAATATCAAGGCGAGCATGCCGAAACAAGGTTCCCAGATCAAGGCTGGAGCGATTTAAATGTGCTTCACGTGGTTGGAATTTGATATGTCAGCTTGTAAGGACGATCAACGGGGACTCGTTTCCGACAGGTTGGTATCGTTTTCCCATGGACCAGGTGCCGCTGTACTTAAGGTATGATCACCTCAGCGCTAAGATCGCTTTGTACAACGGGACCCTGGTTTATTCCAGGCCAGTATGTGCCTAAAACGTCGCCTCAGTACTGTCAACGCTTTGCTTGACTACAAAACATGAAGATATGCTTATTCCTCATTTGTAGTGGATTCCAAGGCTCCATTAGTTTGTTTGTTTGTTGTTTTACGCCGCACTCAGCAAAATTCCAGCTATATGACGGCGGTCTGTAAATAATCGATTCCGGACCAGACATTCCAGTGATTTACATCATGAACATCGATCCACGCAATTTGGATCGATGACATGCATAAACCAAGTCAGCGAGCCTGACCACCCGATCCCGTTAGTCGCCTTTTACGACAAGCATAGTCGCCTTTTACGGCAAGCATGGATTGCTGAAGACCTATTCTACCCCGGATCTTCACGGGTCTCAAGGCTCCCTTAAAATCCGTACACGGGTATTGTTCATTATATATAGTGCTAGTTCCAGAACATCTAAGGACATGTAGGTTGGTTGGTTGGTTGGTTGTTTAACGCCGCACTCAGCAATCTTCAAGCTATGTGACGGCGGTCTGTCAACAATCGAGTCTGGACCAGACAATCCAGTGATTGACATCAAGAGCATCGAACTACGCAATTGGAATATGCTGTCATGGATCAACCAAATCAGCGAGCATGATTATGCTTGTTGGAAGAGGCTGGTCATCCTCGATGATCGGGTGCTGTGTGCGGCGTTCAACTACAAACATCCTCATCATCGTCTGGCCGTCCCGAAGATGCCATATTTGAAACTCAAGTGGAGGTTGTCACCACATGTTATGGCTGACCAACGTGTTACAATTAATCATATCGCTAACACTGTTGGGATCAGTTTGAGGTCAATAGAGTCCGTCTTAACTTATGCACTCCAGATGAGCAAACTGTACGCACGAAGGGTACCCGGACCGTTGACGCCAGTTCAGAAGCTGACTCAGGTGGATATATCCATGAACGTTTTGTTCAGTTATCAGCAGAATCCCAATACAGTTTAACGCAAATTGTTATCCCGAAAGAGACCTTGGGCGCGCTGCAAAGCGCAAATAGCTTGCAAGCGATGTACAGGGATTCGCCTTACAACGCTGCGCTAACTTTCAGCCGCATGCAAGCCCAACAATCGCTGGCTGAGGTCGCTTCGCTCTCAAACAAAATTGGCGGGTGAGTTTGACAGCGGAATGAGAAATTCGTGACAGGATCAACTGGGAAATTAGCACAGGCAGCTAACGTCGCACCATCCTCAGTCTGCTCCACATCTACAAAGTAGTCATAAATGCATCTGCTAGTCATCGAGCTTCTTCTATTACATTCTTCATTAGGGCAAGACAACCAAGCGGTAGTTTAGCCGCCATTTTGGAAGAGTGCACAAGTGCACTGTTGCAGACAGGGTGAGCAATTACTTTGATTAATATAAGCGATTCGGGGCTTGCTACGCGCCCCATGTCCCATTTCTTTGATCCAGACAAAAACAGTGGAAACTAAAGACGTACAAGCTGGTATTGTCAATTGTAAAGTCACGTTTTCAGTGTCTGTGGTAGTGGACGCGGCTGGACTTTGCGGTTTTGAATTACCACCTCTATCCCATTAATCTCCTTAACTGGCATCCCCTAAGTCAAATTACAAATAAGGTTGTTTTTTGTTGTTGTTTTTTTTGTTAGTGTGTGTGTGTGTGTGTGTGAAAGACGTCATCACAGGTAATGTTTAAGTCTAATGCCATGGCACTACCATACTTGGTTTCCATTACACCGTTAAGCTCTATAAACATGTTACTGCATATCAATGATCAGGCATTGAGAGTACATGGCGTATAAAAATGCTAATAGTCTAATGAATGTCCGTGATTGAATACGTCTACTGTCTCCGAACGTTCTCGTTCTATCGGGCGGTCAGGCTAACTGAAGTGGTTGATGCATGTCATCGTATCCCAATTGCGTGGATCGATGCTCATGATATCACTGGATTGTCTGGTCCAGACTCGATTATTTCACAGACCGACGACATATAGCTGAAATATTGAGTGCAGCGTTTTTTAACAACAAACGTATGGACATTTGTAACATTTTGTGCTTGAAGGTTTCACCGAATTTGTAAATGCTCCACTTCGGGCGTTCCTCCCAAATCAGGCTGACAGGCCGAGATATAACGGAAATAAAGTTAAAAGTGGCATAAAATTCAACTCAATCATTTTTTTAATGTTGATTGAAGCCGTCTCTATTACATGTTTGTGTTTCTCATCCTCGTTGCCCCTCGCGTGCTGAATGTCTAGTATGACACCTGGTATCACCACATGATAGTGATTTATGAACACACGATCGTGGTATATAGTCGGAATCGTACGATCGAGTTTGCTTTCAGCAGAAATTTCAAATGACTATGGAATGAATTTTGTCGCTTTCATATGCCAATAAAGCATGTCAAAACCATATTCACACTCACAGACACACGCACGCGCGCCTGAATTGTTACTTTGTAATCACGTTTGGTTACCACTAAAACATTCACTTGAGAGACCCGTGAAGATCCGGGGTAGAATAGGTCTTCAGCAACCACGCTTGCCGTAAAAGGCGACTATGCTTGTCGTAAAAGGCGACTAACGGGATCGGGTGGTCAGGCTCGCTGACTTGGTTGATGCATGTCATCGATCCCAATTGCGTAGATCGATTCTCATCATATCAATCACTGGATTGCCTGGTCCAAACTCGATTATTTACAGACCGCCGTCATAAAGCTGGACTATTGCTGAGTGCGGCGTTAAACAACAAACCAACCAACCAAGTATCCCAATTGCGAGGATCAATGCTCATGATGTCAGTCACTGAATTGTCTGGTCCAGACTATTTACAGGCTGCCGTCATATTGCTGTATTATTGCTGACAACAAAATAATTTCATATGACTATAGTTATTTGGTCATTGTTGATGGGTTTTGATACCCAAAGCCTTCCAATTGTGGGCGTTCCTTAACTGTTTAGAGTTGTATACATAATGCTACACTGAATGTCCATCATTCATACAAGCTGGGAGCCACATCAAAGACTGTTAGAAAAAAACGTACCTTGTACCACAAGGCTACAGAGGTGCTGAAAAATCACATTGTTTTCAGGATGTCCTTTTCAAGATCCGTATGCCAGCAACAGATATTTTACGCCCGTTTCCTAATGTTCATGGAAAGTATGTTCGAAACATAAAAATGTTGATACACGTTGTTTTCTTTTTTCGGTTCTTAAGTTAGATAAAACACTTCCCCTCGGGTTGTTAGTGATATTTAAACCCTTCCCTCGGGATGCGGGTTTAATATCATAACAACCCTCGGACGTGTTTTATCCTATACATAAAGCATTTGAAACAGTATTCTTTCTGAAAAAATCCAAGCACACACTAACACCTCCAGAAAATCAAATGGTCAAGATCTTTATTGGGTCTACACTGGGCGAGTAGAGATAACATAACAAGTAGGTGCAAATTAATTTATTTTTGTATTTCTCTCAATAAAAGTCTATTTCTTAAGCAGTGTCTCTGTGAATGTTTCTATGACAGCAGTTCTTTCTCTCGGAACCTCGATGCCCTACCTCTGGAGTTCTTTTATCTCCATAAGTTGCTGATTCTGGTTTCTGGCAAATTCCAAAAACCATTCTGGCGCATCATTCCGGCTTTCTTCATTAATTGTCTGGCCTCACTTCGAGGCGACAGTGATGTAGATGCCTGTCTTGAGGTAGATGCCAGTGTTGATGATGAAGATGCCTGTCTTGAGGTAGATGCCAGTGTTGATGATGAAGATGCCTGTCTTGAGGTAGATGCCAGTGTTGATGATTAAGATGCCTGTCTTGAGGTAGATGCCAGTGTTGATTAGGTAGATGCCTGTCTTGAGGTAGATGCCAGTGTTGATGAGGTAGATGCCTGTCTCGAGGTAAATGCCGGTGACGATGAGGTAGATGCCTGTCTTGAGGTAAAAGCCGGTGACGATGAGGTAGATGCCTGCCTCGAGGTAAAAGCCGATGACGATGAGGTAGATGCCTGCCTCGAGGGAAATGCCAGTGTTGATGAGGTAGATGTCTGTCTCGAGGTAGATGCCAGTGTTGATTAGGTAGATGCCGGTGTTGATGAGGTAGATGTGATGAGGTAGATGCCTGTCTCGAGGTAGATGCCAGTGTTGATTAGGTAGATGCCAGTGTTGATTTTGTAGATGCCAGTGTTGATGAGGTAGATGCCAGTGTTGATGAGGTAGATGCCTGTCTCGAGGTAGATGCCAGTGTTGATTAGGTAGATGCCTGTCTCGAAGTAGATCTTATCTCCAGAAGTTGCTGATTCTGATTTCTGGCAAATTCCAAAAAACATTCTGGCGCATCATTCCGGCTTTCTTCATTGGTTGTCTGGCCTCACTTCGAGGCAAACGTGATGTAGATGCCTGTCTTGAGGTAGATGCCAGTGTTGATTAGGTAGATGCCAGTGTTGATGAGGTAGATGCCTGTCTCGAGGTAAATGCCGGTGGCGATGAGGAAGATGTCTGTCTCGAGGTAGATGCCTGTCTTGAGGTAGATGCCTGTCTCGACGTAGATGCCTGTCTCGATGTAGATGCCAGTGTTGATTAGGTAGATGTCTGTCTCGAGGTAGATGCCAGTGTTGATTAGGTAGATGTCTGTTTCGAGGTAGATGCCAGTGTTGATTAGGTAGATGCCAGTGTTGATTAGGTAGATGTCTGTCTCGAGGTAGATGCCAGTGTTGATTAGGTAGATGTCTGTCTCGAGGTAGATGCCAGTGTTGATTAGGTAGATGCCAGTGTTGATGCGGTAGATGCCAGTGTTGATAAGGTAGATGCCAGTGTTGATGAGGTAGATGCCTGTCTCAGGTAGATGCCAGTGTTGATTAGGTAGATGCCTGTCTCGAGGTAGATCTTATCTCTATAAATTGCTGATTCTGATTTCTGGCAAATTCCAAAAACCATTCTGGCGCATCATTCTGGCTTTATTTAATGGTTGTCTGGCCTCACTTCGAGGCGACAGTGATGTAGATGCCTGTCTTGAGGTAGATGCCAGTGTTT